TGACATTGTGGTATGTGCTGTTATAATTTAGCTTTAGCTTTCTACCGTACTCCGGTTCACCCCCGGCACTTGAATATGAATGTGTAGACAGTTTGGAGGTTCTTGACTTGCCTTCAGGTTAACCTTGCAGCCACACGCCTCAAACTTCCTTTAATTTTGCTCATGACACTGACATTCAACTCAATAGGAAAGATTTTAGATTTGACCCCTTGATTCCTTTTTCAATGCTATCTTGCAGAAGTCATTGGCTCCTAAACCCCTGCAGGACTTTTAAAGCTGGACTGCCGTTTTACGATAAAAAGGGATCCAAGCTCTAAACTGCTGAACAAACTCTGATTGGCCTCACAAGCACAATGCAAATCTGAACAGGCAAGAGTTCTCATGGGAGGTTACGGTAGAGGGTGTGTAGAGGTTCATCTCTTAATCCCTTACAGAAACAAGGCTTATGTTTCTCCCACTACACACAACTCTGCACCTGCATGAACCCAAAGCAGTGTGGAGGAGTGAACCTGCCGGGGTGAAAGATGACCCCGCTGCCTACTTACATTGGATGTTTGTTCGACATTTCCACTACTTACCTGCTCTAAATAGATTGGGCCCATTGCTTGATGCAAAGATCTTGTTTCCTTTCCCTTTCACGTGCGTAATCCCATTTCCACACAGGCACTTACACACTTTGAATATAAAGCAGTGGATGCAATCTGTTGGTATATAAACTTTGCTCTTAAGGCATTTATCATCCAGACTGCAGAAGGGCAGGAGGCAGACTGACGGGTTGCCAGCTAATAAAAGCATTGGGCTCTCTGAGGAGTGCATAGCTCAACGCCTTTTACACCAGTTTGAAGACGTGCAGACAGGCTGCAGGCAAAGATGAGCTCAAAAAATCTCTCTCTGTTGTAACATTTTTCTTTATTACAGCATCCTCCTGCTTCTTTTTATTTCCTCTGCAAAGTTTTGTTGCAGAATTTCTTGAAAGTCATCACCAGGATTTTCTCTCTTTTGTCCCAGTGATGCATGACCCTTATTCATTTTATATATGACTTTGGTTTTAAGATGCATTTGTGCATATAAACAAAGATTTTCTGCTTTTCAGGTGTGGAGAAAAGAGCTCCAGATGTTCAACAATAGAGAGATGATCAACAGTAAACCCTATTGCTGCAGAACATGCAGAGGCCTGCGCAGCTATTGATGTTATAAGCCTCGCTTTCTATATTAAGGAAGAGTTTGTTTGCCTTCCACTTCTTTACAAATTCTTTCTGTTACACTATTGTGATCTATTTTTTCCCTCCTTGTGCCTCATCGTCCAGTAACCCGACAAGTATCTTCATGTGCCCTTGTATTTTTAGCTCATCTCTTTCTTTCTGGATTAGAGTTTCTTCTATCTTTCTCTTGCAGCTTTTTTATTTGCCTCAAGCTTATTTGGTATCGCAATAGCACTCAGTTTCGTCTCCTTACACCTCTCCTTATCTGGGATTTGTCCCCCATTTTCCCAAAGCAGTGGGCATCCTTTTTATTTAACCCGGTTCATTTCACAGCCGCACTCCTCTATCTCATAACTCTTATCAGACAGGCCAGTTAGCCTGCGCTCTGTATGACATTGCTCTTAGTGCCTTTGGTTATCTGTTAAAAATGGAAACACTATCCCTCCGACCTTTATTAAACGCACACACTGTATACTGCAGAGAACCTGCAAAATATGAGAAATATGTTGAGATGTTCCACCACACCAATCCAGCCAAACCCCTTCAGACCTTCAGACATCTTCCTTTTGGTGCAATCGTTGCGCATTCCCGGTGTCTGAAATCAAAGACGTAGGTTTGTGGATGTCAGCCTGTCAGGAGATCGTTCAAGATGATCGATCATGACGCCAAGAAGCAGCAGAAAATCAACAAGGAGCCAGACGGGAGTGGCTGAGGAGGTATTGATTGTGGACCTTATGGCAGCCGAAATATGACAGCCCCGGCTCTTTCCCACACGCCCACTTCCACTCGTTCTTCCAGTCCTGTCTAATCCCCGTCTTGTTTTATGTTCAACACAAGCCTCATAGTGATGTTCTTGGCAACGACCCAAGCCTTTAGCATGACTTTACAGCGAGCGCCTGAGTTTATAATAAGAGGTGTTATGTCATTTTTTATTACACTTACACTACCTTTACAGTAACAGTGCGAGTGAAGTGTCTGTGATTCTGCCATGGCTTGTCCACACAAGTGTCAGATCAAGGCTTGTGTTTGTCATTAACTCCTGAGCAGACTCTGTATCTCTGACAACATGATGGAGATCTATTCATTTCATGCAGTCAAAATAGGCCAGCACCAGAGGCGCCAGTGAACATATTGCCCACCTAGACACTCATTTCAAATGGCTTTTAGAGTTGAAAGCAGTCCCACCTCAGGTCATCTATATTTCTGACAGGCTATCATTCATGCTGCTCTGATATATATAGCTTTCATCTTGGCAGTATGACTGTGGACAGTGGATCTAAAGATGAACATAAAATGACAACATAAAAAAAAAACAGGTCATAAGGTTTGCTTTAGAGCGGTGTTATTTATGTTTTCTTTTTTATTCTTGGTCAGTGATGTCGTGGTGCTTTCAGTGAGAAGAAAGTGGAAACCACCTGTTTTAAAAACTGGCTTTCTACACAGATCTTTGACCCATTTATAAACATAATGTTAGTTGACAGTGATTTAAAGATTCAGTACACGGCTTTCATGTTGTGTTCATTTTCGTGACCTTTGTGTGTGTTTTTTTAGGATGAAGACTGCATCTCCCATCAGCACCATAAATCACTGTCATAAAACCGGGGCTCTTGCCAAAGCATGCATTTGTTGCAGAAGCAAATGGATGGGATATAGATCTTGTTTTTTATATACTAAATTCTGCAAGATGCAAAGTTATTGAGTAGTTTATGAAGCTATGTAAAGAGTAACATAGCGACAACAAAGATGACCAGACTGGTACCAGTTAAAGGTTACCTGTTACTGTCCCACTATCATGATGCAAACTCAAGTGTTCCAGTAAATGTGCAATTTATGTAGATATGCAAATTGTTTTACTCTTTTGACTCTCAAAGCTCTGGTTGTAGAGTTCCTCCATCTAAAATAATACGTTAAAGCTCCTCTGAGGAGTTTTTACATGTTTACAAAATAGACTGAAAACTGTACCGGTACCTTTTTATGATATCCAAATGCAAACAAGACCAATTTTAACAATATTTATATGAGTTTTAATGCCTAAAAGTGGTGTGAAAGGGTAGGTGTCAGCTAAACAGCTAGGGAAACAGCACTTTTTTAAGATTTCCACATGAAATATCCACATATTTTTACCATCAAAAATCTGCAGGATTAGGTAGTTTTCTGTCAGCATGTATGGGACAAGATAAACAAAACCTACAGCGGACAAAATTAACCTAAACCCAAAGCCCCTCCCAGGAGCTTTAACAGAAAATATTGACTTTGTGATAATCCTGCTTTAGTATTAGCCATGAGTACAAAACATTATGACATTTTCCCTTTACGCATAACCAACATGGATTAAATGGTTTAATTCAGTGCTAAATAATGAACATTTCTGCCCATGGTTTCTAGCTTTGCTAGGCAAATAGTAATTATAGCATAAAGAGAAATGTGGCGGATTGAAAAAGTCCAGATATAATTGTCTGCTATCGAGCCAAAGAAATTACAAATGTCTCACACTTTTCTTGTGTGTGTGTGTGTGTGTGTGTGTATAGAAGTGCATGCACACCCTCATAAGTAACTCTTACAGCTCTGTGTGACTCTTAGAAAGTTGATAACTTTCCATGCAGAGTTTATCTGTAAAGACAAACTCCATATGCACACTCCTACGTAAACACACTCAGACACTCTGTTTTATTTATTTGGACATGCATCAACAACCTGAATCCTGCCGTAAGTGTTTTCATTGCATTTAGGTGTAAGCTGTCCTTATCTGACCAGCAGCGTTTGGTTCAAGTCCTGCAGCTCATCTAGGTGTGAGCACTGAAAAAGAAAGTTTCCCTGACTTAGCTCTTCACAATAAAGTCCAAAATATGTCATTACAGTCCGACATTACCATATAAGTGCAATAACTCTCCCAGAGTGCTCTGGCACTGGGTTGGGTGGTAGATTGATGCCTGATCAGAGCAAGTAAACACATGTTAATACCAAAGTGTAGCAGAAGCACAGAGTTGTAGCCAAGAGCCATGGGAACAAATATTTTCTCCAACATGTTTACTTGACCTTCATGCATAGAAATCATGTAACTGGTTCGGTGAGTGTTCATGTTGTGTACAAACGTTTGAGTGCCTTTTGCACAAATCTGCACAGTCAAAATAGAGCAATTTACTGTTTACATGCAGAAAAATCAAAGACAATAAAGGTTAGCAAGTGATTTCTCATTTTGATGCAGGATATCAGTTGAATCAATTTTGAGATTTTTGCATCTTGACATACATAAGTCAAAAGGTTTGTTGGATTCTGCATCATTGTGATTATTCTGTCCCATACTGTATCATCTAAGACCACACTCTGACATTTTATTGCATTTGGCTTTTCTGTGGTTAGCTTAAGTTTTTGGCTCGACCAAAGCGGTGCTCCTGTGATGGATGTGGTTGCACCAGCTACCGGTGTAAATCCCCAAAAAACAAAGCTTAGGGTTTTAGTTCAGCTGTCCTGAGTGTGATCACCCTGTGGGCCTCCTTTTTAACTCAGTGTCCTCAGATAAAGCATGCCAAAACTTTGCTCTCCGTGACTGCAATTACTCTTCGCACCCGACACTTCTGTCTTTTCTCCTTTTGTCTGTTTCTTTATTCAAACACAACTCCCCTGTTAGCATAGAGAGAAGAAAAAAAAAACACTTTTTCTGTTTCTAGCTTCGGTATAGAAAGAGGAGGATGTGCAAGGAAAGAGGTGAAAGGTGGCTGAGAAGGAGGGAGGAGATCCTGGCAAACGTCCCAACTTTCTGCAAGTTAAGATTTGACATTCAGGCTCGAAAGCACCGATGTTGGCTTGGGATTTGGCGCCGGCTCAATCTAACCTCTCTTTCATCTAACCACATGTGCTGAGTGTACAAAGGATATATATTTCATCATTCAAACGGGTTTATATGCATATAAATACTCCTGCGGTCCACTTCATTATCCTAATACCTTTCAAGAATAACCAAAAAAGAAAAAAAGTCTCAAATAGCCAACAAACAAAATAACCGCCGAAACAGCCACCTACTCGAGTAAGGTCTCAGCAGCCTTCAGGCTCTGTAACACAGAAACACATAGATACACGCGCACACGTTTGCCAAGGCCAGTTATGCAGTTGGCACCCCAAAGGCAGGAAATCAAAAGCCGTTTGTATTCACGGGGGCTGTTTGGAGGAAGAGGGTCGGTTGGTTTCCTGTGCCCACACCAGCGTGCAGCCGTGGGGTCCTGGCGACAGCCTCACACCCCTGTCTGCATCAATAACGCTGCACCATTGTGACAGACACAAAAGCCGTCTCAGGATAGGCCAGGAGAAAAAAAGGTGCCACTCTTTATTCATGCCTCGTCCCCATCACTTCCCCCTTGGCTGTGCTCAAAAATAAAGTCAACAGAGGTGCAAAGAAAGAGGAACAGAGGGCAGAACTCGACTGCACGAAAGTCTCAAAAACCAACGTCTGCTCGCTCACGCCAGAGCACGCTTAAGAACAAATGCAGCCGCTGAAGTGAACCAGGAAACAAGTACTTTTTCAAGGAGTTAAACAGAAATAAGATGAATAGGTTATAAATGAAAGTAAGGAGCTCATTGAGCAGAATGTGAGTCTAAAGTCTTCACCATTGTTAGAAAACTTGCTCGAGCACATCTCATTTTCCTGTGAAGACAGTTTTGTGTGGGTACAGCTGAAAACATTTTGACTGACATCTCCTCGGCTTGGCTCACAACAATGACACATTTGACAACAAGCATGATAATAGTTTGATAAAAAGCTGCTCAAACTATGTTACAGCTGTCTGATTAACAACCAAAGCAGGAAACTGAAGAAGAAAACATCTATCTGAATTAGCCTCTTAAAGCTAGTAGTCATTAGCATACACATGCAGCGTTTTGATAGCTTAATTTTTGGCTAACTTAAACAACAACACTCTTCCTCAAAACTGACTTAATCATGTAGGCCTAGCTCTGGTCTAATGCTGTGTTGGAATAACTTCGGAGGTCAGCTGTCAGAGCTGAAAATGACGTCACGCACGAGTTACCAGCGTTTCAGTTACGAGATCAGAAAAAAAACAAAATCAGAGGCGGAAACAAGATGGCTACATCTACAAAAATTATTTTAGCGCTTGCCTTGACCTTGTTATATTCGGAAAAGGTATGTAGCCATCTTGTTTCCGCCTCTGATTTTGTTTTTATCTGATCTCGTAACTGAAACGCTGGTAACCAAGCTGGTAACTTGGGTGTGACGTCATTTTCAGCTCTGACATCTGACTTCTGAGGTAACTCGAATGCAGCATAAGCTACAGAGGCTAAGCTAGTATACCTGTCTTGCTATAGATAGAACTACAGCAATAAGAATTGGGTTGTAGTTTTACAACAATGTAGCCATTTTTAACCACATACTTAATGTTGTACTTACATTTGTATGCTGCTTGTGGCATGTGGAGGAGCAGGGGCAATTTTGCACCATGAATGAGCCAGTCTAGTGAACAACCTGAGATTAGAAAAAAAATCTACTTTGAATTCAGAACATACGAGACAATCAGTGTTTGAATCGTTTGGATATGACAATGCTAGACGATCGTTATGTGTCGTAGGCTAGCACCAAACTGCCACAACCCCAAACTCCACCTGCTGGCGCCCAATAGGAAAAATAGACCAACCAAATGAGTAGATAAAAAACCAATGGTCAACGCTCAACACCAGCAGCCATCAATACTTGGCGCTAATAGGATGCTAATGCTTGTTTTAAGAAGACTGATGGCTGCTATTTGACCATTATCACCTGAAACTGGTATTCAAGTTACTCCAACACCACTTCAGATCCAATATGGTTGTAGTTTTGCACATTAGACTTTCTGTAATTTCAGTAATGTTGTGAAGATAATGCTGGATGTAATACATTAGAGGGCAATTGCTGGTTTGAGTTTTCAAAGAGCCAAACCCTTCAAGAGAATTAAGTGAGTCATATTAAACTGTCTGGCATGTTTTAAATATAAAATTTATTGACAAAGATACACGTGGCCCCAAATATCCTGTACAGATGATTCACTTCCTTTTGTTGACAACAGCTGACCACATTACAGATTTACAAATGTATTAGTACTGACATCGAACAGCTACACAGTCCAGGTTAAAATATGTACAGAGAGAGCGCCACAATCAATCCTCCAGAGCGATGACGACGTGGTACAAAAGAGAAATGATTACCTGCCAAAACATGACACAGTGCAGAATTTACTTTGAGGTATCTCATACAAACAAGTCTTCAATATGTTGATGGAGTCGCAAAGCAAGTGATTGGGTGTGTGTGTGTGTGTTATTTATCACAAATACTGCAAAATTACAAGTAGTTACAACTGTCTGTGGTTAGTCTGTGTGTCACTGGTGGTTTTTTTGATACTTGACTCATGCACTAAAGAACTGGAACAGTGATACTAACACAAATCAACAACAACACAAGCTACTGTGGAACATCACGACAGCCTGTACAATACACTTAAAAAAAACACATTCATCATATTTTGTATATACACAAAAATACTGTAAGTACTGTCTTCTCTTTTTTTCTGTTCACAACAGGTTAACAAGCAGAGAAAGAATGTGGTAACAGAGCCGTCGCAGACCTCAACCTCAGAGCTGTCAAAATGAAAAACTAGTCGACCACATTCCTCCCCTCAGTCAGTAATAGATGGAAGGAGAAATGAGGAGTGATGGGTGGCTCTCTGCGTCGAGAGTCCCTGGTCATAGTGCATTACAATGTCTACACGGCACATCCATGCAGCAAATCTCAGGTTCAGTGCATTTACTTTTCCTCTAGGAGCCATCTCAGGTACACTTCCTTGAGCACAAGCTCTCACCTGCTTAATAGCTATTGATTAAGCATCAGCTCAGTGGCTGGAAAATATTTTATCCATTCTTACGCCTCTTTTTTTCCACAACAAACCGATGAGCCGGAGATTCAAGCTTATTAGAAAAAGTGCTTCCCCAAGCTTCCCTGGTCGTGACGTTCATTTTCTTGCAAGTGTAAGCAACGCTTTCACTCAGTGAGAGGGACAAGAGATGGCTCTAGCATTTAGAGTACAATACGTGTACGGGACAATACAGTACGATAGCTTATCAACATCGACAGGCTGCAAGCGAGCGATGGTTATTACAGGGTTAAACATGAAGTATTCATCCTACAGTTCCATAAAACCATCGTCTATCCTGTTTGATACACAGCCATCAGACCCCACAGTGCATTTATTTACCCATTACAAAGTCCACCATGCTTTTCTAAATCTAACACACGTCCACACCCATCACTGTTGTCACAGCCTGCGTTCCCCATTCTCCACAAACTCAGCCAGGCTGTTCAGAGCCGTCTCCTCACTCTTAGATTGCAGGACGTGGTCCCCCTTCTTGGACGGCTTTTTAGTGGCCCGTGACAGCTTCCTCCTGAATGTATCTCCTGCCAGGAAGTAAAGAATGGGATCCACGCAGCTGTTGAGACTAGCCAATCCTCGTGTCACCTGGTAGGTGGCGTAGACGCGATTGTTAAAGTCGCACATATCCGGGCTCTGAAAGTACAGCCTGGCCCGCATGTTCAGGTTCTTCATCACGTGAAAAGGCAGGTAGGAGACGGCGAAGACTGCGAGCACGATGATGACCAGGTGGATGGATTTCTGCCGCAAGGGGGCGTTGTTCATGTCATTGCATATTAACGCTTTCACGATCATGCCATAGCAACAGAATATGATGATAAAAGGGATGCAGAACCCAAACACAGTCAAAGTCATACTGTAGATGAAATAACCAGGAAGTTCATCCTCAGTTGTGGTGTCGTAACAAATGGTTGCGTTACGCTTTAAGCCAGTCCTAGAATAATAAAGGATGGGGGAGATACCTATAACAACCACAGCCCACACTAAGGCGCTGGTAATAACTGCGTTTTTCTTCTTCAGTCGACCCAGAGACTTCAGCGGGTGCACCACACCGGTGTACCTGTGCACACTAATGCAGGTCAAAAACAGAATACTCCCATACAGATTCACATGGAATATAAAACGCTGAAGGCGACATAAGATGTCCCCGAATATCCAGTCTGTTTTGTTGAAGTAGTAAAAGATGAGGAAAGGCAGCGAGAGGACGTAACAGAAGTCAGCCAGTGCAAGGTTGAACATATAGACAGAGATGCTGCTCCACGGTCTCATGTGGCACACAAACATCCAGATGGCCAGGCTGTTGCCCACCAGCCCTGTAATGAAGACCATGATGTAGACGGTGGGAAGGTAGTAGAACTGGAAACCGGTCTTGGTGAGGGAACATCCTCTTGTGTGGTTGTGCAGATCGGTTACATTCAGCAGGGAGGTCAAGTTCAGGTCCGTGGTCATGGTGTCAGGGGTGGAGGCAGGTCCTTTTACTGCAGGACAGGCAGTGACACATGAGGAAATATGAGGCTTAAATTTGGCATTTCAACACAGTCTTTAACACTAAATAACAGGTAAGTGATATGCTGCTGTTTGCATGCAAACCCAGTCATGCACAGACTCGACAATCTGCTCCAAACTTAATTTTGCGTAACGCCTACGTGCCTCTAACAAACACTTGAGTGATTCACACACACAAACACACACGGTAATAATTAACGTATTACAACACTTACCGCTCAGAGTGACTTGTATTCCACATTCCTGTAGCCTTCACAGAGTCAAAGATTTCAGTCAACACACGGATGAGGCGTTAGGAGCTGTCAGGTGTCTTCATTTAGTCCCCTAACACCGGTGGAAATTGTTTGAAAAGTTGCAGTATCCTTCGGGTTAGCGCTGACACTTCAAGGGGGTTAAGAAGTCCGCCGTCGGTTCGTCATGCAGGGGCGACGAGTTCCCACAACAGCGGCGGTGGGACGCGCTGGAGACAGCTGCAGGCTCTGGCACGAAGAGCAGGAATTGCAAGCAGGCGAGAGGAGGCTCTCCGCGCTGTGGAGAGGGGAGGTGCGCACAGCACAAAAACCACCGAGCTGCTTCCCGACTCCTATCTGTTCCTCCCTCCTCCCACTGGACCCTGATCACAGCTGACCTGCATACACGTGCGGAATATGGATAAAGAAATATGGATGATCGTAATTTTAGTCACTTTTTGGTGATTTTTCTTTTGAATTAGGAGTTGACTTTGAAAACAACTCTCTTATTTTGTACTCCTGAATCACCAGAGGAGCGTTTTTGTAGAATTGGACAATCATTGTGAGCATATTATGCACATTTTATGCATGCCAAGAGGGTTAAATGATTACTTCTCATGTTGCCTTTTGAAATTTTATAGAAGTGCATTATTATTCAAATGTACAGTAATTGCTTTCTCATTGTCATTCAGATTTTGCATCAACTATTCCTCCACAGTGGGTGTCAATCATAAATAGAAAGGGGCAATTCATTAAGAGCAGAAATGGGAGATATTAAGACAGGGCACACGCTCATAAAACAATGAATTATCGTTTTCTACATCAAGATGGTCATTTAGCGTCTCCATAAATGCTGAGACAGACGTGTGGGACAGAGCCAAGGACGAAGACTGGCAGAGGCAGCAGACCGAGGGAGGATGGTGGAGAATGGGGAAGTAGAGAAGGGATCAGCCATAGAAAGAGGGAGCCAAAGGTTAAGTTAATTATACTGGGATACTAAATATCTTGGACAATGTAGAAAGAAGAAGAAGCCAAAAAAGTAGTGATTATCTAATGGATCTTGATCAGAAAAAAATAAAAAGAGAATAAATTCCCACAATAAACCCACTGTGTTCCCATTATGGTCCATAGAGGATATTAGGTGGGATGGTCTATCTCTGATAGCCTCTCCAACAGCAAAATAAACATGTCAAAGAGCAATAAATACCTGTGATAAAATCAAGCAGTGTGGTAAGTGCTTCTAAATCAGTGTGTACAGAACAGGCATATAAAAGAATTAAACGATCAAAAGACACTTTTTACTGCTAAATAGCTCCTTTTATATAAACCATAAACCAAAGGATGGCATGGGAAATATGTAAGGGTGACATTAAAAGGTGGTTATGCAAATTAGAAACCCCACAGGGTGAGGAGGCCCCCCTTTTTACAGCTCACCCTGAAGGGGGTCTAATTTGCATAACCACCTGTTCACTTTTTGTTTTCCCACTTCTTACCAACAGTTACCAACAAAAGACATTAAAAAGATGAAAAAATTGACTCAGAGGTGGTTTTATCTATACAAAAATGATTCATCTCTACAAGCAGAGGGAAAAAAAGTCACTCTGGTTTCACAGTTGGTGATGCTTTTATTGTTTGAGCTTCCTAATGAGAGAAATTATCATTAGACTCGCCATTTTAACTCATGGTAGTTAAACTGAACATTCTCACTGCAGGTCAGCAGGTGAGCAACACTTCTGCAGAACTTTTTATTGATATTTCTTTTCTCGTTCTCTTTTTACTTGTTCTCTTAGCTCTGCTGTTGACACACCATTCAGCACGGATGATTCAAATGTCAAAACTCGTAACGCTGTTGCTATATCACCACCACTTACTGGTTTAAGTTAGTTTGTAGCACTCAGCAACTTATCAGCTCTGCTGCAGGCAGGAGTGAAGAACAGGATCTTGCTGCACTTTTTCCTATTAGAGATGGTTGGGGCCCGGTAGCTCCTGAGGCTGCTCTCACATCTGCTCCCAGTAACTGAAATTATTTCCAGAAACTCAAGACCAGCATGAGAATATTTTTATTTGAAGTATCTGCCACAATGTTTACAGTTTAAAGCGCTGAAATAAACTAATGTTTTTGCCACAGTGTCAACAGGCAGAGATGAAATTTGTAGTGGAATAATTCATGTAAACAGGCGCCTTTGTTATATCTTGAAAATTAATGATCTTTAACAGGTTTGGACCATTAGAATCACATGAGTTATGCTGTGTTTGTCATGATATGTTCTGTTTGAGTTAGTCATTCCTTGGAGTATCCTGGAGTGTGTTTTCTTTGTGATTTTCCCTAGTGTTTTTTTTGTACCTTATTGTTCCTGTTTCCCTGTAGTCCTGTCTCGTAAGTTTTCAGTTTGTGTCTGACCCCATTTCCCTCATGTTCTCAGTGTTTTATTCTGTATATCAGTTTTCAGTGTTTCCTGTTTTATTTTGAAGTAGTTTATTCCCTGTGTTTCTAGTCTTGTTTTACTTCCTCAGTTTTCCCTCCTTAGTAATTGTCTTCACCTGTGTCTCTGTGTCTCACCTGCCTCTCGTTGCTCGTTTCCCTGTGTGTATATATAGTCCTTGTCTTCCCCTGTTTCTTTGTCAGTTCATTGTATGTCCATGCCTCTGTGTAACTTCAGTGTCTCCTCGTGGTTATTTTTCCCCCTTTTGATTTTTCTTGGATTTTTGATTTGGACATTTAGAAGTAAGTTTTTGTTCCTTTGAAATAACCCTTTTTTTTTGTCGTCCTGCATTTTGGGTCCCTTTTCTGTTTTTAAGAGGTTTTAACAAGGAGCTGTTGTGCTGTAAACTGCACAAATCAGAAAAACAAACAATCAGCAACATTACGACCCTGCTCCTGATATTAGAAACATCTAAAACAACATCACAACCTGGTAAATTGAGAGAAATTCATGGATATTTCAGTGTTTTTCTCATTTTGATGCAATGAAAGACAAAGCGATTTTCAGTGAAATGACATTTTATTGCAATTGTGTCAGGGAGAACTTGCAAACAATACGGCATCTTCATAGATATCTGTTTACCCCGAAGCAGGCTTTTGCCCCATGGTTGCGCGCACACCTATTGTTGTTTGTACACAAGAAACCCGTCTATAAGAGGAAACAATGCCAAGAAGAATGAAATCAAAGTTAAGTAACTTTTGCACACATTTAGGTAAATTCCGGGCTAATTTGCATGACAATTGTAAGCATTCAAAGTGTAATGAGGGTTTTGTGTTGGTATCACTATTTTGGAAACTTGCAGCATGACAACCTTCTGCTCTGCAGTTACGTAATCGGTTTAAGATACCCAACAGTGTGCATCTGCCAAAACACAGAGAATGATGGAGTTTGCACCTTGTGATTTATCTTCTGAGCTCTGTGCCAACGCTGTCAGTGTGCGGCTGCTGGCACAAAGACAAAAACTTGAGTTAATACCGCTGAAGCCATTTCGTTTGAGTTAACATCTTCTTTAAAATCTAACATGTGACACCTACAGAGAATCTGCTGACCCTGTTTGCTTTTACACCCTCGTCATGTCGCCCTGTGCAGCACAAGTGAAATGAAAAGCGAGGATGTGTTATATAAAGATTCAATGCAGGCCGAGCAGAGTTAAGAAACACTCACTGCACCTGCCACTACATTCCCTGCCAAGGACCCTTTTCCTATTTGGCTCTGACCTCCATTTTCTGCCCCAGAGGCTGCTGGGACAGAGATGTATGGAGCACTGCTCTACGTGCACTGTTCCATTAATTTGAATGTGATTTGCAGCAGCATTTGTGAGGTGGATGTCCCTCAAATGTACCACAGAAGATTCAGTGCTATGTTAATGTTTCATCACATGTTTACGATGGATTCAAGATCAGAAATAATGTTTTCTGTGTATGGTAATGTATAGATACAGACTCATGAGTGCAAAGACATAAATAAAATATGCTCCAGTATTCCTTTAAAACCACAAACAAATCCCTCTTAGGTATCCTCTCATTTTTATGCACTCTCTGTGCTCATTTCTTTATGTACTCTGAATACTGAATGCTGTCCCTTATTGAAATGCATAGTGGTTTTATAAACACTGACAATATTGTGTGGAAATCCTTATTGTGACTGTTAATTTTAAGACAATAACCTAATCTAAAAGTGCTCAAGTGCACTACTCACAAGACAGATATGTGTAGCAAATGCATAGGACACAAAATACCTGAATGATGGGTTACAAACAGTGGATAAGTCTTAGGGGCAGGTTGGAGTTTGCATGCAAATAAAGAGTATTATACCTGAGGCAGAACCTAAAAAGCAGAGGGGAAGCACAGGCCGAATCCCAAGCAGAGTAGAACACATAAACTTTACGAAGAACTTTTAGCCAACCTTATAACTTTTGACCTTGTAACTTTTTTTCTTCTTTTTTGATGTTTGCTGTTATATTGTGTTTTAAGTCTTGTCATTTGGCCTCTTGGACTTGTTTGGTAACCCTCGGAAACATATAACATGTAATCATATGCTGCGTTCCAGTTACCTTGGAAGTTAGATGTCGGAGCTGGGAATAACGTTACACCAAGTTGACTGCCTTCCAGTGAACAAGTCAGGAGACTAAGATGGACACCTACTGTTAGCCGTTGTTAGCTGTCGTTGGCCGTTGTCAGTCATCGTTAGCGGTTGTCAGCTGTTGTTAGCCGTTGTCTGCTGTTCGCCGTTGTAAACTGTCGTTAGGCGTTGTCGGTCATTGTAAGCCGTTGTCAGCTGTTGTTAACTGTTGTCAGCTGTTAGCCGTTGTTAGCTGTCGTTAGCCGTTGTCAGTCATTGTTAGCGGTTGTCAGCTGTTAGCCGTTGTTAGCTATTCCAGTTGTTACACATAATACAGTATTTTAATCTACAAGCACCATAGCATCGTGTTCACAGTTCGACACTGGGCAACACAACATATACGACTCATTTTATCTCACAAAAACAAAACAGAAGTGCTAAAAAATAATACAATAGGAGAGCTTTTACTGTTGATGCTCTGCGCTGCCATGTTGAATTATGACGTTGTCGTCAAGTCGGGGCTGGCGAGGATCGTCCGACTTTTGAAGTACGAAATCTGACTTCAGGAGGGCGTTCCAGGTGAATTTCTGACTCGGAGCTTGGAAATCCCGACTTCCAAGTACAACTGGAACGCAGCAATAATACCAAATCAATCTGAAGAAAAAAGTCTGTCAAATTTCACTACCGCCTGTTGACACTGTGGCAAAAATGCAGGCTTCACTTTTGTGTAACAAAAACAAAGTGAAGATTGTGGCACCTGTGTTAAAAGTACAACACCTTGTATCACTGAACCACCTGTTGAATATTTAAAACCTGGCCTGAGTTGAGATTTTGCTGATTCAGGTGATCCCATATGGGAGCGCTCGGTGTCAGTCGGAGCTCTGCTGTGCTGCTCATGCTTCCAGGTGTGAAGCTAGATAAGGTGAAAGTTAAATTTACCTTCTGCAGCTCTAATCCTCTCCCTCACTGTGGCATATACGAGCTGCAGACTCCTAGTCCGAAACATCCTAACCTCTGCTTCATTTCGTCTCGAGTGTGTAAAATGCAAAAAAAAAAATGCACCGGGAAGCGTGACATTATTGCGGACACTTTAAAGCAGGTCATTACTGGAGAGATGTGGCTGAAATACTCCAGCACACTTTAACAAGCCCGCTGGGTCCTGTTGTTTCTCAGCTGAACTGGTGAATTTATTCCCTCTGCCTCCGGTTTCAGAACTGATTGGATGTAGTTCTGCTGCTTTTCATGTCCCAGATGTAATCATGATGACAAGTGTGAAGCACAGAAAGCAAATTCTATTTGTCTGCAGTCCTGACCTGCATTTCTTTGCATCCCGCTTCACTAGCTCCTCTGACAACCCAATCAACGTCAGAGTCGGAGCGGCTAATAGTGTTTCCCGCTCGTGTCATAGTGGGACCAGATCTTCGCGGCAACGCTCAGTGATAAAATCAGACCGTAAGCCGCATTAGCATACTAAGACCAGCGTGCATCTGCCTCATTAAGGAAATCTAATCGTGCAAATTAGTGGATTTGCAAGAAACCGATTTCTTCTTGCTGAGCGTGCACCTCACTAAACCTCCTTCTCTTTGACTTCATCCGTCAGTTTGTTTCCTGCTCCTCATTTATCTTTTTTTTTTCCTTTTCTTTGTCTGTGAATGTTTTTAAAATTAAATCTTCATTCTCCAGTTTAAGGCACATCAATTTCCCATAAGAAGACCACACATGCACAAACACCCATAAGAGTGATGCACATCACTGTTGCTATTGAACTCTTATCAGCTGTCAACAGACTCTGCCACAAAATAATGAATTCTTCCTTTGCCTTTTTTTTTCTCTGTCACTCTGCATCACTCCGGCATTCCTCCTCCTTTTGAAAGTTCCCTTTCATGTCCCTTTTCCATTCATCCCATTTCAGATGAACATCCACCCCTCCCTCTCTTCCATGACTGAATTCCCTACTGCGAGGTGATGGGACTTGAAGGGAGCTTTTCACCCACATGGAAACGCTCAGCAGCTCGTGCTGTGTTTTCCCGCGCTTGTTCTGTGTTTCCAGCCTAAACACCCATTACGAGTGACGATGTGTACCAAAGGCCTGGGAGAACGAAACATTCAGCCACATTTCCAGTAATAGCATGTCTGATAGCCTGGCTGTCTCTCTCCCTGTGGGACTCCTGCTGTAATGACACTGCATGGCTGACTTGGTAACAAACATGGTCTTGAGCACGGTGTTATCACCCTCAGTCTGCTGTCAAAACTGTTAGTCTTGTGTTTACAGTCGTGAAAACTGTCCAACAAAACTTGGAGCGCGCGACTGACTTGTTTTTACCGTCGATATTTAGAATCAAAGCGGACTATTTCTGATCTGAAACTCTTGTGAGCTAATGGGAGCCTTGCAGGGAATTTGACATTTAGAAGATGGCAGGAAACAAACTGTTTACATGCTTACAGGAAGGGACAAAAACACATAAACAGGCCTAAAAGTGTTGGACTGTTTAATCCACATGGATATAAACCCATCCAACAACTTGTGTCTTTTAAAAACAGGTTCGTTTACACTGTGTAGCTGCATCTGAATAAACTCGATGGCTCTTGTGTGTTTTAAGGATTGTGTTTATTCTGAATGAGTGATCTTATCAATATAGTTTTCATAATTCTGTTAGGTAATCATAAAGAGGAACAGTTTACTTAAAGCTTCTTTTCAATTCTGTGCAAACGATCTGTCAAATGACACCTTTCTAGAAACAACTCACATTTACCTCCATGGTTCCTTTCAGCTTCTTTTGGGTTGTACTTTCAGCTGCTGCGTTCACAAGTTCGTCCTTTCGATGAAGTTTCTGTTGCCTTGCTCCAAACTGCACCAAACATCTGCCATTTGGCTGCTATTTACCATAAGTTGTACTGGGAAGTAGGCAAAGCTGCCATGAAGTTAGCTATTGGTTTGTGGACTGCTTATCTGAAGCCTTTAATTTGCATTTTGGCTGTGGGAACCGAAGTGACAAAGATAAAAGATCAGCGTTAGAGAGTAAGGCCATGTGAGTTTTGAGTGATGGACTATTCTTGTAAATAACCAGGAACTTCCTGAATCCCATCCTCATTAAGAAGGCTGGGATTCAGGAATTTTAAGAATTCAAAATATTATTATGAAAAAGGTATGCTGACAACTTAAAACTAGCAACTGAGGACAAAACTCAAATGTACTGGGTTTTAAAGCCAACAAACTTATTTTTATAACAAGTGGAGTCACCCCCTGCTGGCCATTGGACAGCTCAGCTATTAAGTCCAGGGGCGTATCTGAAGGGATGACCAGGGGTGTGATCCTATTTTAAAATAGTTTTTGACACTTTTGGGACTCATTGTGCCTTGAAATGCTTTTGTATTTACCATGTACTCAAGATGAGACCACAGTAATGCTCCCTCTTAAGGGATTTCCAGTGTTGTAAGTCAATGTTTTTGCATTAAGTTATTTTTCCCCATAATTTTTAAATATTTTGGGTGAAAATTCTGCCATAAAGCTACATATAACAGCTGTGCTACAACAACCTCTTCTATGGTCATGCAGATTTAATATTAACATTGTACAGTGTAGGAGCCTAGGTCCTACTTTGAGTTAATCAATATTTGGATAATTTAAGTTTATGTATTAAATTATTTTCGTGTTGATTGTGGTAAAATTCTAGTTATTTACATTATTTACAGTTAGATAATTCATGTTGATAAGTTCATTTAACTTACAAATATGTACGGATATTTACAGGTTCACAGGTTAACACTCACTCTCCTTTTATTTTGTATGTTGCGCACTTATATGTCTATATAGTCATGCTGGACAAGTGTATCGTTTTTTTTTTTCTTTGGGAGTAAACTACAAAAATGAACGAGAGGATCCTGTGGAGTTCTTTTTATCTTGCTAAGGGGATGATGAGGGATAAGAGCGTCAATCTCATGGCTTCATTGTTTAGGAACCTACATACAGTATGTCCATCAGTCTCTTATTTTTTCTATCATTAGCTTAAATTTGTCTTATCTGTTCAGCACAAAGACGTGATTTGATTTTAGCATTTACACATAAAAAGCCAGAGGAGAAAATGATTGATTTGAATGCTGTCCATGTTGCTATTGCCTAGCAACAGTGTTCCCATTTGGTTACCAATTCAATGCTTCACATGTTGCATTTGAAGGCAGTTTCATTTATGAGAAAGAACCTCCTCCTCTTCCTCGGGCTGTCACTCTGTTGTGTTGCTTTTTAGATACATAAATGAGATTTATTTGTGGACAGATGTGCACACGTCACGCCACCCCTAGATAAGTCATGAGGACCCCGACTGAGCCACCAAGTTAAAGAGTCTGGACACACCCCTGGCTAAGTCCGATTCTTTTTACATAGTCCAGGTTCAAATTTGGACTTTTACCAGATTGTCAGACATAGTAGTTGTATGAATAGGCTTGTGGGTATTCAGCTATCAATGTTGTGTTCTTGATTGGAGACTCAGGGATTGTTGAAAATTTGTACAGTAGCTCTGTGGAAAGATTGGTATTGACGTCTACAACTCATCTAAGCAGGTGTGCTCTCCTGCTCTCCTGATATTATGGCCAGAGACCTCGCATTCACACCAGATGCACGTTGAAAGAAAGGTCAGTCAAGTCAGGTGTACTCTTCAGTTTGGAGTAAACAGCTTGGGTGTGTTCCCACACGCACACTCGCACACACAAAGGTCAGAAGCTCCCCAGGGCTCCTCTGACTCCCACTGTGATCAACAGGCTAAACCTTCTGACCAATGCCACATGCGGCTCATGCTCATCTTTCACTTTTTATTAAATCTTCCTTCTCCCAACCCTCCTATCACCCCATCTGTTTTTCCTCATGAACACTATCTATCTGGATGTGAACAATTGGCAGACTATCATTTACTTTTGCTGGCCCACATTGAACAACTGACTTTTCTAGGATCTGATCAATTTGGCTGAATGTCACAGAGCCTTTCTATCAAGCAGAGAGAAGGTCAGTGTGTCCATCCTCTGTAAATACCACAGTAATGTAGTTCCCTGGCCATCATTCTGCCTTTTTACAGCAAACCCACTCTTACTGTCTGATATTCGAGCATTTTTGCAGGCAAACCGTGATGTGAATCTGAATCTAAGCTTAAGCCTGAAGAGGAGAAAGTTGCGGGAAAAGTTGCCCTCAGTGCCGTCTGGGGATCATCTTGAAATCTAATCAGGGAAACTCATATCTGTGATTATCCCTGTAAGGCTGTTTGTTATCACATGTTGCATACCGCGTGTCTCTGTAGATTTCTATCTCTTGATCTGATTCCTCACCTTGTATTTCATTCTCTCCTTTCGACACATCCATTTAAGGCCAGACGAGACCCTTTTGGACCTCATACAACCAGACAATCACGTTCATGTTTATACCACAGAACAAACCCCTCCATTTCTTATGTCAACACAAATGCAGAGGAACATAAACATTTGTGTGCATAAAACACACAGCAACATAAATCACTATGAGTTGTTTTCTTTTTCCCACTAAAGGTCCTTACACACTGAGAACGACGCAAATATACGACGCAGAATTACGAAATATTCAGAGGCGAATTTTGACGAGCCTGACTATACACATCAAGCGCGATGCGATTTTGCGACAACAGCTGACTGACTGTTTTTCATTTCTGATCAGACACTAGTGTTGAGATTGCTGTCTGTCATGATAGCATGTACTGAGTCGGGGCCAGTACCAGATAAGCACATTGAACTATAATCCAGAAACGTAAGGTAACAACCGAGACCTAATGGTGCTGTGACAGCAACGCGGTTGAGTTTGAGACGGTGAAAATACATATGGTATGTTGTATCTGAACAGGTTAGCTTACGAGCTAAAGTTACTTAGCACAGATGAAAGTTAAAACAAAGGCGTTTAGCAAACTGTTAAAGCACACAAACCATCGTCATATGAGAGATCTGACGCTATGACTCTTCACAAGTTGTCCTTCAGGTCGTTATCTTTGTAATTTTTGTGTCTTTTATCATAAAGTACTCTGTTCTCCAACACGTAAACAATCAGCCGGTCGGCCATGTTGGATACACTGGTGAATTTGACGTTGCAATAACATGAAATCTGATTAGTCAGAAGTGGACACACAGTTAGCAAAACCTTAGAAAATTTGACTGTGATACGAAAAAATAAATGCTGCGTTATCGCAGGACGGGAAAACACTCCTGGTGTGTAAGGACCTTAGACTGTATATACTATGGACAACCTGGTTCCGCCTTCCACCTGTATACGGATTTGAAGCCAAAAAGCTCTCAATATTTCCAGGATTTTTCTACATTTCCTGAAACCAGCGTTGCGCAATGGTGTTGTGCGCATTTGGCCGAGATTCGCCGAGAGTCGCTGTGATGACGCTCAGCTCAAACAGTGTATCCCCCGGGTGAGCTACGCAATCCCTGAACGCCAATAGGCTGTATCAAGTGTCAATCAAAGAAAACATGAACCCCCTAATAACTTTTAAAAAACGGAGCTTCACAGAAAAAAGAGGACTTGAGCACAAACCAGTCTTACTGTAACTAAATGTCAACATCGCAAGCAGGGGGGAGAAAAATGTATGTCCTGTGTAATAAATTTCTAAAGTTTGTCCACAGCCATATAAGCTTTGCAGGCGGGATTTATGACCCAACTGCAGCCGTCACCAGAGGGTGCTGTTCTCAGAGTGGTTTCACCCAGCAAGAAGGCAGATGCTGTCGATTCTCTATACAGTCTATGGTAAGGACCTTAAGTTAACCAGCTGATCCAACTGAGACCTCCAGATCGAAACAAAAACTAAACCGAGAATATGAAACTGGCTCCCAGGCGAGAGACCACACTTCCTGCAGCAGTGATTTAAACGTGTATTAGTTCACCAAATTTTCTATTTAGGGTCTAATTGCTGAGAGGTCCAGGCAGATGGAGCAGCATATGTACCCTCTTTCAACCAATTCTGCGCAGACTTTGGGAAACATTAATAAAAACAAGCCCTGCGAGTAAAAGGAGCAGCAGCTGGTGTGTCGCTGATGAATAGACAGATAAGGTGGTTTTAAGCTGTTATTTGAGGAACAATGCTGCTACAGCCTGGATGAGGAAAAAGCAGACACTTCTTACAACTGTAGATATAAGACATAAATCCTCAAGCACATGTGTCAGCCACAGGATTAATCCAACTTAATCCAATTTTCAATTTCACGTTTTTTTAATCTGTTTACCTGGAGTGACTACACCTTCAGCACAGATGACAAAACAAGCTAATCCCTTAACTTAATTTGGTAAAGGAAAACTGTTTAAAAGAAGAGGGAAAGTATGTGCTTAACCTGATTTATAAGAAAAGTGGGGTTAAATGATGTAAAATCCCTAGAGTGAAGGGTTTTAAGTGTCCGCGGTGAGGAATGTGCAGGGATTGCGGAGCTGAGAGGTTGTCTAATGGAGAAGGTTCCCTATTACTCAATTATTTCCAGCCCAGCAGCTGGAAACGAGGATGCGGAAATGTGCAGATGCTTTGAGCAAAACAGGGTTGAAAGAAAGGGGGCTAATGGTGCGCATTAGCGTAAAGCTCTTTATGTGGCCATATATGAGGCTAATGCTGACTCACAAGTACATACAGGATGTACATTATCATGCTTTCCAGAGCTGCTGCACATCAATACATCTCTCTGATAGGATCCCCTCTGAAGTAAATAAGATTTTAATCAAATAATTTCTGGATGACTTCCATTTTTACCCGACGTACAGTGGTATTTGCCTGCGGTGGTTCTATGCTGAAAGAGGCTGTAACTCTATTTGTATTCGTATCAGAGTTTCCCCATAACTGCCTCAGTGAAATGGTAAAAAGATAAATGAGTAAACGCGCCATCTGAATGTATAATACCTTATATTATCAGCATTAGCGTCCTGTCTGTGAACCAGAGCAAGAATAGCTCTGATTCACTAAATCCTTAATGGAATAGATGAGAAAAGACAGTGTTGATAAATGGAAGGAAAGCAGGGAAAACGACTTTGTCAAACTTTTCCCATTAGGCAACCAAGTTAGCATAAAATTACTGAGTGGAAAAGGAACAAGGGCGGTTTGTCGTGGCGAAAGATAAGTAATGTACTTGAGACGGAGCGCAAAACGTGAGCAGTAAATAGTTTCAAGGATCTACTGTAAGGTGCTTAAACTAGCGTGTATAAACATGCGGAGGAGTGTAGCCGCGCATTTAGCAATCATGTTGAAAGACAGAGGGAAGCGAAGAAAAAGAAACAACAAAAAAAAAGAAAAAAAAAAGAGGGTGGCAGGTTGACAGTGAAAAGGCATGATGCAACAAGTCTGCTCGCTCATTCTCTTCGAGTGTCTCTCTGCATACAAGCATGCATGCCAGCAGTATTTTCTGGTCCTTCTTAGTCATTTCTCATGAAAAGGACATGCAGATTAACCACATTCCAAAACTTGCTCATGTTTGCTTTTATTTCGCTAAAGCAATTTCGTTGCCAAATGCCAAACTGAAAGAGACACATTCAGTGCACAAAAAAACTGCTAAATTATAAACTGACACGCCGACTAAAAGACCCCGAGGCAGTGTGCCGATTCTCGCTTGAGAAATAAAAGGAAATCATTAGAAGTGAAGTTTTATTTATTATTTTTTTTATCAATATTTTGCACCATGACAGGAGCTAGAAAGAGATGGATGGAGCGCAGGAGGGTGGAAGACATAAAAGGTGCATGAAGAGAGAGCACATACAGGGAGGAGAGATGTAGCAACAGGAAGCTTTAGAGGCAAAGAGAGGGAACCAAAGAGTGAATGAATAAAAGAGGAGCGAAGAAATAAAAGGATGAAGTGTGAGTATTAGGCTGAAAACAGAGGGAAAACTGACTGATATGAATAGAGACAGGAAGCAAGTGTCTTACATCTGGGAGTGAAGGGAGCGCCAAGAATGAGACAATCCATCCTTTCTTATTATTTGAGGCAAAAAGCGGACAGGAAGGCAGCAGTGCACCATGGGAGTTCTGAGGCATTTAATTGGGGATGAAGAGGGCCAAGAGCCAGGTTCAAGCTGAGCTACACTGAAGAAAAGTAATTTGATTTTCAGGGTGAACTTTCAACCGTGTCCCATGCTGACTCCTTGCAACCACAAAAAAAGCTGTAGAGTTCTGTGACTGAAGTGAGAAAAGCTCATTTAGACTCACATGAACAAAGCAGATTCACCGGCCTTGATGATAATCTGACAGAGAAGCATCACGGTTGATCAAAACATCTTAATAAGAATGATGAGAAGCTTTTCAAAGATGACGGTAACTCAAAGTGGTAAACTAACCTGATTCATGTGTCTGTGGACCGTGGGAGTAAGCTGCAGCGCCTGAAGTGCAAACTTCACCACCCTGCTGGCCGGTGATTCAAACCAGGAACCGTCTTGCTGTGCAGCAAGAGCGCTAACCACTAGACCACCGTGCAGCCCCGCGAATGTGTGATTTTTCACTCCAAAATAAAGAGCACAGCCTGCCTCATAATTCAGTGTTGGTGTAGTGTATACTCATCAGTTATTCAAAAATCTACTCTCATGTTGTGACAGAACACGGATCAGTGCTTGATGGATGTAACAACAGCTCTCTAATGGATGAATTAGCCTGTCTGAGATCACACTTAGGGTTACGAGTCCAATAGCATTGTGTTTTTCTTTTGAAGTACTGGTAAAAAATACTACAGCTTTATTATAAATGTTCACTTTTAAGATTAGACAAGATACCTGAAGTTAAGTTAAATTAAGTTGAGATGAGATAAGATATACTTTATTGTCCTAGAGGGAAATTCATTGTAGGCAGAAGTGCAGGTAGACTGTATCGCCATACAAGACAAGACCGCGTCACAGAACAACACATAGTAACACACAACAGCCACAAGACAACAACATCACTTTCAAGCACATGACAACGACAGAGCACCAATCGTACGATGACATACAGTAGCATCGAAAAGCAACAAGTGTTGACAGCACCAAAAGGCAATAATGAAACTATTGCATAACCCTGATCCTTAAGAAAAATATACAATACAACACTGAATACAAGAGTAAGAGCAGACAATTTGATCAACAGTGCTATAATAAAAGATGAGGCACCACTATTAATAAATAAGTATAGAATAAATAGATGAGTAACTAGCCTACTAAGTAGGCGGGCATATTCTGGGGCTAAATGTGGCTTATTTTGTCAATGCAGACAACTTTAACATTAAAATAAAGCCTAAATGAGGCTTGCATGCTCTACTTTGTAGCCAGGAGGGCTCTCTGAGTGAAGTCTGCCCAGCTTTAGGAAAGGAATTAGAACCACAACCTTTCAGCTGTTAGTATGTTTTCTGACTCATAGATGTTTGTGGTAGTTAAACTGGGATATAATGCACTTTATAGCCCACAAGCCCGGAACAATTACTGGTTATATGTGCTCATTAGAAGAGGCAATGCCATAGGATTACAATGCATATAAAAATTAATTAGCCATAAAATGCTTAATAGTGAGACAGAGTAAGAGGCTATCATAGCAGTGGAAGGAAACCCTGTTGCAGTGTTTAGCTCTGCAGCTGCTTTGTTTTGATTGGAGTTGCGTTTTTTATGCAAACAAAGGATTTTCCATTAAACTTGATCAAACTACTGGACACTGATTTATCTGTAACAGTGGTATTAAACAAAGAAATTGGACTTAAAGAAGCTAGCAAGACATCAGCTTGAGGCAGCATTAGCCTAAAAGCTGCTGCAGTGATTACTTTCCTTGTCTTCAACAGTTTTTTGGCTGCATGACTTCCTCCCTCATTTTTTAAGCTCATGGTATCTTAGTTTTCTTCTCTCCTCAGACTCCTCAGTTTTTACCCCCTGGTGCTTTCTCAGACACATTAGCGGAACACCAAATATGCTGCTTTTTTAACTTCATATAAGATAGCAGCATGGTCTGGCGGGCACCGTTTTCCAAGCCTAATAAGGCGACAGGAAGGATTACAAGAAGAAGTGAGCGTAACTTCATTCACTCTGTGCTTCTCCAGTTTCAACCAGCCTGTTGTCATTGGCTAATTAATACTGGTGCAGCAGGCAGAGATTAGTCCAAACATGATTGATTTGAAAGGATCTGGTTCTGCCTCAATCCAGGCTCAGGAAGGAGGGGAAAAAAAAAAGACTCCTAAACTGGTCCTATTTGTTCTAGTGTGATGAAGCGTCTGTCTGAGTCACCATGCAATTGAGAATTATTCACTCACCAGTTCATGAGAAACTGCCAGCGTCAGGTTTGGCTGCCTTCATGAATACATTCAAAGTGAAGGTCACACTGAGGAGCACGGTGGCGGGTTGGGCACTGGAGCAGGAAATAGCGAAGAATTAGACTGACTTGCTCTAAATAAAACAGCAAGTCACTTTTCCCCTCTGCCTCGCTTTGACTCTTCGCAGGTGTTTAAACACGATGCATAAACGCGTACACGAGGCGGCATTTTAGGGGAAAAACTGTTCTTTTAGTTTCTTGTGTGGAGCCGGCGAGTGGGAAAAAAAGAGACAAATCTACTGATAGAGCTTTCAGAGGCAAAGTAAATCTCCTGTAGTGCGATTGCTATCTTTTATATAACCGGCACAAACATTTCCTGTTCTCTGTCTCCAAATAGCTCAATGTAAGAGTGACATAATATCAGCACCCAGGGAAGCTTGTGTGGTGGAAGGAAGTACTGGAGAGTGAAAAGATCCATAAAAGAGATCTTTGGACACGCTGAGAAAATGCTTATTTGATTTCTTGCCAAGAGTAGGATGGAGGGGTCTTATCTTTACCAGTGTAAAGAAGCTTTTAAAGTGGTCCTGTTGCATCTGATGGAGCGGAGGTTTACTCGCTTTTAGGCTCAGTGCACAACCTTTACAAGATCTGTGATCAACCTGTCCATCCTGCTTTAAGATTATATTGAAATGAAACTTGAGCGCCAAGTTTCAGGGCTAGTGCCTCGACTTAAAGGGATATTCCGGCGTAAAATTAATTTAGGGTCAAACACACCATTACACCGACTTGAACTTACCCCCTCTAGAGATGAATGTTGCAGACTGCTTGCTTCTCTAGTTATACTTACTGTAGTGACGGCCACACAATAGCAATACACAGCAGACTGAGGATGCTCAGACTGAGCATTGTTTGTGGTTAGAGTGGCGTTTTGGTTGAGGTTTGTTTATGGCGCCTCAGACCGCTGTGTATTGCTATCATGTGGTCGTTACTAAAGTTGGCACAACTAGAGAAGCAACATTCAGCAACATTCATCACTCAAGGGGGTGTCTAAGTTGGTGTTACCGTGTGTTTGACCCTAAATTAATTTTACACCGGAATATCCCTTTAAGCTTATACATCAAGACTTGGAAGATGAGGAAACTTGTTTTTTGTGCATTATCATTTACTCATTTATTGCAACTCCTTCTGATCTGCTTGTAACAAATCGACTGAGTGAAAATGTCCAACTAGTCTGTGAGAAGCAGCCACAGAGCTGCTGCTGTAAAATATAATTCACCAGTAATGTGGCACAAAAAAATAAGACAGAAAGGTGGAGCTGCTACGTGCACGCACAGTATATGAGGTCTTCTATGCCAAACTGCCTCCCTAAGCAATAGGCCCCCTTTACTCTTCCTAAATCTCAGGGAATTAATTACAACACCGGTGATGTAAGTGCCAACTGGCACAGTGCCGATGGCTCGGTGATGGCCTCAGTGAACAGACTGCTTTATGAGCTAAACACGGGTGGCAGAGATGGACGAGATAAGAAGAGTCAGGGAGAAAAAGATTGAAGGAGCTGTTGAGGAAACTCATTAATGAGCGGCATGGATTGAGGGTACAACACATGCACATACAGGAGCTGTGGTCTGATTTATAGTCCCGTACTGTAGATTTATAATAAAGCATCCAAAGCCTTTCTTCAGACTCAAAGAGGAAGCTCAAACCCTCTTCTACCCTCCCCACCTTCACAGGCTGGAGGCTGGTGCTGTGACAGAGTTGATTTGAATCCATTTTGGCTTCTCACTCATGTAACTCCTCATTTCATCCTCTGAGCTGTCCGCAGAGTCCTGTCACAAAGATGAAGTTTAGCTTACACCACAGCTGTTGCAACAGATTTTCTCCCTCTTTCTTCCTGTGGGCTCTGGTGTCACAGTGGGATCTTTCTTTGGGCTTTGTCTCTCTCTATGCAACTCAAGCTCCAGACTCTTCTGCCTCATTCTTAAATATCTGCACAACCCTGTAAAGACAAACCACTCGCTAATTAACCCACAATAAAAGGATATTGCACAGTATGCCAATGGGACCCACATCGTGCCGCCTCTGACCTCCTCTTTGTTTCCTTTGTCCTCTTCTTTGTGTGCTACATGTAGCGCCAAGGGACATCCTGTCAGCATGTGAATAGCCACTGTTCATCTCTGGATACAGCTGTGCCCCCTGTACCCTCTCTGCATGACCCATATTCTGTTAGCAAAATGCCCTGACAGATGTGATGCAGCCACCCTCTGACTTTCTCCCCATACCCAAGAGCTAAAATATTCTTAGCTCGCTTTAACGTACAATGATATTGGTTGAAGTTTCTTGCAATTCCTCTAGAGTTGACTTGTGGTGTTAGGGCTATGATTGTTTAGTCTAAGACCTTTGTCCAATGAAAGCCAAGCTAGCATTTGAGAAAATGACCTTGCATGATACTTTTTTCAAATTCCTGCCAGTCATTTTTTTTAAAGATTCATTTTGGAGCTTTATTAGACAGGATGGGACAGAGATGAAAAAAGAGAGAGAGACAGCAGGGAGTGACATGAGGGAAGGGAGCCACAGGTCGTAATTGAACCTAGACCACCCCATGGGGCACGCTTAGACCACCCCCATGACTGTCATTGTAACAAGAGTGTCACAACCTGGAGTCCCTCAGAAGTTTTTTCCTGAACTTTTTCCTTTACAAAAGATGTTATAACCTAAAGGCATGGTTGACGATTGGAGAGATTGGTAATTATTATGAACCTCGTTTATATGGCCATCATGGTCCCATAGTGCAATCTCCACGAAGTGAAGAACAAAAAGAATGGAAAAAATCTGTTCTCCCTAGCAGTTGCAGGGCTGCGAAAACATTTACAAATGGGAGTCATCCATCCCAGACGCGATATTTTTTTTGTAGGATGGTAGGGAAAAGTCCCACCTCCTTCGCCTCTGATTGGCTAGAAAAGCTTGAAAGGTTGTCACATGCTCAAGCCAAATGTGGGCTGTCGGCTCTGTACATCCAACAGAACATTGGAGAACATTATCGCACTTCTGAATCTCCTAACCCTAACCCTAATTCTAATCCTAGCCCTAACCCTTACCCGACATTTCACAGCCATAAGGAATAACCAATCAGAGCTCAGCACTTCTAGCCAATCAGAGGTGAAAGAGGGCAGGACCTTCCCCTACCATCCTACAAAAAAAAATTCTGCGTCCTGGACAGCTCCTATTGGTCAATCTCCTGCTCTGCCTCTCCATCCAATCACCACTTGAATATACTCAAGGGAGTTTGTCTGTATCTCTAGAGAGTATTCAGCTCCAAGATCATTGTGCCTTTTAACAATAAGGAGGAAAAGGATATCTAATATCTGATACAGAGAGAGGCCTGTGTCTAAACTTCAATATAACACGATTGGGGCTCAGCTGGTGAGGAAACAGTCCTCTAGACTAAGCATCTTGAGAAGTGAAGCGAATGTGGAAGTGCTCGAAACTGTAGTTCCTCAGGTGTCCACTTGAGGCTGGCCACTCAATCCAGCTTTAAGTGGGCATATCCGAAAACCCTGTCTACGGTGCTTTGAGTAGTGTGAAGGAGGTCGCTCATTGTCTGAGTGGTTTTATAACTACCCTTGAATTAAAACTTGAAGAGGCATTTATATGAGTATTGGATACTCCATAATACAAACTTGTAAGCACATGTGCAAACATTGCAAAACAGATGAGATTGTTATTGTCATCTTTTGTACAATTGCGATTGTAATCAGTCACCTATATGAAAGTATCTAAGGTCTAAACTTAAGTCTGCTTGCTTTGTATATGACTTCAGTGAGGCCCCAAAGCCTCTGTTAGACACGGAGCTCTGCCCCTGACACTTTTTAAAGTGGCTCTTTCACACATGTCCCTCATACTTGAGTCTTCCCTGTCAAACAAGGGGGGCTGGTAGTCAAGAAGAAGGAGACGAGCCCCAGGAGACAAGACATAACATAAAGCACCCACTTAAAGGAGCCTCACTGCTGTGTTTACGACATGATGGAGGGAGTAGTGGGGACCATAACTAAAAAGATAGTTTGTGCATTGTTGTGTTTGTAATGCTGTGTGCTGATATCATCTTATGGATGACTCGTCTTCTTCGCTTTTGGATGTTGTTATTTGGTCGGTTATAGGTCACTGTTCTGTGTTTTCACAATTATCAGGGTAGGGGGTGTGGGCCCCTTAAGAAAAGCATCAAACTGGGCCCCACCACTTCGATAACAAAAATGTTCTGCTATTTTAAGTGCCGTCTTAAGGAATAGACCCGTTAAGAGGTCCTGACTTTTCTCTCTCCGGTGACATCCCCCCGTCTGCCTGGTGGCTTTGAACTTTGAACTACGTGTTATAATTGTGTTTTACTTTGCTAGTGTTAGATTTGAACTTTTTCACTGAACTCATGCAATTTAACAAATATTTTCATTTAGCTTATCAGTTGTTCTCATTTAGTCAGAGAGGTGTGACGTCTAGCTTGATAAGGTGGAACCTGATGAGCAACAAGGCTCTTTTTGTTCTGCCGGACAGGTTTGCTTCAGAAGTTACATGCCTCAAGGCCAACAACACACACACACTCAAATTTTATAGTACATTTTAGTAAAACCATGTGAACAGTGGTTGGGCTCTTCACGTTGGAGATAACTGGCCAATGATACTCGGTTGAGTAAGCGGAAATTTCAGTCTGTGTTAACATATGCAGTCCATCCTGAAAATTTCAGTCTGTGTTAACACATGCACCCCATCCTGAAAATTTCAGTTTGTGTTCACACATGCAGCTCATTCTGAAAATTCCAGTTTCTGTTCACACATGCAGCCCATCCAAAAAATTTCAGTTTGTGTTAACACATGCAGCCCAATCCAAAAAAGTTCAGTTTGTGTTAACACATGCACCTCATTCTGTAAATTTCAGTTTGCTTTAACACATGCAGTCCATCCTGAAAATTCTGGATGTTTCAGGACTTCTGTGCATGTGTGAATACAGCTTCAAAGCGAGACTATGTCCATCCATCCTCTTCAAGACAGTTCTGTTTCTTCACAAACAACCCTAACCAATTTTATGTTCAGATATTCCCTCTAAAGAGTAACTACTGAAGGCTCAGAGCTCCAAACAAAAGTGGTGTGGCCTTGTAATTGTGATGAGATTGGTAATTATCAGCTAAGACTTCTACAAATGCGGAATAATCAATTTCACTACACATTCAGCTTACAAAGCGCCTGATAAATACAGTTTTATAAATTGTCTGAAGAACCAAACAAAGGCCCAGTCTCTTTAAGGAGCATTCAGTTGCAGAGCTCCATCAAAACACAACACACTCTCAGGCCTGTTATTGGCAGCTCAGCAGATGGTTGGTGTTAAATTCTGTGATGGACTGCAGCCGGCCGGATCGATAGCTCTCCTCTTCCAGGAGGAGATGTGATTAGACTAACCTGCTGCTACTCCCACTCTCTTTTTCCATCAGCGAAGGAAAACACTCAAAATACACTTAGTGTAAACATACACACATAAAAACACACTTACTGTAATGACATACACCTGGAGGTATGCACACACACACATGCACTCCCACGTGCACCCTAGAGAAAATTGAATGTTTGAGCTTTGCTCCGAGTAGCACTCAGAGAAAGTCAAACAGTGACTCAGCAGACAGACAGACAGAGAGAGAGAGAGAGCAGAGAGGGGGAGACAGACACAGACACAGGTAAGGAGGGCTGCATAAAAATGATGGAATTAAAGCTTTGAAGTGAGAGAAAGAAAGAGCCATAATTTCACTGTCTATATTTATTTGATCATCATGTATCAACCCTAGAATTACCGCTCTGACTTATTTCTTCTGCACGTACATCTCCTCATGATGCCTGTTGTCTCTGATCCGTTGTTTATACTTTATTTCAAAGGAGGCGTAACATCATTATTCCCTGACACTGATGCATCTCGGTTGCCACATCACTTCATTTTAAATCTCACTCCTGCCACTGCTGCCTCCACTTTCTGCTTTATTTTACCATCTCTTCTCTTTTTCCCCTCATGTCTCACTTTCGCTTCGTTTCACACTCTTTATCACCCAATCGTTTTTTTTTCCAATTATCACATCTAATGAGTTTAGATCATTAGACCATGATGGGGTCAGTAATCTAGCCCATGAATTGAAGAGACGCCCCGTATCTCTGATGCACATTAGAGGTGTTTGAATTGGTGTTACATTTTAGAGTGAATTTCTCCCCTCGGAGGTTATTCATTACATAACATTAATTGTCTATCAAAAGAGTGAGTGCCCACTGTGACTCCTCTGTTTTTCCTTTTCTAGACAGTGAGTGCAATCTTTCTCTATTCAAAGTTCACACATTACTCAGCCTTTTTCTTTGTTGTCTTTAACAACCTAATTGAAAAACCAGACTTGTCGAGAGGGGCAGCAGTAAGTAAGATTCATGATGCGTTGCCGACATGAAGTCGTACATCATAGTTTGTGAGGCGGGCGACAGAAGCTGCCATTATTGGATCAACGTTGCTTCATTAAGTCCCAACACGACCCAGTCTGTGGCTTGCGCCTGTGGACAGAGAGGAGGAAGGAGAGTAAGAGAGAGAGAGAGAGGGGTGAAGAAAGCCAAAAGCTGAGGGAAATAGAGAATGAGAATGGAGTTAAAGAGGAGAAAAGGCAAAAGGGAAGTGAAAAAAAAAACACTCGAACCAAGCTGAAGCCGGCCAGTTTGTTCTGAATCCAACATAATTTAGCGTTTTTTCATTGGCAGAAAACGTGATGCAGTAATCGTTGAGTAAGCGAACAATGCATCAGGGATTGTGGCCAACAGCTTCCTGTTTATTCTAGCTTACTCCACATTTCCACAAAGACTCAGGCAGCGGGTTGGCAACCCCCTGAATGGTGAACCACCTCCAAGTTTAGAGGCTTATTTCCATCAATCTGTCGGTCTAATTTCCCAAACCACATTTCCTGTAACCTCACTGGGTTACATTATAGCTGCAGCAATACATTCATACCTGACAAATTCAAACCCAAATATCTAATTGTACACACTACCACAGTGATAGACTAACAGGTGTGTGCAAATTCCTGTACTGCTGAGCTGTGGGCCCAGACTGGCAAAGAGAGGGTGCCATCTAGTGGCTGTCCTTTGCGTCGCAGCAGCAGCACAAATAACGTCTTGTCTTTGGAGACATTAGTCCTTGGAAACTTGCTCAGGTTTTTTCAATTAATCCAGATAATTAGACATGCTTTTAGGACTGTATTGGCATGCACAGACTGCACTTAAGGCCTAATCAGCCACATTAAGTGGAAACACCTGCGTCAGTGCGAGGACTTAAATATCATTGAAATGCTAAAATGCTGTCTCCTCCACAGCGAGTTTCAAGGTATTTTTCCAACCCACTAATTTCATTCGCTCCTCCGAAAAACTGCATTTAAATGAAGTCACATTCACGTCTTATCACTCCATCAGTACATGCCTCTCTCAAAGAAGTGAATCACATTTCTCTATCTCAATTAAAATCTTTGCTCCTAATTAGAAGCTCCAGTGGGTAGGACAAATTGATGCATCATGCGCAGAGATAGCTCAAATAGGATTTTAATGAAGAACAGATTGATCTAGAGTTACCAAGTAAAATGAAAATGATTAAAACATATTGGACCAATGCTGGAGTTTGGAAGATTATCACGCTCATACATGAGTGGGTATAAGTAAGAAAACAGCAAATAAACAACAATTGGATGGGAGAAAGGCATTTACAGTTTGAGTGTCTGACAAAAAGGGTGATTATTGTTGCGTGAGTCCGACCTTTTTAACAAGATCAAAAAGTTATGACTGAGACTGCAGTTGAGGTGAACATGATGAAGCATAGTCTGGATAAAAAGTAGACTAAGTTACTGACTGATGCAGATGTAGAGTTTCATCACATCGTAAGTAGAAGTTTGCCTGTTGAAGTTAGAAAGTTGGTGGTAATGTGAGTGTGTTTCTGCCTCAATCTTTTCAACATTATGGCTTATTAAACAAACACCAGGATTATTTAAGTCAGAGTTTCCAGGACTTTTGTGGATGTGTTTGATGTTAGATAACTTGTTGTTTCTGTGCTTCGAAAGGAAAATGGCTCTGTTAAGATGAGATTTAGGAAAACTTAGAGCATATGCATAGTTCATGTCATCTATAAGGCTGCTGGTGAAACCCAAAGTTGATTCAAGTGCTTTTATTTAAGTTCAAACCAGAGAGACGGTGCGTAACTTTAGCATTTGACTTATGTTTAAGCATCGAAATCATCATATTTGAATTAGAAATAAGTATTATTATCTTAGTCTCCAGGGTTAGAGTCCAACGATAAATCTGCACACAACCCTTGTAAAACCACAGCTCTTCTGATTTATTCTTCACAATCAGACTGTGTTACTAAGTGGATTTAGTCTTTAGTTTTGTCTTAAGGCTAGATGATTTTTCCCAATACCCTTCTTTGCGCTGAAATAAGTTAGCCAGCCACTTCCTGCGGTTATGGGAATGAGAATCCTTACAGGGCAAGAGGTAAATAAATCAGGTCTCACCCTGAAGGATCTCAATTTACAACCACCTGCTTACTTTACACGATCATGCTCATTACCCTTATAGAAAATAAAACTTTAAACAAGTTGATATAAAGCACTGATTTATGGCTTAAAATGCATACAGCTTAAAATAGAGCCTCTCCTATTTTATATTTGATTCATATTCTTGGTTTACGTTACTTTATAGCAAAGGGTAGCCTCGAGATGCACGCTACCCTTTGCTATAAAGCTCTCTGCCATTGCATGGATTGCAGGACAGGATCCAGTATTCAAATTTTCCACATTATTTTGCGTATTAAAGAAGCCTAATGATGTTTTTGCCAGTGTCAACAGACCAGGTGAAATTTGCTGGACTCCTCTATGTAATATATCAAGTTGCCCCTGATGTCAGCCAATCAGAATCTAGTATTAAAGGCGGGTCATTGAATTCCAACCAAAACAGACAACGGTATTGACAGTCACGGCGCTCTCTCTACTGTGAAAAAGCCTATAGCTGAAACCTCCATGAGTTTGACAAACACGTCTCAGAGCACATTTTCTTAACTTCAGTTCATTTGTAAATTTTTATTACATTTTTTTAATTCATAACAGCAAGAATTAAATATAGCAAAGCAGGCCCCATGACAAAATGTGTCAAGAACTTTTTTTTTCCCAGTCATCTACAAACATACGTCAAAGTTGGCTGACATACCCAGGTTTTATTAGCCACATCTGTGATTTTAACTGATATGTGATGTTATAGATAATAAAACCCCATCAAACACATTCGTACCAGTCTTACAAGGTTCAGATAACCACCTCTGTTTCATTTGCGGTTCCTTCTTCTATAGCTCTTTCTGATGAGATTATATTTTATGGCTTTAGACAGTGACAACCAGTGATTTTTTTTTTTTTTCTCTACAGGTGCTTTCAGAGCAGGTGGCCAACGTGCAAACATGACACATCCTCTCACGGGGCCTGCAGCAGTAAAACAAGCAGAAGCAAACTGCAGCAGAAGACAGAATACATCATATCAGCACTACAAGCAGAGAAAACAAACAACATATGAAAAAAAAGGTTCAGTTTACATTATATCATAACTGTAAGCATGCGTGCTTGTAGGAGATGAGAGATGACGAGGATGACCAGGACGGTGTAATGACCAAACCACAACACAGTATCTCAGTCTGAAATGGTTCTTGAATCGAGCCTGATGTTGAACGACATTCCTGTGTGGTCAGTTTCATCTACTACAAAGCACAGCTTACATTAACATAAAGAACATACTTATAGCTATGGTGTTTGTGTTGCATGTATTTTAACTCCCAAAGTGGTAAAACTTTAGTCAGGATTTTTTTTTTAAATAAACCACTATTCTATTTTTTTATTTTTATATATTTTATTCCATTACATTGATAGAATATTGTATACTGTAAATACGTCTTTCTGTGTAACATGTTTTCTTATTCAGTATTACTGTGGTGACTTTTTTTCAACGGTATATGTATTTCCTTTAACATGCATCCCTCTCGGAGTAAAGTAAAGAGACAGAACGTGTTGTGATTGGTTGGGGCCTGGGAGGTTGTGGCCGTGACACACAGACCTGTTGGTACAGGCAGGCTAGGGGACCAGACAAACCCAGTCAAGCCCTCAGGCTGGAGGTCAGTGAACACCTCCTCCGGAAGGTTACCTGGCAAACTACAAGCTGTTGACGAAAAAGAAGAGCAACACTTGGCCTTTTCGAAAGGGGTCAGAGACTGAGAACTCAGTGCCCTTTTTGATGCAAGCAATTTTGTTCAGCCTTTCATTGATTTTTTTTTTGTTATCCTAGCAAAATTCCTTGTCGTTGTAGACATTATTTTTTTTTATTCAAAATAAGATCTCAATATACATGATTCTCTCTTTTTTGACTATGTACAGAAGTGCAAAAAGGTCAACCTTTATCACCTTTTATCGCCTCAAGATTCCCCACCCCACCCTTTTGTGTTGCAGTTGGCCGAGTAAGAAACGAGTGTGCATACTCGGCTCCATACTCGCCACGTTCACCTGACCCCGTCAGCAACGCCCCCGAAAAAGTGATCAAATATGCAGCTTGTTTTCCAACATGGCCCAATTTCCAGGGAGAGTAAAAATATTAAAACAATAGTTACTATTTGAAATGGATACAGTAGAAAATAACATCTTTACTCTAAACATCTAAGAGCTAGATTTTTTATAATAGTCTTTTTTTCTTATATGACTAGTTACAAACCTTACAATCATTAAAATATTACTCAGTTATTGGCAACGGTTGCCACAGTGACAACTTAGCCTCTCTGTTCTATTATTTCATCACTGTTAGATACTCATATAAAACATCTTTGTTCAAAGAACACAAAAGAGACTAGAGAAATGAACAATATGCATACAGTTCAACAATATGCATAACGTAGAAAATATTGAGTTTACAATCATAATCATACTAAAATTAACATTACATGGAATTTCAGGAAACTGTGCATGAAGAACACACAAAAACACACATTTTTTTATCTTATATTCATTATAAGAAAGATAAATATGCAAACTAAAAATCTGAACTAATTATCAAAATGTCTCTAAACAAAAAACAGAAAAACACTCCTACTCCAAAAGTTAAGAAAACACTGACAAAAAAGTGGCGAATACATAGTGCTCCGTGTATGTGTGTGTGTTGTGTTGTATATCTCTGTGTGTGTGTGTTGTGTTGTATGTGTGTGTGTGTTAATATGGCGTGGATTAGGCAACTGGATGGTTCAAGATGGCATGTTGCATTGTGCTGACCCGATGGTACATTCTAAGGCTTTGGATGAGTAATACAATCGTTTTTATTCTCGCCACTTTCCCTGTACTATCCACCAATTTACATATGCCTGAAGAACACCCAGAACACAACGAAACAAAGAGTTCTAGAGATCTACTCTTTCTTGAGCCGGCGGATGCAGCCTGCACTTTTATTCAACATTTTCTCCCTGTAGTCTACCTACAATATCGAGCAACAGTGACACAAAAAGACTTTGGCTGACTATCTTGAAACAGTTCTCTGGTAATAACAAATATTTTTAAATATGTCAGACTATATATACACTCAAACACTCGATCTACTTCGACGATCCGTCTAAAAATATGCATAACCACACAAAAGAAAAAACTAATCACACCAGTTGTGCCATCGATTTCATCTTCTTTCTCACAGCAGTTTGGACACCAACATACAGTCCTGTTGTTTCAAAGCTATTCATTGGAACAACGTCTTTGTCGGGAGGAGAGTCTTTGGTCGAACACTCAGGCCAAGACCCCGCTCACGACAATCTGACTTTTTAGAGTCAATAGAATAAAGGTTCATGGAGAAACAGCTGACGAAAACAACGAAACGATTCAGACAGAAAAAAGATCGAAGGGAATCAAACAGTCTTGGGACGTTTATCCGATTAGCAGTTTTGCTTTGGGAATGACAGGTCACAAAACTGGACATTTCATGCTGTCCAAGACGGAGAATACGAGGTTTTAAAGGGAATTATTGATTTTTTTTTTTTTTTACACTTTGTGACACTGCTGATATACCATTCATGAGTTTTGAGATGTATGGCACTTCAAATGGACACTGACAGGGTTAAAAATATGTGCTTAAGAGATAAAAAGATAGGCTACAAGGGTTTAAAGACACCTCACAGATATTCAGTTGCTATCTTGCCTCCGAGTGCACTGTGTGTTACTTCCCTTATTACTTCTTGAAAAAAAAAAAAGAAAAACAAAACTGTGCATGCATATGTGATTCAGTCAGAGTTTCTGTTTCTTCTCCCTCTATTGAAATACAAGGTGCACCTTTGTGTAAACAAATGAACACATCCGTCAAAGACCAACACATGAACAAAACACAAAATCAAGTCATGATTCCCGGTGGATGGACGTACCGATCCAGTCATGATGACCGCTCCACACATTTACCTCATGTTGACATTCAAAGTGTGTCTGGTGAATAAAGGTAAGTTGCCTCTGCAGAGCCAAAGGCAGTCTTTGATGCAAATGATGTTCTTTTTCAGTTGTTGTGTAATAGTGTGCATGATGAAAACAATCCTAACAAACTGTGCCTCCTATGCTAACATGCAGATTTATTCCAAACCACGTCAGATTTGGTTCTTCATTTTATACCCTTGATGTTCAAGGCGTGAAGGGTGACCGCTAATCTTGGACTCAACATCAGCTCGCTCCAGTTCCATCTGGGAAGAAAGACGCAAAAAATCAGATGTGACAGAATCTGACAGCTGTGAAAAATAAAAGAGGCATTTCTCGCTATCTCAAAAACAACCCTGGGAAATCATCGACTCTATTGCTAAAGAAGAATCTCAAAATGGCAAGGTTATAGAAATCCCTATGTAAAGTTTAAAAGCATCGTTTGTTTGTTTTTCATTGTAATTATTTGGGTTTTTTACAACAGCTGGGATTTCGAAACATAATAGACCATCAACAGGAAGATCAACTACTCCTGTAGTTTAATTTTTAAGGGGTCAGAAACAATTACACTTTTGTCAGAGTAAGATATGAGATAGAGGAAAAACTAAAGCTTGAAACTTTCTTAAGGGTTCTTTTAAAATGCATCAGAAACAGAGAGCAAAGAGCCGACAGGACACAAACTTTTAAAGACCCACTCCGATGAAAATCATGTTTTTCTTGTTGTCTACATGTTCATATGGCATTTTTCAGATACTAGAGGACATATAAGAAAAAGAAGTGAGTATTTCTGCATTCAAATCGCTGTGAATCTCTGGCAGACCCAAACGGCAGGTTCAGATACAGTGAGATTTCTTATGTAACAAATCCAAGCTCCGCCCCTGGAGCCCCGCTATGCAGGCCAGACTCAGAGACATAGGGAGGATGATTGCAGAACAAGTGTCTGCATCAGCGGATTGCAATGCGTGTAAGAAAGCTAATTATGATGTTAGCTTTCATCATGCCCCTAAAGACATTAGTGTCCGAGAACTGAATAGCTCCTATGTTACCTGTTTCTTCCACTACATCGCCAATGTTAGGCTGCAAGCTAACTCGAGGAGAGGTGTCCGCCCACGACTCAGAGGGGAAATTGCTAATGAGCTACTGGAGCTCTGCAGAAGAAAAGCCCTTGAAAATGACACAGGTAACTTGATTTTGGCTAAAATTTTGAAAATCACCATTTAAAGACCACTGATAACTAAAAAAAAGTTTAAAAAAAAAGGTTGACCCAGCTAGCGTTCCTGAGTGCTCAACAATTGGTGAATCAGTGTTGAAGCTTAAAGGTAAGCAATGTCACACCAATATACGATGCAGAGAGGGGTGTCTTCTTGTGTTTTGGTATTTTAATCAGAAGGTGGCACTTGATGAAGTTCACAGTCCGACCCTTTTGAAGCTTTTCTCCTTCATTAGGTCATAATCAGGTGCTGGTTTGACTGAAAAGACTCAGTTCAAGTCAACAGGTGTATCTCACAACTATCAGTGTAAGGGTAAGATGAGCTCAACTACAGCACAGGTAGATGGACGAGTGGAAAGTGCATCACATCTGCATAGAAACTGTACTTTACTGAATCTAACAGATGTAGTTTTCATGTTCACGGTTTAGTCGTTCTTTCCTTTAGCTCCAACCCCTTTAAAATAGCCTGTGTCTTCATAGTCTTTTATTTACGGTCATTGCAGAACTTACAGATGGGTTCAAAACATGATTTATGAGAAGTTTCCTCTCCGTATCACGACAAAAAGTTCTGAAAACAAAGTGTGTCAGGGTCTGGATTAGCCTGCGTATCAATTTTACACTTGACAAGTTGATTAATGGCGTTTGCAGAAGCATCCACAGCAGTAAAGTTATATTTAGCAAACACAAAGTTGTGTTCTCATTTTTTTGCAGCTATTTTCTGTGCCATGTAACAAATTGATTGGTAAGCTCTCAAGGACCTTCAAAGAAACTGTGTACGTACACCTGATTTTTAATCCTATTCTACCTGTTTGAAGTCTTTACCTTTAGCATATGAGAAATATCTCAAATCTCCTCAGATTGCTACGCATTTCCTCAAAACGATGTTGTACTTAGATAAAGTGGGTTTTAAAGTGTTGTTGAAGACCCTTCAAAGAAAAGTTTCAAAGCTGTTTGGCTGAATAGGAATCGGGTGTTGGTGGAAACAGTGCGAGAGATGTTATAAAGAAGTGCAGTACATACTGTTCTGATGGAGACTCCTACATCTGGGTCACATACTTGTGACTAGTCAGATGGTCTGCAGATATTATTGGAATCTGATTGAGAAGGGGAGAGGAGAAAAAGAGGCAGGGGGATATAGAGAGACATAAATAAAAAAAAAGAAATAGTTAAAATGTGAGTGAAATAGAAGAACAGCTAAATAAAGAAGCATTTGTTTCTCTGAACAATCAGGGCATAAACTGGAAAGATCGGACGTAAGCCTCGTGCGGCGTTCATGCATTTTTTATCAAGAGACACATGGGGATTGTCTGAATGAATAAATAAATTCAACGACAGTTTCTGAAAAGTCAAAGCTGATAAGTGTGAAGAGACAGACAGACAGAGAGAGAGATGAGGAGGCAGGAGAGGAGCAAACCTGATTGGCTGTTGCAGTTGCAAAGGGAACACTTGTGGCAGTTGTGGTGGCTGCAGACACAGTGGCTGGAGTAGCACCGTGCATCATGGGTACTTGGAGGGAAAGATCACACAGGCAGTTGAACTCGAGCAGATTTAAAGCTTTTTATGATCACAGTTCATTTTAATCTCTGTGTGTGACGAGCTGATAAACATGAGGAAATCAATTATTAGCTTATGATCATGGCTGTGGAATGTTCTCCGACTAGAAAAGCACAGAACAAAAGTCTCTACTACAAATGATGCAAAAATTAAACACGTGGACACGCTCATTATTTCCTCATACTTATACAGCATGTGTAAGCAAACAGTCTAATGAGGTTCTCTAGAGGACAGGGAGCCTGGGATGGAGTTATAATGAAGCTGGGGTCAAGGGGAGTTTGAACTGCAACAAGCATTAGGTGACAGACTGAGCAAAAAGGGTGCATTCGTTACCACATAGACGCTTCACAGAGTTCAATAAAACACTTTTGTGCCAATTGACAATTCAATTCCAAAGCAACTTGTGTTTTATAAGCCATTTGAGGCCGACGTCTAAATTCACAAAGGGGAAAATGAGCTGGTGAGTGTTCAATGACACGAAAGTGACTAATACGTGCTCAATGATAATCAGTAAGAAAAGCTGGCACCTACCAACACTTGTTGCAGGTGTCATGCACAATATCGAGCCTGCCCATCATGCATTGCAACAGGGAGTGGAGTGAATAAGGGGGAGAAGAAATCAGGAAAACTCATTACAAGTGTTATAAAGTCAGACCTGGGAATAAACAAACTTCGCTTTGAATTTACATCAACGCACAAAGTCATGTTTGTCTGGGATCATGAGTTAAAAGGCTCGGCTGAGAAGAACTCTGCAGTCATCTGCTCTCACTGTCTACAAGAGAGCAGATTCAACACTTCCTCTGGTCCCATTTTCCTGTCAGCGGTGTAACAGCGGTTTGCACCTTGGTAGTTTCCAATGACCTGCTTTCAGGGTCCTGAAATTGCGTCGCAGTGACCTGACAGTGAGAAAGTGTGGGATGTATGAGGATCTGAGTACCCGAATCTCTCACAGAAGGGAATCGATGGCAGGCTATTCTTAGGCTGTCAGAGGAGAATATGGGACACAGTGTAAGATGACTACGCAGTGTCCGGGAGAGTAGTGCTGAAATAAGCCCTCTGTGTATGTGTGTGTGTTAAAACTTTGTGTATACGCACATACACTACATTTTAACATGCAAAACTTGTACCTATAATCTTTTTCATACAATTTTACATTATGAATTAATCTCTCTAAACTGAGTCATTTCACTGTCCAGGTGCTAAGAAGGAAAAGAGAGCAGACTGATATTTAAGACTAACTTCTAAAAGAGTTGTATGTCCTGGGTTCTGTCTTTCAGGCTGCCTGAGCCATGAAATGGGTTGATTAACAGTTTGCAAGCCAACCTAAAATCATACTTTGGTAACAATTTACAATAACCATAACTTATAAATGGCAAATAGATAGTTTATCAATGTAAGTTTTCATTCATTATTAATGGACTGTTTATTAAAGGTTTAAATAGGGTTTAAATTCGGTTGTAAAACATCTAGATTAAAATGTGTGTCAGTAGCATTTTGTAAATGGTTAATATTTGGTTTTTAAACCACCTATAAACATTACTTAGATGGTTTTTGTGAAGTTATGTTAGGGTTAGGTTTTTAAAATTGTAAAATGTACAATTTATTAATGGTCTATGTGCTATAATAAACTAATAAACTATCTATTTACCATTTATAAGTTGTGGTTATTGTAAAGTGTTACCCATACTTTGATTTGCAGTTTCAAATCCATCTTAAGAGACACAACAACAGTCATTTGAAGAGGATGCAAATGTTTTCAGCTCTGTATCCATGAACCTACGTCGACCAGAGTCAGGCCATAGTTTGTACCGACATTACAGAGTATTAATAAGATGAGGTGGGGCAGAAACAAAGTTTAAATTCACACAGTAAAATACATTATTTACATTCTCAGTGTAAAGAAAAAAGCAGTTATTAACACAGAGTATTGAGGCCACGTAAAATAAGAAAAAAAAAACTGATTCTGAGAATAAAGCTGTAGAGTAAATCGACCAGAGAGAATTGTAAACCTGCAAGCATAAAAATACAAATCAAGCTGTAACAGACTGAGAATTAAGTCTTTGTATTATGAGATTAAAAACAGCAATTTTAAGAAAATTTAGCTGTAAATTTTGGAGAATACTGAAGCAAATTTATGCGATAAAAACAACAATTTTCGACTATGGTTAGATTATTCGTTTTTGTAGACTAGAAAATCACAAGAGCAGCCTGCAGTGCATAAAAATGAGGACCGTGGAACATCTCATGGAGTTTCAAGACACCATGTCGTTGAAAGGACCGGGACTGAACTTAGTCTGAAAGAAGGACAGACATTTCAGTTCCTCAGCTGTTGAGCATAACTTCACAAGATGATCCACTTCCTTAATTTGGTGCAGGTGGCTTGCTGCTTGTCTAATATCCCTCGTCTGTAATGTCATGGACGGATACATTACAGACTTATTTTTAATGAAATTACAAGTTCATTCAGACGGGATCATGACTACAGTTTTAATTTAGGACTTTAATCTTGTTAAGTTATAACTTCCTTCTTTAAAAAAATGAAAATATCTTCCGACATTCTTCACAAAATGACTTTCCTCTTGTAATATTACAACTTTATTCTCAAAAATCTCCACTTTTTAAATCATTAATATCGACTTAATCCTCCATTGTAAGTTAAAGACTCGAAGAGGAAAACTGTATCTGACACCAGACTTTCAGCCATGCTCAGCATAAATGAATGTGAAATAAAATCCATGCTTTTGTTTACAGTCACCAACGATTAAGTCACACACTCATTCAGCCATTCACTGCTGATGCCAGAATATAATCAGAGGGTTTGTGAGCTTTAACAGGCAGTAGCAACAGTATTACTGCTTCAAACGTGTGTTAAAGTCGGCTCGGGTGTTACCTGATGGTATGAAGGCTGTCTGCTGCTGAAACTGCATGTTGGCCAGGGCCTGTTGGTACTGGAATACGCCAGCATTGAACATAGTGGTGGCACCGTTGGCTTTTTCAAGTGCGGGTCTCTTTGGTAAAGGAGGCAAGACAGGAGGGAGCCCCTGATGAGGGGATGACACCAAAAAAAGGGGGAGGGAGTGAGGAAAATCAAGAGGATGGTGGCAGTGACATTCAGGACAGAGAGGAGAAAGACTTTCATTAGAAGATAAAGTTGCTCTTTCTTTTCTTTTTTTTTTTTTGAACATTTATCACAAACAAGCAGGCAGTGGATGACGTAACATCTGTCAGAGCAAGACACAGTGGTGACAAACTGTGACAACAGTACTCAACACTTAAAGGAATCTTATTACATGAATTTAAACAAGAGAGAAGCTCAAGTATTGATTTTGCATCTAAGGCATTATATCTACAAGTAAAAATAACTACAATACAAATTCTTGTATTGATTGTTGGACCATCAACAGAAATGATGTAGTTAGGGCAAGCTGCACTGCCAGCTCCAGAAAAAAAATACACTCTAAGCAATGTTAAGACTGCAAAGACACCTATTAATCATGCAATATGGATCATGCAAACACTACCATACCATGTAACAACAGTGAAATATAACATTTTCATGCCACCAGGTATTTGAGGATCACTGTGGGGGATGAACTGACCATTCAAAGCAAAAAGCGAAGATATTTTTGATTCCATAATTTAGTTTCTTTTTTTGGTTTAAATCAAGATTATATCAGTTCATCGCCCCTCCAGTGTTTCCTCAATTCAGATTGTTAAATATCTACTTCATGATAGAACTACTTAAGTATATACACTACATCACAGCTACATGCCAAGCTGAAAAGGTGAAAGGTCATAGTACCAGGTCAAAAGTTGCGTCGAGGGGTCGCTTCAGTGATTTGACAGCCGACTGAGTCTTAATTAGCAGGCAGCGAGCACATGATGGCAATGGGCCAATGGGGGGTTCAAGCGCATTAACATAAACCAGCAAGCGGAGGTGCATCATGGGGGGCAGCAGTGCAGTGTGGGTTGGTGAGAAAAAAACAAACAAACGAAACAAAAAAACAAAAAAACAAACATAAAAAAAACAAATCATTGGAATGCAATATACAACAATAACAAGACTAGAGCATGCACATTAATGGCTGTAGGGTTACTGGAGAAAACTACGGCCCTGGATGTCTGATAATAATGGTGTTAATTTACTCAGAGTGAAACATTGGTGTGGTCCAGATAGAGAGATAGATGAGTTATTGATGATTTTTTACTGTACTGATATCTGTAGTGACTGCACTTATGCAACTATTGCCTCAACAGAGACTAAAATAGGAATCACATGTAGTCAGTGTACATATCCATAAAAGTTAAATGTAAATGATGCATATTTATCACTTTAAATCATGTTTTTATTTCCATCTCTACCACCTGCATCTGTGTTCATACTGTCAGGACTACAGCTGCTGCGTTTTTGTTGTTAAAAATGGTAAAACAAACCACACGAATAGATCAAAGCAACAAATTAGTCTGAGAGAATAAATGAGAGTCAGCTCTATCATGCACGAGTAACAGAGAAGAGATATCATGAGCTTTAATTTGTGCATCCTTCTTGATGTTTTTCTACCAGTTCTTCCCTCATTTTGCAAACATAACTGAGTTGAATTTAGTCTGGGGTCTGTGTGTGTTGATAACCAGTTTAGTGAGACAGCTGAGCTCAGACTCAGAAGATACCGGTTTTATTTTTTTTTAGATAGCTTTATAGAACAAGCTTTTTGTCTTAAGATATTTTTGAATTGCTCTCCTAACTTTGATCAAAACAAATCACTGCACCTCTGATTTTATCCCATAAATTGAAATAAAAAAATACATGCCAATCCATGTCCAGTGGAAATAATCTGCCCTCTTTTAGGTCGATACTTCTGCCTAACTTTTGAGCAAGTGTTTAATCTAAAAGAGATACATAAAATAAATTAGAAACCCAATCAATAGGGTATCCGAGCACATGCCTCTTTGTGTTGGCCTCGCAAGTTATTATGAGCAAAGAAATTACTCCGCTCTCAGCATTCGATGTATTTAAGGGAATAGAAGTGACAAAAAGCCAATTAAATAAAAAGTTTTTACATGTAGTTGCAGATCTGATCATGCGCCAAATTCAGTTTCTCTGCTTTTGAGTAACTGCTGCATAATGGCATCTGCAGTACTTGGCAGGCAGAGCAAAACCTCATTTTGTCCCCTTACAGGAAACCTTCTCTGCATTGCAGAAACAAGGTTGGAATGACATTAATTTTTACAGTTGTCTTTTCAGACAAAGAAAATTCCCCTAGAAAGCAGCAAAAATGAAGAGAGGCAGGAGGAGAAACTCAAAAAAACTCCATTATCACCACAGCCTGCTGCTAATAAAACACACAATCACAATCTGTATTTTTGAAGAGTTTTTGGAGGAAAGCCGAGGCGAGCAGGAGTGAAGGAGACTGAAATGTGTGCTGGGAAACTAGAACAGCTAAGCTTTTGTTTGATATAACGGGTTCTGGATTTGAGGATAACTATATGAGACTAAGTTTTCTTTGATTCCTTTGACTGATAATGCTTTGATACCAGTACTTAGTTTAGTGTTGTATCTGTGCTCAGATACCTACCATGGCTGCAGCGGCTGCAGCCTGGTTGACTTGGTGTTGGGTGGCTTTGATCTTGGCCTGCAGGTGAGCTGGGGGGTGAAAGTATTTGCACTTCTCCCTCGAGCAGCGGCCCTTTATGTAGTCCATACACACAGTGACTGTGTTGTCATTAGTGTCAATCATCGTGCTGTCTGCAGGGTGGGCAAAACGGCAGTCATTCTCCCCGCGCGTGCAGTTCCCCCGCTGGTATTCCCGACATACCTGCAGGACACAAACACACTCGCTTAACTGTGTTTTCTTTTTGTTTTCACGACAATACTAAAAACACCAGAGCCCCAAACAGTCATCTTGAAGTCACAGTTCACTTTACTTCACATTTGATGAAGTTATCAATCTGCTCAGTCATTTGAGAACTTGACAATCACTTTAGCAGACAGAGCTAACCAATCTTAATGACAGGTCCGGTCATTACTGCTGATTGATAAGCAGAACAGGCCGTAACCAGAGTTTACAGACACATCAATCACACAGCATTTATCCATTATTCAAATGAGCTGTGTTGTTGTTGTTGTTATTGTTGTTCCTCAGAGGAAACAGAAGGGGGCAGCATCTGCATGAGCAGCTGGGAAACTGATTGCCTCTGCCTGAATGTGAGGGCTCAATGAGGCTCATGGGAAATATAGAGGCTGGTTACCCTCCGGAGAGGCTGCCGCTGACGTAATCACAAACCAACACACAAGACACACACACACACACACAAACACAAACACAGACATAAGGTGGGCGCACTTCAAATTATGAGGCTGCATTTTTCCTCAGAATTAAATTTTGACACTTAAGGAGCTGTGCAATAACTTAAGATGTCCATTTAAGCGCTGTCAGCCGCCGCTGAGTCTCATTCATGAACCCATCCTCCTCCAAATGAAATGTAATTTCATGCTACAGCGTATCGATCTATCAGTTATTGTGATAGAACAAGCCATTCGCCAAATGTCTGTTTACCGGCCTCACTGTCTGCATGCATAAAGGATTTGATTTGCAGGTGGAACAGCTGCTAGACAAAAGGCCACCATCGCCGAGATCTCCAAACTAACCCTGCTCTGTCTGCTGTCATGACGGCTCATCATCCACAATCACCTTTACGTGAGCGGTGGCAGAGGAGGAAGGATTCTCCCTCCAGTCTGTCTCCTTATTTCTCATATGTATCTCTCTCACACACTCTAATGTTCACACATGAATCATCACCTACACACAGACATAAATTCTCCACCACTGCTGCTCCTGGTCTTTTTGAAAAAAGAGAGAGAGAGAGAGAGAAAGAGAGAGAGGGAGACACTGCCTTGTTGTCAGGCAGATGTTGGGGAGGTGGGTAAGGGAGGGAGGGAGAGTGGAAACAAGGGAGAGAGAGGGAAATGTAAGGCTGGTTGATAAATAAAGAGTAAAGGACAGAGAGATGGGGATCAAGGAGACACAGTGAGAGTCTTTAGGGGATCGAGTGTGAGTGTGTGTGTGTGTGCGTGGCATGGAAACGAAATTAGCACAGCGAGGGAAGACTTAATGGAGGCAAAGTGACGTCCTCTCCGCCAGGTGTGCGTGTTTTTTTTTTGTTTTTTTTTTCGGAGTGGTGTTTAATCATGCATTAGAGAGAGCTAACTCAGTGAAACTGCTTAGTTGAACAAACAAATAAAGGGGCCTGTTAATCATATTTCCATTCCCATGGTAACCATCCCTCTGGGCCATTTACATCACCATGGTTGCAGGTAAGCAACATATGATTTTATGCACGCTCAAACTCTGCAGTAAAGCTCGATAAGAGATGGAGGCGGGGAAATATTTCAGGGGAGAGTTGTCTTCTAAAATAGGAATTTCTCTCTGCTTCCAGGAAATAGCCTGTAACATATCTAACGGCTGGTATGTGTGTCGGCCTGCTGAATTCCAGCTATGTTTATTCTGAACGACACACAAGAGAGACTTAAAATACGGCCGGCCCTTTACTTGAAGATATTTTTGGCGAACCCAGTTCCTGACGAATGAGGCGAGTGTATAAAGTCTCTGGATTAAAAATAAAAAAAAAACAAGCTGGGGCACAGTGGCTGAAGGATGAAGTGACCACTGAGCTCGAGTTTCTTGAGGGAGAAAACCATCAAAAATGAGCAGATTTTCCCACAACCGCCAATTATTGCATTTGGCTAATAAATATTTCATATCTGCTTGTGTGTTTACTGGACTTTGGTGCAGAACGCATTAAATCCATTGCCAGCAGATCATTTCACTCTGAGTGAAGACCTGCATGCTCCTCTTCTCCCTCTTCTCCTTCCTCTCTGCAGTCACGACTCCTCCATGAAATTCAATCAAAACTCGTTGGTTTCTCTCCCTCTTTCTCACCTCAAAGACCACAAGAGGTCCACCAATTGATTCCCTTCCTCACCTCCTATCTCTTTTTCCTGTCATTGACCCTCCACTCCTGCTCTATTTGTGTCATCCACTCATTCAACACACTCACTCCTCCTCTTTTCCACCATCAATTAGCCAGTTACCCCACTTTATGTTTCAGGTGAACTTCCCTATCATGCTGGCGTCTCTTCAACGATTTCCCCATTATTTGGCTGGGAGCGTTTCCCGGGCGGGGCTGCATAATGGATGAAATTGACTTACTGTCCAATTAATGATTATCTGGACACAGCGAGAGGAGCGGTGGTGGTCATCAGGTTTCGCATGACTGATTGCTTTCATGGGAGAATTAAAGATTTTTTTTCCCTGAATGTACGGCATAAGTTAAGTTTTCTGGCAAACAAAACTGCCTCCTGTCTGCTGATGGGACGTAGAATCGACATCGGGGATGTTTGCAGAGAGATACTCTCATTAACATCTGTGTCTCTTTGCTTAAGTCTGGGTAATGGCTGTAATATGGTAATGGGATGTAGTTACTGTTACAGAAACTGTGTACTAGATACATAATTAAAGTCGACAAACAGAATCAGTTGAGGCAGGACTTTCTCAGCCCCCGTGCCTTTAATATTCAAACAGACAGAGCCCACTTTCTAAAGCCCTTTATGTTTACAAAGCTGGGGGAAAAGATCCCCTCCATGTGCAGCGTTTGTTAGTCTTTTGTCGAGCTATCTTTTAATCCCTGACTGACTTAAAAGTGTAAATATTTTCATGGGAATTTCTTTAATCTCTGATGTCTTTTTTTTTAAAAGGTTTCACCTTCTACTTTGTGCATGAAACATTTGGAGCTCCCGGCAACAGTATACGTCATAAACTTCCCCTCCTCCATGTTAACAGATGGGACATGGGTCAAACTTCAAAGTCAAAAAATACACATCAGAGAATTGTCTTTTCAGTTCATTCTTAACATGCTGATGTGGTTGAAAGTGTTAAATTTGCTCTCTTTTTTTCTAAATTTTTTTGTTGTTGCGATAAGCAGCATTATCAACAGCAGCTTTGACAGAACAGTGTGCACCTGGTTAGTAGTGTTGTGTCGTTCGCGAACGATTCGTTCAAAAGAACCGAATCTTTTAAGTGAACGTACTTAACCGAATCACTTCCTCTAGTGATTCGTTCGTTTCTTACTTCAGTTGAGCTGTCAGAAGCGCAGCTGCTATAGCACGCAGCATTGAACTAAACTCTCCGGAATTATTTTTGTTGGACAAAACTACCCTTTTTTTAACTGCTAAATTGCCACCACAACAACTTGCATACAATAGGACACAGCATGTTACGAGGTAGTGCACAAAACCTGCAGCATCGTATCATTGCAGCGGTTTGTGAGGGAACTGCGCATGTTCAGTTTGAATTCTTCTAAAAGTTCAGTGAACAAATCATTCATCATTCAAATCATTCACTGAGCCCAATTTAAACCTGATAAATAGCATACATAGGACAGTACACTGAAAACATCATGACTTATAAAAAAGTTCAACACAGCCAAAACATTCTCGTCTCCTGGTCCCAGAAGCTTTGAATTGAACTGAATCCTGAACATTCAGCTGTGTATCAGTTCAGGAGGTTGGAGTCACAGGCTCCTCCCGCCAAGCGCTGAATGATTTGGTGATTCGGTGAACGAATCTTTTGAGTGAATCATTTTAGTGAACTGATTCTAGTGATTCAGTACATCTAAAAGAACTGCTGTGCCCATCACTACTGGTTAGCATTGTAGAGGAGAAACATCAGGAACACCATCATAGGAGTGATTGAACTCCTCATAAATCACACATGAAGCATTTCAGCTGTGGATTGGGTTGACCTTGAAGGATTTTTGAGGTTTAATGTGTGTTTTCGTCAGTTGAAGGAGCAGCACCACAACCCCACCAGCTGGTCCACACTGCATAGACTCTAAAACGTAACCAGCACATCTAATCTGGTGGTGTTTTGGCTGCAGTAGGAGGAGCCAGACTCACATTACCCATCTTTGGTAAACATGTGTTTCTCACCTCCAGTCTGTCCGTCCTCATGAGTTTCTGTGCAGCGGCAGCAGCAGCAGCCGGTACTGGGACGCTGGGGTTGCTGGTGACCAATACAGGGGCGCTGGGCAAGATGTCAGCTGGCATCAGGCCGGGCGACACAGGGCCAAGGTAGGGGTTAAACGCAGCGGCTGCTGCAGCAGCGGCGTTGACGTTGGTTGCAAGGCTGGGTGTGACTGAAAACATGGGCTGTGGGTACATGACAGAGAGAAGAATAATGAAAAATAGTTAATTCAGAATGTTCTTTTTTTGCAAATTTGATAACAATAAGTATAATTCCTTCCTTCTCCTTCTCAAGAATCCCACTGGAGAGCTATATCAGAAGACAGTAAAATAAGAGATGTGTGTAATTATAAGAAGCAGAGTAGTGGATAGAGACGGTGAGCCGGAGATGTGCAGGGAAAAAGAACAAAAAGTACACAATTAATGAGCTTACACCAGAGGAGACACAATGAGTCTTTGATGGCTGCTTGTCTTTCATTTGACATAACACATAAAAGAGGTCTCCACTCTGTATGCTGTGTCACCCACTCCCCACGGCTCCGATTGAATCACACGCTTCACACACTAGAGATCACACACATATAGGAGTAATAAGGATGAGGGACGTCAAGCTGTGTGAGCAAAGAAAGAGGGAGGGCAGGGGGCTTAACTGTTGAAAAAAATATATCATCTATATGTGCTTCACCAAGGGCTGAGAGGGAAAACTTCCCATGAGAGAGGCGAAGGAGTATGTTAGCTGACGTATTGCGCTGTAAGTTTTCCCTGCACGTTCCTCACCTCAGGCCCAGTCTGAGGATTGTCTCTTGAGTCCCTGCCAGCACGACAATGTGAGTAATAGAGCAGCAGAGCCGGACGGCTACATCCCTCAAAAAATAAAAACTCTTCACTGCTCTGGGATGACTCAGAAAAATCTGGAAGAAAGAATGGCGTGGACTCCCTGCCCCCTGGAGGAAGAATTATGTCCTGTCACCAAGTCTGGAAAAGTAAATCTGTCCCTCTAGGATGCTTAAAAATCTGAATGGGATTTACTCGTCTCAAGGTTGGTATGATGTCACATACAAAGTCTCACAGTCACGAGGTCGAACTACGCGGTGATGTCACCCTGCAAAAATTTGTGATCCTTTTAATGACCTTTTCGGGAATGTCTCTCCACTTAGCGCCGAATGGTTCCCTATAACGCTACGTCGTGTGGATTTCAGCTATAAATCAAAGTTGCAATGAATTGAAAACAATTATGTGAAATTGAGCATGTTTACACAGTAGGAACAGAACAATCTCTCACTGCATGCCTTCTGTCAGCACTTTGTATTGCAGCAGCGATGCCGTACCCGTGCAGCCTTGATGTCGGACATTTTTCTCCTTACATCCTCTGAATCAAAGTCACATGAGCAGATCATAGCAAATGTGCCTGCGAACGCACGTGCAGATTATTCAAATGGAGATCGCACGCTGGATGCAAATATCAGTGGTAATTTTTCTACATGACTATTTTATGCAACAGCAGAAAACTGCAGCACATGTCTTCCACTCTCTTTATTAGACTTTGAAAAATAGATCAAAAGAGATGGAGATCTAGCAGAGCCGTGTTACAATGTCATGCTGTGAAGACTAATTTACTAGAAAGATGTCAAATGATCGTCTGTTATTCGAAATTATTACCCAGCTGTGTTAAATAATTCATTCTGATTGGTCTAAACTCTGTAACAATGGTTTTTAATTCCGAACAGGAAAAGTGAAGCTTCAGGTAAAAGCTGAAGGCCTCACACAAGTGCTGATGTTGTTTTCTGCGTGTTCACAGTGTAGATAGAAATCCTAATGTTCTGACCTCACTGTAAATGAAAATGTTGGGTTTAAAGCTCCTGTGCAGAGTTTTTTGACATGAATGGAACAGACTGAAATTCATGATGGAGCTTTTTTATGATATCCAAAACAAAACAAACCCATCGGCAGCAAGGTCGAAGATTTTTATATCCTAATTGTTGATGCCAAAAACTGGTGTTAGGGGGTGGGTGTCAGCAAAGCAGCTGATAAACAACCTTGTTTTTAAAATTTCGACATACATACCCACAACTAATGATGCACTTGAAATAAAAAAAAGGAGATAAAATAAGCAAAGACTGTCAATAGGGGGTGCCAAAGTTGACACAAATTTAAAAGCTCTTTAACAGGAACTTAAGGGCCAAGCCCAATTGTTACTCTATCCCCTTTCCCTCTGTCTTACCCCGTTGTCTACCCCTTCTACAAGACACCACCTGATTCCCGCAACGTCATCATGCCTAGCTGCTTGCTGGCTGTATTGTAGGCTGATGCAATAATACTGGTAAAAAAGCAAGAAAAATAAGTCTTTTTCAAGTTGGCCACTGCATACTGCATACTAAATTTTGGGCAAATAAGTATGTACTGCTAGTATAGTAGCAGACGATGCCACTCGATTCCCGCAACATCATCATGCCTTGCTGCTTGCTGGCTGTATCGTAGGCTGATGCGACAATACCGGTAAACAAGTCAGAAAACACAGGCCGTTTTCGAATTCGCCCACTGCATACTACTTTTTGGGCAAATCAGTACGTACTGCTAGTATAGTAGGCAAATTCGAAAATGGCTGATGCCTGCTGTTGTAACGTTTAGCTGTTGTTAGCAATAGCAGTCTGACATCAGTGTAGCTATCAATAGCTATAGCTTTATTCGCAAGCTCGTCATAATGCGTGATTTTAAAACACTAATAATTCAAAAGGTAACTATAATTTATGTGGAGTAGCAAAGGATGAATATCTGATGAAACCATGAGTGTCAAAACTACAAAAACCCTTGCTGTTTATAAAATCCTTCAAATGTCCAGGGTTTTGTATGGACGTTTTGAGTTTGTGTCGCGTGGAGTCACTGAGTTAGAATCACACAAAAAACGCTTGAGCCGACCTGAAAAACTCTCAAAATTTACCACGCGCGACTCTGTGACTCCGCCCCACGTGGTCGTGTCCTCTTTTTGGGCATTCAGAACATGGTCACCCTACCTTGATGTCATTTATGTGAACAATACAAATGAGTTTAAAAAAATCACTGTGGATACGTAAAGAAACAGACCAATGAGAGCAGAACAGCTCTTCAAGTCCTCGGCTGAAAATTCTGTTTATATGGACATCTTAACATGTCCATGTTAATGTTAATGGGGATACTTAAGAGCTGCAGCGTTTATGTTTTTTACTTCTGCAGTGGCTTCATTTTTTTTCCCCCTCTGTCTTTTTGTAGGTTGCTTTGAGGTCATGTGCCCGAGAAACAGCTGAACAAGGCCCTGCTCCCAATCCCTTAGTTTATATGAGCTGTCCAGTCGGAAGATAGTGGTCTTTTAAGGAGGGGGCCCTAAAGAGACAGTATGTGATCTCACTTGTACCATATAGAGGCTAAACTGAGGGTTTTTTAAAGACAACAGCAGAACAAGCAAATAAAAACGTTTTAAAGTTACAACAGAAGTAGAGAACTCTACTTATTAACCAGTAACTCAAACCAGAACGAATCAAGACACTTTTTTTTGGTCCGTTTTTGCAATGACAATAAAAGCATTATACTCCCTCTTATCCTCAGATGGTTGGAGTGCTACATCAGCTACACTGAGAACAGTCTGGGCTTTGTTTTGTTTTTGTGCCAGAACTTTTAAACACTAGACCTACTCCCAACCCAAACATGGAAATACATCTAATTACAGAAGTAAGACGGCTCTTGGAAAGCCCTTCCCCGGTGGCTTTCATGGTTGTATTTCACTTATTTTCGTTCTCTGACGGCATCAAACAAGTGGACCAAGTTTCCCCTGGTGGATTTCTCTCAGTGAGTGAGCGAGTGAGTGATACAGAGTGATAATTGTAATGTTGCCCATTCACTGACGTTGACTCTGTAATAAAAAGCATCATGAGCACCATCACTCACAGCGGGCTGTAATGGACCCTAATTACTCCAGCCTCTGCACAGGTTCATGCGTGAAATGGAAGCACTCTCCTACACACATGGATGGAAGGAGAGCAGGTATAGACCAGAAAAATAAAGAGGGAGGGAACGGATAAAAAGTGTTAAAGCTACTGAGTATGAGGGCAGGAAACTTAGCTTTGCACACCAGGGAGGGCAGGAGGAGGAAGTTGGATTTTTTAGAAAAAGGTGTTTTACTCTGTTCTCTTTGCACACAGGCTTTCCTCAAACTGAAACAGGTCTAAAGCCATCTCTTCTCACTTTACCGTCGCCCTATCTCCTTCACTTTACCTACCTGTCTTTACTCTGCCCATTTATCTCCTCCTGCTTCACTCAGCATTCCCTTTCTTCTTCTGCTGTGTCCTTCTCTGTCAGCCTGTCTTCCTCTTCCTCGCCCCTCCTCTTCTCTCTCTCTCCCCATGACATAAACAGAAAAGGGAAAGCTTTGCAGTCCCAGGGAGATCTATTGCTTCTTTTAAACACTTTCAAGTTTTTTTTTCTTCTGTTCCTCTCAATGGGCCTCTCGACTCAGCCTCCTCGTCCCTCCCAGATAAGGGTGATAACCCACGGCAGAGTGTGCGCGTGCATGCGTGCGTGCGGCGACTGAAGCTTTTTTGAATAGTGGAAGACAAATTCACTCCAGTGCGCTCTCTTAAAACATAAAGGAACAGAGGAGAAGACAGAGGAATGGCTTGGAGCCTGACTGATGGGTCTCATTGACTCTGTGGGGTCTCGTAGAGCAGACTGGGAGGATTCATTAAAAGTGACTGAGTGCAGCTCCTAACATCACCTTGAAGATCTGCAGAGCATGCTGCAGTCACCAAGTGACCCCTGCACGTGTTTGTGTTCTCATGCATGAGTTAGCGTGCATATGTCTGCATGTTAAAGCTCCTGACAGGAACTTTTGCTTTGTGCTGGCGTTGGCGCCTCGTAAGGACAAAGGGATATTTGTATATCTGGTTATGTACATGTGAAAGTAGTCGTTTCAGACAACAACTCTACCCTGCAGCAGTTCTGCTTTTTAAGGTCAAAAAGAGGCATCGGTATCACTTTCAGTCTGTTCCTCTTCCAGTCACTGAGCCTTTAAAAGAGCTCTCCTTACTGCTGTAACTCTCTTAATACGTTTGATGGTGGATTTAGATGAGATCAGATTAAATCTAATCTTGGTTTTGGGTCTTGATTTTAGGGCACATTCATATCAGGACTGTTCGGTTTGTTGTAAAAGGACCATGGTCCCCTTACTCCTTTGGTCCAGGTGGTACAAATGTGCAAGCGAACTGTGGTCCGGATCAAACAAACGGACCATGGTCTTCTTAAAAATGCAGGAACAGCCCCTTTCCAAATGAACCATGATCCGGTCTACGGCGGGTGTGAACGCAGCGCAGATGCAGCTGGACTTTTTATATGTCAGTATAAACTAATAACACATTTACACTATAATAAAGCCAGGAAATTATGCCCAACCAGAGGTTACAGCAGATGGAAAACAGACGGTCAAAACACCAGACTGTGCCCGTCGTCTCCCAGCACAACGTCTCCACCATCTCTGGTGAATTGCGTGAAGCAAGACGCCTGCCTTTAAATTTAAGACTAAAAATGTTTAGAGGGCAAATTAGGGAAATAAAGAGGTGTGTCTTTTAGTCCGACCTTAGTACTATTATTTGATTGTCAATTGGTCACCTGACATGGAAGCTATTGAAGGAAAACAGCCTTTTTTGAGAACATTAACCGGTAATTTATTGACGGTCCCTTATTTAACACCCGACTTGACAGCAAGGGTGCCGAGTAGATTTATCGAGAGTGAGAAGACACCAGTTGATCCGCAGTGAATGTCCGACGAATATCCCATCCTAAACTAACTTCACCGCAGTATTTACATGAATAAACTTTTGTTGCCTCGGCTGATTTTTTTATGCGCATATGTGCCCCTAAATACATTTTACTATTCGCATACATCTATTTTTAGTCCCAAATGCGTGTGAAATGGTCACCCTGATGAAGATTGTGCCCCAAATGAGCAGGTGACAGACAGTGATTTTCCCTCGTAGTTTTCCCTCTTTTTCAACCATTAGGTCCGTTTGGCAAAAGTACCATGTAAACGCTATCCGGACCAAATGCAAAATCCAACAATGTAAACATTTGGTCCCTGATCTGGACCTTCGAAGCAGACTTTGGGTGAGAAAGACCCCTTACTTAACAGTTGAAGTATGTTTGGATTTTATTTCGTCGTCAAATAATTCTGATGCTTTTGAAGATGGCCTCTATACGTCTGAGAGAATCTGAGGGAATATTTTATTCATGTTTTTGTGAAAAAAAAAAAAATAATCCATTGATCAACCATGTAACTTCTAGGCTACAAGTTTTATAAGTTTCAGCCAAAGATGAACTCAAACTGACTAAAACTTAAATCTGGATCTTTTTCTGAAGCTCATCAGTCAAATCCCACGACTCCCTATCGGGCTGCACACTGAGCAGTTCCCTTTATTTGGGTCAAGACTGAACTGAACTGCCCAATTACACCATTTCCTGTCCATACTCTGGGAGAAGACTGATTTGTTTTCAGTTTGGATGTTTAAAAGAAAAAGCCAAATGATTAACTGGAATAAGTGACCTCCTCACCTTTGATGAAAGCTTTCCATCAAACATGTTACAGGCGCTCAAGAACCAGAGATTCAACCGCGAAACATATTTTCAGCAGGAGTTCAGAGTTCAAAGAAGAAATCCCATTAACATTACAATGTTTATCATTCGACCTACAAAATATTCGAGCACGTACTCAGAGAATATTTCAGTCTGAGTCCTTTTTCCAAAGTAGTTGTCATTTACTGCGAGCGCGGTAAGTAGGCACGGTCACAATTTCAGGTCATGTTCGATTTATGGCAATAAACATTTTTTTTCTGAGCGCCACAATGACTCTAATCTCTCCAAATTGAAGCCATATGGTTCAGCAAATAACAAAAGAGTCTCCAAGAGTCACATCAGGTGGATATTGCTTTTCTTGGAGAAGAACTTTATGAAAACCCTGATGTATGTACCCTGAAAAAACATGTGTTTGTACCACATGTACACACAGATAACAAGGGTCATTTGTAGAGGTTTATTTGTGTGTTGTCAGATGCGTCTCTCACCACTGGCTGCAGCTGTGTGCCGGGCATCATGGCGTTGGCGAGCTGCATCTGCTGGGCAAGCATGGCCATGTTTTTCTGCTGGATGAGGTTGTTCCTGCCATTGATCTCCAACTGGGTTTTTAGGTGGGGAGGAGGATGCAGGTACTTACAGTTCTCCCTGGAGCAGCGGCCCTGAGAGGAGGAGGAGGAGGAGGATGAGGGGGAGGAAGTAGGAGGAGATAAGGAGGAGATAAGGAGGAAGGAGAGAGGCAAATTAGAAAAGCGTTCCCCTCAACTGTTGCCTAATGTAAAGAAGTAATGAGCCTTGACTCGGGTTGCTGCCCTCCCATTTAGCGGGCGCTGACCTAACATCCCTGACATCTGGGCCTGCCACTGAGTATATCATGAAGAAGATGGATCAGAGCTGATGTTTCCCCCCCTTGCTACCTTCCCCTCTTTTCTGAAGGTCCCCATTGAGAGCCAAATTAGCTTTGAGAGCTGAGATAAAGAGGATTAGCACGTCTATCTGCCTCTGCTTGAGTGTAACACACAGAGCAAAAGAGACGATGATGCACTGTCTCAGTAATGACACGGACACTTCTCATTATCCAATCTGGCAATTATTCAATCTAGTAATTATTTTACTTGATTAACTCATTAAAATTTGATCTATAAATTCTAGAAGATTCCTCAAAATGCGTGTCTTCTGTGAAAAACTGTGGAAACCCGAAGATAATCACTTTTTTATCACATGAGTCAGAGAGAAGAAGAAGAAATAAAATCTTCACATTTAAGAATTTTGGAATAAAAAAAGAATAAATAAAGCCTGATTTTCTGGCCGTAAAATGCTTTAAAGATGAAACACTGATTAATATCAGCTGCAGACTGATTCTTCTCATGATTAAATAACCTATCAACAGGCAGACAATTCAACTTCACCAAACTGTGTCACAATATAGTACATTAAGGTACGCAGCAATGGTATAAGGCACCACATGATCAAATATGATATGAGACAATACAAACAGTAAGATACCATATTGGGCAGTAAAGTTTAGTTCAATCTGATTTAAAACAATACAATACAATAGGATTATAAGAATAAGAATTGTATTAATCCCTTAATTCTGTTTGATACAACACAGTTTTAGATGAACTATGCAGTGCAGTATAATTTAATACAGTAAACTACTGTAAAAGATAAATTGGGACACCTTAAATTTTCTTGAGATATAATAAAATAATGTAATTGTCAGAGATTTGTTTGGGAGTCAATTGCTGCACACATTCAGCCGCCTCCATCTTAGTACGTATAAATAAAAAGCTGTAAACCCCCCCTTCCAGTACTAGGGTCTGTGCCGACCCGTTTTTGATTTTAAATGTTCAAAAGAACCACTTAAATAAGCTTTTTTGCATCAAGACTTTACGACTTTGTAGGAGCCTCTATGTCAATAAAATAAAAAATAAATAAAAATCAAATTGACTAAATTATAAAATGCTCTTATTAAAATTATGGCACCTGTTGTGTTAGGGTCACTGTTGACCCGGTTAGATCAATATCTAATAATTAGAGCAAAAACTGAAATCATAAGTGCACTGACAGGCATCACACTGACAGTCAGATCCTCTTCTGATCATGTGAAATTTAGGAAATTCTCATTTTGCCATGCCTGTGTCCGAAATGAATCACTCAATCCCTAACCCCTAACCCCCATATGGGGTTTCACTATATAGCTGACTATGTCGTGAGCTCAATCACCGGAGGTTTCGAACACTACCGTTTTGACGTTGCCGCTGGAGACGCAATGCATGATGCCCACCACCGGTGAGTGACGATCAAATGATCACTACATTTTGCAATGCTATATGGGAAATTTTGAGTCGCCTATATGGGGCACGTAAAAAGAACGTTGGGCATGTCCAGACATATGAGATCAGCTCAGTATGGATGTCTTTATGAGGGGTATGCTGACAAAGAAAGACCCAGAGGCCCACAACAAAAAGTATTATAAGCAATATTTTCATTTATAATGAAGCCTAACAAGGTAACCTAGCGATGAGAACCAAATTGGTTGACAGAGAATTGCTTTTAGTGTAATTTGCAGCAGATTTAAGACATGGGTCGAAACCGACCCTGAACATGCTGGGTGCGTAGTAAAAGCTAACACAGGAGGAAGGTTAGAAAGAGCAGCGATCAACAATCAAGTAGAGATCCTGGTGTCAGCGATATGAAATAAAATTAGGGAGAAAAGACAAGTCTTATCTGTTTTAACTTTTCCCATAAAGAGGAAGTGTTCTGGGAATCAAAATTGGCAAAGACCCCACGCCCTCCTCCATCTTCGAGGCTGACGCTTGATGTTTTACCGCACCAGCGAATCATTATCGATCCCCTCTAAATTGAGACAAAGTACCCATGTGTCAACGCCTTACATCATTTCTGACACTACAAAACAAAAAAAAGACAGAGGGGGACCTGATGGAGAATCGACATGTGATTGGAGACGTCTGTGACAGCAGACATGAGCGCACATCATGGTACTGTATCTATATTCTCCTAGTGTTCACAGACAGTGTGCGGCGCGCTGTGTTTCTAGGTCCTCCTCTATGCTGCGGGTGATTATATTCACCCAGCAGCCGGCAGCCCAAGGGGAGAAAGACGGAATGCAATTTACACTCTCATAATGCCTGCTCCGCTGAACACTCCCCCTGGATGGGTGTAATATTTTAGATATCTCTTCCTCTGTCTTTACTCCCCCCTTTTTGCTATATCTTTCTCCTTCCACCTCAATCCCCTATACATCCCAAGCTGTGATCTGTATGAGAACATGTATGTGTGCAGAGCAGAAGCACTCCCCTCACTCTTTCATCTTCTCTTGCCTCTATCTTCCTTCCATCAAAATTCATCCTCTCTCTATCACTTTCCATCCCTCCTTTATATAAAACTATTTCCACAGGATGGGGAGACCAACCCTGCGGCAACGCCACACTACCACCTCCCATGGGGAATTAGGGGTTGGCTGTCATGCTGGTGCTTATCTCAGTGCGATTACCTGCTGCCCACTGCGGCCCACTATGACACCTGCTTTCACAGCCTAACACATACACTCTCCGGCTCCCTCCTTTTATTCCTCCCACCTCCCTTCTTTCCTCTCCTTCCACCTCACTCTATCTCTCCATCTCTACACCCTCGTGCAGCCTGATCTGCCTGGATACAGCGGGGAAAGGTACTCTGCATTGGTGAGCAGGAGAATGTCAAGAGTTCTTCCAGCATTCTCATTGGTCGAAAGCTGAGAGCGGTAGTAGTCCCAGCCAGCAGATCGGCCTGGAGGCACACATTAACAATGCTCCCAGTCTGGCTCTTCCCTGTGTGGCTGCGACTATTGATCAGCGCTAATTGGCTAATGTCTTTTGATTTTCAAGGCACATTCCCGCCGGGTGACTAGACTCTAGTATGTCAACTCCAGCCGTGTCTCTGTGTGTGTCTGGGTTTGGTGTGTGTGTGTGTGTGTGTGATTAACTGTGACAATACAGGGCTCTTCATTACAACAAATTCATCAATAACTCTTGAGGGCAGAGTCTGTTTTTGTCTGCAGCTCTGTATTAAAGTGGTTTTGGCCATTATTTTCTTCACCGACCCATAAGTAAAATAAAATGTAAATTGGTTTGTTGAGGGTCAATCACTGAAATGTGTTTTTTTTTAGCTAAAGTTTCAAAGATTCACAGTGAAAGTCCTGATTGGGAAAAAAGTGAAGGTAGACGAACTTAGTGGGTAGAAGGCTAGGTTATTTGACTAGGTGAGTTAAAGCCAAAAAAGACTAGAAAGGTGAGTCGTAATGAATTCACAGTCATCCAGTTTCACTTTGTGTCAGCTGGTGGTGTAAAAAAAATCATCCGTTTATAAAAAAAATTTAATTTAGGGGGTGAAAGAAGGGTTACCATATTCTGAACCCTCACAAAGAGGACACTACTATGCGGGGCGGAGTCGTGCGCACAATTTTGAGGGTTTTTTGGGTCGGGTCGAGTGTTTTTTTTACATGCTTTTAACTCTTCCACACAAAACCCGGACATTTGAAGAATTTTATATACTCCCCACGGAAAGGCCTGACAGCCCCCCAAAAAGAGGACGTATGGTCACCCTATAGGTGAAAGAACACCCAGATGTGTCCCCATGTGGCTGACTTCTTCTTATTTCTGGTAATAAAAAGTTTCAAACACTCTTTGGCGCTTTTAATATGTCAAACTATTTTAAGGAAAGGGTTGGCTGCAATATTTATAAGATGAGATGACATTTTCAAAATACACTGTGTTTTGAAAATGTTACTCCTACAATCCTTTGAAACCATGATGAGCATCAAACTGAAGAATACGCTCTAGTCAATGAAGAAAATGTTTGGGAGCTGAGTCAGCAGACTGAATGTTGTTACCTTGAGATCCACTTTCAGCAAAGCTGGAGGGAAAATAAAGACAACATTACGATAAATGAAAAATATTTGTTTGGGAGTGATTTCTTCAAATGGATTTGGCCTTCTCATTTTACTGGGAGCAAAGTGGCTTTAATGATTCAATCAATATCAATATCACCTTTGTGTTATAAATGGCAACCTTTGACATTGACGGATGACGCCGATGCTTTTTGAGTATCTACTTGAGAGTGACTTCAGAAGTCGAAAATCCCCGTTAGGGCCAATGTTGAAATGCTCCTTTGCCAACAGGATTCACTTCTAGTACAGTTATCTGGTCTGTATTACCATCATAGTCAATTGGATTGAACATTTTTTGGGTTGGGGAAAAATGTGCACATTTTATTAAGCTTAAGAAAGGTTGTCATTTCCAACTTTATTTATAAGTTAAAGTCGGTGATGCCCAGTCCACCAGTGCTACAACACGCATCATAGGGCTGGGGGATATGGCCTCAAATCAATATCACAATATATTGAGCAGTTTACCCCGATAGCGATTAAAGGACGATAACTACTCCACAAGCTGCTCACCCCCTCCTACATTAACTTCGCCTACTTAAGCCACTGCTCCAACTTTTGAACCGTCCTCCATCTCCTTACCTGTCTTTCCCTCTTTGTTACAGACTGGATGGGGTGGAGTCACATCTCTGATGTAAGACATGAGACCATAGCCTACCAACACACACCCAAAACCAACTTTTATTTACCTTTTTTGACACCGAATATTCCGATATGGGCAAAATGACGTTATTATTAAATTTTGATACTGGTAAATTTTCGGTTTATCACCCAGCTCTAACGCATCATAAAGTCTCCTGCTTCTCTTTACAGTTTGGAGGTTGTGAATGAAAACATGATAAGCTGCTGTCAATCCTTTCGCATTATATTTGATCGATTATAGACATGAATCAAACATGTCCCAGCGAAAAATGACACCTCTAAAAGTAGAGATAAAACTCTTGAGAACTTTTTAAAACCATCAATTTTAAATTCAAGAATTTTTAAGGACTTGTGAGAAGCTTGTCTTCAAATGCAGCGCTTTGGCTTAAAAACATTAAGATCTACCCAGAAGGTCCTGATTAGACTTTTAAGATAAAGCAATATAATTACTAATAATCAATAAGCAATGTCTAGCAAACAGAAAACTAGATGATTAGTCTGAGGAAAAACCTCGTTAAAGTTTTGAAATAGTGACATCTGCTATTTATGTTTTCTAGCACGTTACATGAGTGACACAAGATAAATCATTGGTTTTACTTGGAGATCGAATTCACAATCCTACGTGACCGCCTGCTGCAGTTTGCCCTGTCACTCACCTCTGATCGCCATCATCCCTCTGCATTCAGACATTCAAACATTCAGAAAGCTCCACACAGCGGGCCATCGACCAAACTGCCATATTTGATGACTGAGGCGTTCGAACAGGCTGGAGAACATTAAAGTATAATCATTCAGGTGAAGGTTAAATCCTTTTTATTACGCCTGCAGCAATAAGGATTTACCTCTGTGCATTTTATCAGCTGCATCTAAAAAGGTCAGCACCTTGACTCTGCCCTGTTTCTGTGTTTTCACCAATAGCCCCATAATTTGTTTCCATGTACAGATCAGTCGTGCCTGAGCCTGAAGTCCCTCCACACCCGTCATTCCCTGCCATGCTAATGTCCTGGCTTCTCCCCGGCCTCTTCCCTCTGCTGTTGTCTCTGCTGTCTAAACAGTGTCAGGACAGGTTAATGGTGAGCCTGTCTGATCCAAAGCAGTGCTCCCTCTGGCTGCACTGCACGACTACAAGACACTGAGTTGACTCTGTTCTGCTATCACCTGTCTGCAAGTCCTCCGCTGGGACGCTAATATGCTAAGAGACCACGAGCATCTGGCTCTGACGGACTATGCTGATTGCCTTACCCTTCTTTCAGGGTATGGTCTAGACTTGTCTGGTCTAGTCTGTCCCATACTTGGGGAACAATCGAATTATATTCCCTCTCCAGTCGAAGGTTAAAGGAAAACATTAAAGCAAGACTTGGTGGGTTTCTGCTGTAACAGCCTCAACAAAGAGATGTCTTATCACCAAATATAGATTCAGAAACTTCAACCAATTTGCTTTAACCAGGGTTTTCTGTGGCAAAGCACAGTTTCTCTTGCATTTAATTGGAGAGCAATTGAAAGAAAGTGAACCAGCTGTCATCGTCGCACTCGTAAAGTGTGTGTGCATGTGTGTGCCGGGGAAATGGAGCATTCTGCACTTATAAATCACCTTGGCCTCATTACACCAGATATCTTCCAGCCATATTTCTGCTCCCGACACACACTTGCATGCACATACATATATTGCAGACATTCACAAGCCTACTTTTACTCCTTTTTAGAATGAAATAATAAACTGTTATGTAAGAAAACATGAAACTGATGGTTCTTTTTCAATATAAAAGAAGAAAATCCAAGTTCCTGCAGATACATACCAGTGCACACATACAAAATCACACCAACATGCTACAACCTTGGGTTACCTCAATTACCTATGAAGCATTTTCATGGCTATCTTAGGTGTCAATAGTGTGGCTGTTCCTGACCCCGCCAACTACACCACTTTAATCAGCGGCACATAACGTTTCATGACAAGGTCACATCAACAAGGCCGTCCACAAGAACAACGGTAAGCCAAAGCTGGCTGTACTAGGTTTTTTTTTTTAACCCTCTATTTTTCATCCCCACACCATATTTTTAAGTTTTCTTTTTTGGTATTTCCAGTCAGATAAAAAAATTAGATGATTATTTGTTATGTGAAGAAAAGGTGTTAAATTTCACAGACATTTTAGATTCTTTTAGCTTGTTTTAGGTCCATTTTTGGGTCCATTTTTGACACACATCAGTCCTCATTAAATAAATTTCATAACACTGTTAGTGTAAGCATTATTTTTTTTTCAGGCGATAAGGCGCACTGGATTATACAGCGCACTTTGAATTAACGTGTCTACGTTCACACATGAGGTGCATCAGATATAAGGTGCATCAAGCATTGGCGCATTAATTGGTTTATTGTTGCTAGCGCTTATTCTTTGTCTGATTTTTTTTTTTTTTTGTAGGATGGTAGGGGAAGGTGCCGCCCTCCTTTGCCTCTGATTGGCTAGAAGTGCTGGGCTCCGATTGGTTATTTTTAAGGGCTGTGAAACGTCATCGTCTGCCATGTTAGGGTTAGGGTTAGGAGATTCAGAAGTGCGATAATGTTCCGTAATGTTCTGTTTGATGTACAAATCAGACAGCCCATGTTTGGCTTGAGTGTGTGAGGACATTTCCAGCTTTTCTAGCCAATCAGAGGTGAAGGAGGCGGGACTTTCCCCTACCGTCCTACAAAAAAAAAATTGCGTCCGGGCTGCCTTACATGAATGCACTTCTAGTTCAGACATAACAGTCAGGCAGTCTTGTAGACTGCTCAGGGATCCTGTTACGGGGTGTCCATTGAGTGGAACGGCTTGGTTGCTTACCAAAGTCGTACTGACACATTTCGACAGATTTTTAAGCGCATTGTAACACATAAAATCGGCCACTAAGCACAATAAGTAATCATACATAGGGTGCACTAGATTATAAGGTACACCTTATAGGATTTTAAGAGCACCTTATAGTCCGAAAAATACGGTAATCTATAAAGCATGAACAAAGTCTTGGTGCTTCACCTACTGGTTTCTGAAGAGGCATTATAAACCTCAAGAATGATGGGTGCGTCGGAGGAAATACTGACCCCAGCAGAGAGAAGATTATTGCACCTTTCTGTGGTATAGACCAGTTTTATTTTCTTACACAGACAACTAGCTTTAAAAACAGAAGTTTAGTGTATTTCCTAAAAATACGATTGAACAATGTTTAATATTTGCGTCCAAAAAATTCCAAAATAAAGTCTTTTAGTCATTTACAAACGTTACTGTTAATGTTTTTACTTTTTCAAGCATCAAGCAGGATCGTTTCCTTTGCTCCACCCCAGCTGCTGAAATGGACAAATGTAAAGCACAGAGTAATAAATGTAAAGAACGTCCTGTTAAATCTGGTCTATAACAATTTCTGCCAGACTGATGGTCAAAGCACATGGGTCACATGTTAATGAAGCCACTGTGTGTGTATATGAGTGTGTGTGTGTCTGAGAATGTGTGGTTTTCTGTGGGACGACGATCAAAAGCTCAAACTCTCAGTATTATTGGTTGCCTGTGGTAGTTTGGCGGCTCTCTGAAGGATGTGTCTGTGGAAACCCAGAGAATAGAACCCATGGCAGAATTCATCTCACGGACGAGCAGCAGAGACAAAAACAAGAACAGAAGAAGAGGAACGAAAAGAGGCAAAAAACAGATATAGAGAGGGAGAGAGAGAGGGAGAGAGAGAAACAGGTGTGAGGTGCTTTTTCTCTTATTAATATTAATCAAAGCGGTCTCTTTTTGGAGAATTCTGCAGTGTCTTCTGCTGGCTGATATCTCCTTCCTCTGAGGGTCGAATGGCGCGATACATTTCTGCATGCTCATTCTTGTAATCATCCACTGATTCTGAATGATCCTTTAATCTGCCCATCCAGAATGCTTCAGCCCAATTTAAGTACGCATAATCCGGCATCCCCTGATCTTTTCCTCATTCTCCCTTTCTGCTCACGCTGCGTCTGAACGCCGGTGAAACAGTGAACACCGTGACCAGTGTGACAACTGTAGAGCTCAAGCCTGCACAGCTACCGTCCCGAACCCCTGTGCATTATTAATTCTGTCCTGTTGGCACCGCCTCCCCCTCCAGCTCCTAGAAGACGAGCATCAATCAAGAAAGCATCGTCTGGGCGAGGGTTGTGATGAGAATACACAATCGCACACACGCAGATAAATGTAGTGGGGCATGTGTTTTCTTGACCAGAGGTTCTTGTTGGCGAGCAGACGTCAGGCAAATTATTACATCAGACACAGCACAAAGAACGGCCTGTCTCAGAACTGAGGTAGCTGCCAAACTGCCCAACACACACACACACACTAACATGGCAAATTTACTGAGCAATACATTCCAGCTGCAAACCCCTGGACTGTTCTGCAACATATTAGGAAGTAAACTCGGGGACAAACATGTTTTTTCTTCGAATTAGGAGATGAAAACATCCTGTGCTTTTTTGTCTCCTCTCCGTGCCTTTCACTTGTGTGCCACCGCTAATGCTATGTCCATATAAGTCTCATTATCTCTTTCCAATCATTTATCAAATCTAGAACACCCCTGGTGCGTTAGTATAATAGCCTGGATCAGTTAATGGCCTTGAAACCTCATTTAACTGGCACAGGGATAAGCCTTTGAGACAACGATAAGGATATATGTGGACAGAAGACACAATGAGAGTCTGAGGTGGTCTCAGTTGGAACTAAAACTAGAAAAAAAAACACAGCTGATGAGTCCACATAAAATCACTAGTGGTCCAGAGGTCCAGAGAATGATGCCGACTCCTTCACAAGCTTTTAGCTGCAGGGGCTCAATTAGCTAAAACACAGATTTCAGCCCCCAGAAGTACTCTGTCTGAAAGTGTGCTAGCATGTTTTTAGCGGACGCAGGTACAAAATAGTTAGCAGAGAAAGCTAACGATGGGGAAAAATCATTAGTGGCCATGACTACTTACAGCACTCGGCCCCAGTAAAAGGGGATACTTGTCTGCTATCTACCATAATGTACTGGCCGAGAACTGGCTCAAGTAGTCCATGTGTATCTAGTTTTAGTAGAAAAACAGATTTAAGAGTCCAGCATCTCTTATTTCTTTACGGACAGGTTACCATTAGAGTTGAATATTAGTGGAAGACAAAGCCCATTCAAAGCTCCTAGAGTCTGGGATGATGTGAGTACCAAAAAACAAAAATGCCATGTTAGGGCCTGTGTCCACTAACTGTGTTTTCATCCTGGCAGCACATAGAACATCAATTCCAGAGCACTTTTCACTGGTGCAGGCATTTGTATGCTTCATATTTGATGTTACAAAGAGTGCTGTGAGTTTAGCAAAACAAAACAAAGGACACAAAGGGCATTTTTTCAATTTGCGCCAAACTGTAAATAAGAAGAGCAAAAACATGCAGTCAGTGGACACAGGCCCATAATGTCTCATCAGCCAAAGGGTGATTAAAGCATGCATATTGGGTCCATGTATTATCCGTCCATTCAATTATTCCATTCAATCTAGTAAACGAAAAATGGAAAAACAAGTCAATATTTAGTTTATTTGTTTTTCTGTATAACCAAAAAAAAAAGTGTTTGTTTTTATATTTTCAGCTCAAAACAGAATATATAATAGAGAGGGAAATGAAAACAAAATAATACATCCTGTTTACAGTTATTGATTTTGAGTGCGCCTGTTTTGAGCATACATGCATGGAAGATACATTAGCCCTCCCATGATCCTCAGCGACAGTTACCATGGCGAAAGATGCAACAGAGCGGTTCGAGCACGAAAATCTCATGTTGTAACAGAGCTCTGGTTGTCATTTTTTCTACAGTCATATCTGCTTCTTTAGTGTGACCCTCCTGGCGGCTTTGAATAATACGTGCGTCATCTCCATGACAGCAGGTTAGCCTTTCTCTACCGCTCTGGCCTGGAGATTTTGATCCACGTTGTTGACTACTTTGTTGCCCAATGGCATTTGCGAAGAGTAGAAAAGCACTGTGGGAAATGGGGACATCAATAACCCGAAAACGAAAAGTAGATTTATTATTTTGTTTTCGTTTCCGTCTCTATTATATATTCTATTTTGAACTGAAAATACGAAAACAAACACTTATCTTTTATTTTTTGGTTATATAGAAAAACAAATAAACAAAATACTGACTCGTTTTTCCATTTTTCGTTTACTAGATTGAACGGAATAATTGAATGGATGGACCATATTGATATCGTAGAAGTGATCTGAGGATGGTAATAAAAACATGCACCTACTACACAGTTTTAAAAAATCAAGAAATCAGATATGGAGACTAAAACAATTTTTTTTTTACCAGGCTGTAAATATGTGAAATTCTGCTATAAATGGACATTTTAATATTTCTTCTTTTGATTTTGAAGCCAGCCTCAATTGAAAACTCAAGGAGCTGCAGATTATTGCACTTCAGCCTCGGCTTCATTTTCCACACCTGAGTTTGCCGCATGGTGAGCACAGAGAATACAAATCAGAGTCAGAATAAAGGTATATCATGTGATCGTTAGCCTCCCTAAGGGGGTGGATTAATCATTTATATGTTTTTGTTGCTGCCTGCTTTGACAGTCAACTCCCCTGTGGTCAGAAAAGTCAGCATTAGCATTTGGGAAATAAGGTTGGTGACTCGTAACGGGATTAAATATAATGTCAAAGTCACCGAGTCAGCAGCCGGGCGTTCGTTTCATCTTCGCTCGCTTTGCTCTTTTCTCTGACCTGGCTGCAGTCATGTAGCCTGGTCTTGTAAAATCAGCTTGAAAGGAAGGATTAAAATAGTTCCAATGCAAACGTCGGTACGGCGTCGCTCGCCCTCTTACTCCAGAGGGTGTGAAAAGGGTGGAAAGTGTTGTCCTGCCTCCTTTGGGGGACGTCATTGTAGAACTGTGCGAGGCAAAGTCTCTAATTAGCTCTGCTCTCATTAGGTCTACAACACTATCTCCCTTTGGACAGACAAACACACACATTCTTAAGGGATCATGCACGCACACACACACTCACACAGTAGTGGTAGAGAGGAAGAGAGAGAGAGAGAGGCCACCCCACAGCCCCTGAGATGTGGCCCTTCTTCTCCATTTCTCTTTCAATTAACCCTCTTCCGCCATCCTCCATCGCTTCATCTTTTCTTCTCTCAGCTGAAACATTCTCTATATTCACAATCTCAAAAGTTTCGTCTATTTCAGTTTTATCTCCCATTCACTAAGCCAGAGGAGAGCAGACCCATTAAAGCAGCCTTAATGGAAGACTGGCGAACAGGCACACAGGATTCAACAGCTTTTAGGCCTAATTATTTTCTGCCCATCTTTGTAACGCTCACTCTGCTGATATATGGGCTACTCTGGCTTCTGGGAGGGGACCTTAAATTTTTTTCATCTGCCTTTTTTTCACATCTTCATATTCCTCTGTTTTTACTCTCCCTTGATTGCCATACAGCTGATGCAAATAAGTGTTTATAAAGTCTTTTTAACAGTTGTTTTCTAGGCCAGAGACAGGAGCTGAACAAAAAAAATGGAAGGAAATGAAGATGTCCCAGTGAATGAACAAAAGCTGGCACAGACTGGCGGCTGCCTTTGGTTTGTGCTGTGATCTTTAGCAGCTACACTGTAGCAAAAAACAAAAGGCAAGAAAAGAAAAAGCTGCCGGCAACAGGCAGGGAGGGCGCTGCGTGAGCGGACACAATCGTCAAAAACGCTTGCACACATACAACTGCATGTGCGCGGTTGTGAATTGCTCTCTTCTACAAAGATCCACGGAGGGTTTCGTATCGAATGACAACTTTCTTCTGCTCCTGCACTCCTGATGAAACGAGTCAGGATCAGATGCAGCCGAGTCAGAGGGCCGGAATGTTCTATTCTGCTTTCTGATGAGTCATGAGGGACGTGGCGGTTAATCACCGGACCACACCCTGAAGCCGCCAACTAACCCAGAGACGGAGGAAACTGAGAGCGAGTTGTCAGACACAAGTAGAGACATCTTTATTTCTTTTCACTCAAAAGGTGGTGCCAGTCTGCACAGACACACGCACACACACTTATTCTCCTCCAACGAAGGGTGTCACTGTACTGGCATCAGCAGCGAGTGTCATTGCCTCGAGGTTAAAGCAGATAAGAGAGGATTAGCATTCATTACTCCATAAAGTGATGATACCCCCCTCTGCAAGCGCACACACACACACACACACACATATACTATACAGACATACTGAAGGCTCATACACGGACTCAAAACAAGGCAAAGGGCCAGGTTTTTTCTCCAGCTACAGCTCTCTTCTCCTTTTAAAAACTAACCGTCAAAGCTGCAAACAAAGGGAAATACAGTGATCCTTTGTATCCTCAAACACTGAGGAGCTGGAAATCCTCAAACTGAAGCCTTTGTTATTCACAGTGAGATCTGACAAAATCAGGGCAACAAAGAAAACAAGAAAAAATAATGAAAATTGAATTTGTGTTTGGTGTTTCAAACCCTTGTATGATGTTATATTTGATATAGAATCTTTTGATCTGTTGTATTTTCCACGCTGGGGGGTTACATTTTTTCACTCCTTAATGCAGCGCAGTCAAATGAGGTTTTCTTCCCTTAGGACCTTAGCTCCATCGCTGCAACTAGGACCGTTCAGCTGGCACTGTGCCCTGTTCCCACAGAAAGAGAGAGAGAGAGAGAGAGAGAGAGACCCGCACTAGAGAGTAAAAGTGGGAGAAAAAGAGACAGAAAGAATAGAAAACAGAGGCTTGGATAGAGTCATTTGTAGGTTAAGGATATATTTTGTTAGAGTGATACATCATGCAGGAAAGCATGACACTGTGTGACTTAATTCTTTCCTTTCCTACCCACACACACACTTACACGCACACACACACTCTTAGCGACAGAGCACAGGGCCATCACCTCTTCCTTCTCCACGTAGCGCCTTCCGGCTGCACACTCATCCACATCGATCCACATTGATCAAAGTCGGCTTGTACCACTTCAGGAGAGAGGTGGGTAACACTAAGCAGAGGGATCATAACCTCCCTAAGTCTCTCTCATAATGGGCTCCTCCGTTGCGGGAGGTGCCACATGTCATACAGTCACAAAAGTGGAGATGTATATCAAAGAGGCTGTGATCTAATTAACCAGGCGTAAAGGTCAGATAAATGGGAACAAATTGAAGCTACGCTGAAGCTTAAATGATTAGTCCTGCACGCACACTAAGGATCTGAGTGTAATCTCCATGTCATTACGATCACATATTCTGTGATATGTAGTCCTGTCTAGACTTCAAACATCAGCATGAAAGCTGCGGCGAGAGACAGCGAGGTGACAGACAGCGCGACAGAGACCCAGCACAACACAGCTGCTGTATCTCTCTCTCTCTGATGGCTGAGCCTGATACCGCTGTAATCCACTTAAAGCCTTTTGAAGAATCACAACGTCCGACAGCAAACCCTGTAACACGCACCATAACAATAAAGGGATATTACAGACATTCTTCAATCTCGTGGTGACGGCCGACATAACTTGCCTGCTCACTTGTACCCCTCTTATCACTCTCTTTCCATCTACACACCACTCATCTATCTGCTCCTCTACATCTGTCCATCACTGTCCATGTTACACCGTATGATATCTAAGCACCCGTCTATCACTCTTTTCTCTTTCTTTGTTGCAGTGTCTCTTTTTCTCTCTGGCTTTAAAATGCTTGTTGACACCACCCTCCAGTCTATCAGTCCGTCTTTACAAGTATCACAGTCTAGGCCTCAGAGTAAACGTCATGATTATGCAATTACACATACAGGCATTTCTGCAACAAAGCTGACTCCTCTAAAGACTGCGCAGCTATTTTTACTCGCTAACGTTTCCAAGAGTAGTATGGGAGGTCAAGCCTTTATGTCTTTTATATTTGAAGGGTAGAGTCATGTGTTTCCTCACTGATAAATCTTGGAGTTGGGTTGCCTCAGGCTCGACTTGAACTTCCTTCTAGTTTTTTCTTAAACTAGTTTCCCAAGACTCTGTATATGCCTCTCTCCATCTCTTAGTGTTCATGTCCGATTCAACCAACTTTATTTCCTCTCAGAAGCTCATGCTTACTGGTTTGGCACACTATCACATTTATACTATCATTATCCTAGTTTTTAATACTTAGTCATATTACTACTATTTTAGATTCTATGACCTGTGCTTAACCAAGTAGCAGCAAAGTCTGGACTCTCTGGTTTAACTCTTCACAGATAACTGTCAATGAGAAGTTGTGTTGTCTATATATTAAACTGTCAACAGTTGCCATTCAGTCTTATTTTGTTCCAAAGCAGTTCAGTCATATCTCAACAATACTTGATTACATTCCACCCAAGGCAACGGCTGAAGTTCCATGTGATGTTCTCCATGGTACTGCTGCTATAATATCAGGAGACTTCTACCAAGCCACCCTGGATCTGCCGTATGTAAATGTAAAAGAACCTTACAGAGTTACTGCTGTACCATCACTGGGCAGGTCAGATCATAACTTGGTTTATCTGTAGTTTATCTGAGAATTCAAACAAATGACTTTCCTTTTAGGGATAAATAAAGCTATTGTATTGTATTGCATTATTAATGCCATTTCTGATGGCTCTCACCAATGAATGTGGTTCTACTCAAGGTTTCTGCCTCTTCTTTCCCTACATTTGCCCGATGTTGCCAAGCAGTTTCTTATGGCCTACAGTAATATACTCATTCAGACCTCCACGTATGTCAGTCTGGGACATGTTCTGCATGATTGCAGCCCAAAAACTTGTGTTTATCTCATACTGAAATCCGTTGAAACCTTTCAGCAGAATCTGTATGCTTCCTGGAACACTTTTCCACTGATAAAGAGTTAGACACAGTTTGTGGGTGTTACTTTTTACACAGCTTTACCTTTACATGCCTTTATAGTATGAGCTACTGGCTCCTACTTGGCTCCTCGTTTAGTTCTGTTAGTATATGTCAGTTACGGTGCTAAGAACCAGACATCAGGTTGTGACCATGTCTTGAAACAAGCTATTTAAGAAACCTGGAAAACCAGTCAAGGGATTATGATGTTCATGTTAACTAGAAGTTTGCAAGGGTTAAGTATGGACATCCAACTCTTTCACATTGTATCAAAATACAGATCAGTATGGATCATGTCTTTTAATAGCACAACAGAGGATAGTCAAGACTTGCTCCATATGTCGACTGTTGCTGTGCTTTGGCGTTTATGAACACAAATCGACTGTTAAACACCGGTGGAGAAAAAGGTCTCTGTATGACGGTGATTCAGAGTTGATTTATTAAGTTTTGTAGGAAGGAAGAGAAAGCCTAAGCAGAATGCACCCGAAAAACATCCGCTCTGTAATGGTCATGAAGGATCGATAACGCATGGAGACAAAGTGCTGCTAAACAGTGTGGTTTCTGTTAATTAGCACTTCTCTAATGATCTCTCTCTCTCTCTCTTTTTCCCCTCCTTCTTCCCTGACTCCCTCTCTTTCTGTTCTTCCCTCCCACTCTTGCTCTTTATTGCGTCTCTCTATTAAAACGCCTGCCTTCCTCTAGCTTCATCACTCCTTCATTCCTCTGGCCGAGTGTGTTGATGCTGCCCCTTCTAGCTAATATTCCATTCCCTCAGCAGAGAAAACAAAAGCGAGAGGAGGTATCCGAGTTCTTTTCATAAGCCTGATGAATATCCCACTCCTGTGTTTGTGGCTGATGGCTCTCAAGGATGAGATTTAATGAACCTCTCATCCAACTCTGATTATTTTCTAATTAAAGGAGTGAGTGATGGGGGCATTGAGTAAATTCATGAACGCATGTTTATAACCGCGGTAGGGAAAATAGAATGACAAACATGCTAATGATAGACGCAGAGACGGATATCATACTCAGTTGAGCCTTGTTTACAGCAACTCCCTTGGGAGCAGGGGTCGTTTGGCACAGAGAAATGTTGGCAACATTTAATCAAATTACAAAACTTAAATCAAATTATCCTCGTAATCTAAAATATGTATTCAAGTGCTGTGAATATTTAAATGTTTGCAGTTGCATAAGTTGTATTAATCAAGCTGGACTTCTACACCAGTGACAAATTACGCTTTCTGCAGCCAGATCAACATATTTTGATCATGCTTGGTCGAGCGGAAGGTACAGAGATCCTTTCACAGCAATCCCCCTGGAAATTCTGTTTGATATGTTTTTTTTCCCCCTGCAACATTACAGCACAATTACAGGAATAACTAATGTGTGTATTTTCCAGGAAAGAAGGTGCTTTATTCCTGCTACACATACCGTTCATGCGTACCATTGTTGAGCTTAATAGTGCTGACTTTGTTTCTGATCACTTATGAATTCTTTTTTGATTATATAACCAGGCTCAGAACCTTCTCTTATTCACGCAGACCACTTTCTATTGCTTTTAACCATAGACTGTATATACTATGGACAACTTGGTTTTGCCTTCCGTCATTATAAGAATTTGAAGGCGAATTGCTCTCAGTTTTTCCAGGATTTTCTCCGCTTCCTGGAACCACCACTTGCACGATAACGTTGAGCGTATTTGGCTGGAGAGTCGCTGTGATGACGTTCGGCTCAAACAGCGTATCCCCCGGGTTAGCTACGCAATCTTTGTACGCCCATAGGCTATATCAAGTGTCAATCATAGAAAACATAAACCCCCTAATAACACAGAAAAAAGAGGACTTGAGCACAAACTTACAGTCTTATAACAGTCTTATAATAACTACATGTAAAGTTTGTCCACTGCTTCGTTCTTTTACAGTCTATGCTTTCAACATGTAACAAGCGAACAATGACGATGCTAGAAAGCCAATAATTAGCAGGTAGAGAGTGAAACAAGTTCACCATCTTTGTCTTATTTAAAATACAGGTGTAACCTGACGGGTTTGTCATGATTTTTGTTAATATTTAACCAAAAGCTGAAATATTTGACAAATTAAAATATTTATTTGATGAACTGAAAAGTTAGGGAATTACAGGAAAATAGTCTGAAAATGTAGCAGAACAGAATTTTGCCTAAGGGTTATAAATCAGGGATACCGGCGTGAATTTATGCTGCTTTGATACTCTTTTGGCATCCGTTACTTTTCAGTAATATGAATACTAAACGAAGCCATGATCAAAACACATTCTCCTACTTCTAATAAGACAGTTTTCAGTGATTTTCTGTCATTATTGCACCAACAGCTTTATATTTTGCTCATCTACAGTATGTCGAATTAATGTGGAAGGTAATCAGACATGAGGAACAAGTGCTCAGCAGCACCTGTTTTATGCACACAGGTGCTGTTCCTCTTCACACCTCTCTTAAACTGAGTTCCCATCAATGCAAATATTTTACTTCCCGGTGTTATTTCTCACTTTTGGTATAAGAACTAAAGTACTTCCCCCAAAACCTTGACCCAGCTATGTTATAAAAATTAAAATGAGCTTTTTAGTGTTTATATTCTTTAATGGTTAGATCTTTTAATGTTTTGAGAAGTTTTGATACCTGTATTAACACATTAAAAGTGTTGGTACCGTATTGAAGTTAAAAATGTGACATTAAACCTTAATAAATATCTACATGCTCTTGTAGAGAACCACCCACTGTTGAACCTCTTTCACATATTTGGATATTTTTGCAAACACTGGTTTTCTCCCTGCTTTTTGACCTTGTGTCTACATGCAAACAAAGCTTTGGCTCACTGAAAACTTCAGTTTTCAAAAATGCCTTCCAAGACTTTCTTCGTATATGTGAGGACAACAAAACCAAGAGTCAAAGGGGTTAACACAGTTATACACAAAAACACCTAAAGGCTTTTAGGAGCCGCAGGTAAAGCTGACTTGCATGTCTTTAGACTGAGAGAGGCAACCTGCTAAAGTACTTGAATTATGTGAAACACTGCACCACCATGGCTCCCAATGCAGCATGATTAATGCACGGTAACAATCTGTCCTTTGTTTCCTCCAAACTTTGTCGTGTTTCATTTTGATAACCATTACGTCATGATTTGAGAGCTGCCCTCCAGTGGATTTTAAAACATCACTCACATACGCAATCAGTTTAAAATCACCAGTAACGCGAGACCGGCCCAGCCTCCAACTTCCTGCCTGGTGCAGCCGGCAATACCATTAACCAGGCAGCGGAGCCGCTCTGACGTGATGACCTGCCTGAGGTGAATACTCATGATTTCACAGGAGTCTGTCTGCTTTACTGAGAAGGATGTTTGTGTGTCAGTGTGTGCGCATGTGACTGCGGTACAGAGCGAGGGCTTGTTTGCTGTTTGTGGCGATGATGTGTGAGTTTATGTGTTCAGGCTTGAAAGTAAAGGATTACGCTTCAGAAGTGCGGAAGAAAAGCATCTGAACTCCAAAGATCAGATGAAGAGCAGAGGGTCAGTGACGGATAAAAGGAGAGCAGATAGGAGGGGGAAAGGCTAGACGACAAAAGAGGGGGAGAAGTTGGCAGACGACTGGCTGTCCTGGAGTGAATTAATGTCCCGTTTCTCCCTCCACCCCCCCTGAACAACTTGTCTGCAGTCAAATTTAAAAGGTTTGTTTTACCGCATCACACAGGAAGAATTCTAAAAAGGTAGAAAAAAAAAGCAGCCGGATGATGATATGATAAAATAAAAATGCAAGGGGGGGACGGAGGAGACAGGATGAACGGTGTCCTTTGAAAGATGGGGAGTAGATTGGAGGGTGGTGGAGGAGGGTGAGACAGACGAACGGGAATGGATCAGGCCATAACTGATTGCATATTCCGTTCACAACAGCAGGAGCAGCAGGAGCAGCAATAGCAAAGGGACATCACGACTCAGCACGCAGAGATGCTGATATTACCTTCAGACTGCCTAAACATCCGGGACCCTCCAGCTTCATATAAAAGAAGATGCAAAGGCACATACCCTGAACGCTGGAGAACATGTATGGAAAGGTATTTAAATGTAAATAACTGTAGTTTTAAACAAGGTAACAGTGTTAAAGATGGAGGATTAAAGGAAAAGTGCCAAAAGTTGAGGTGTTTGCATGTTGTTGGGAGCTTTGCCTAAACGCCCTTGTATGTATTTTGGCTCTGATGTTGTTGTGTCATGTCTCCATGCTGATGCAGCACATTTAAAGATGGATGTATGTGTTTGTGTGTCTGTGCTGATGCAGCACATCCACAGATGGATGTAAAAATGGTGTCCCCTCTGAGGACAGAGAGACATTTAGAGGAGACGCTCTAACTCATGCAAAGAGCCCTGACAAAATTTAATAGCTGTTGGCCGTGTGTAACCCTGCTTACTTCATGGCTGTGTCTAATAACAGCCTCCTTTCATAATGTCCCGTGTAGGCCGAGCCATGTAAGAAATCAGATAGGGTATATCTGGTTTAGTTAGGCCCAAAAATATACTCTAAAAATGGAACAGCAGAGTGCTAGATGATAACAGTCAGAGAGTGCACCCACTCGCAAGCACAAATGTTTTGGAGCATCTCTTAAACCAATAACATCACTCTAGAAAACAGCTTAGGATACTCCAAATCATGCTCTCAAACCTGCACTTTAGTGGCTCAATTCAAAGCAGGTCCAAACAAAACACAAACAAGCACGGGAGTGCTATCACTTCTAAATTGATTGACAATTCGTTTTAAAGTAAGAATTGTGTTTTTTAAGGACACGGTTAAATATAACTCACAGATTTTTGTGCTCTCTTCATTTTGGCTAACACTGATATTGATCCGGTAACACTTTACAACAAGCATAACTTATAAATGGTAAATAGATAGTTTATTGATGTTTAATCATCATTTAGAAACAGCATTTGGACCAATTATAAATGGCAAATGGATAGTTTATTAATGTAAGTTACTTTACAATTAACAAGCAATGAAATTATGATTAATAATTGTCATTAATAATTAAAAGACTGTTTATTAAAGGTTAATACAGGGTTTAAATGTTGGTTGTAAAACATCTAGATTAAAATGTGTCAGTAGCACTTTGTAAATGGTTAATATTTGGTTTTTAAACCATCTATAAACATTACTTAGACGGTTATTCTAAAGTTAAGGTTAGGATTAGGTTTTCTATAATTGTAAAATTTACAATTTATTAATGGTCTATATGCTATTTATAAATGATGATTAAACAGTTATAAACTGTCTGCTTACCATTTATAAATGGTCTATTTACCAGTTATAAGTTATGATTATTGTAAAGTGTTACCACTAAAACATACCTTACTTTTAATTTACAATAAATACCCCTAAATCTTTCTTTAGTGTTCTAGGATGTGTGGAGTCTAAAGCTGACAGGACAAACTGACCCTATCTATGAGCATGAGCTGCCTGGATGCACTTTTTGGTGGAATATGCCGGAAAGAAAAGGAGATGCAGCTACAACAACTCACTCTTTCTGGGGACGATTCCCAGAAAGTTTTTTGCAACATTTGCCAGAGTTTTTCCTTTCAATCGAACACGGAGGAGGAGAATATGACTTGTCACAAGAAACACCAACACTCTTTGGGGAAATGTGGATCTACAGATACATTTCCCCTGAAACCAAAAGAGGGCTGCCAAACAGATAAGGTTACAGCAGCTGGAATGACCGAGATTTACCACACGGTGCAGCAAGCATGCAGGTCAGCAGACTGAGTGAGCTAGCTCTGGCTTTTTTTTCCCCCCTGACTCTGAGATTGCAGAAATGTAAAGATGTGCAAAAGCAGCAGCTATAATTCCAGGTGCGCTGCCTCTGGACATTTATTTGAGCGAGTGGGTTCCTGTTTGTTTTGTTTGATTGTACACACTTTAGTTGACTCACGGTTTGAGAGTTGATGAGAGCAAGCACTTCACTTTGAAAAGTTGCTGAAGACTGTAGATGCCTACAAGCAAACCATCACATAAAAAACAGAGAAACTTCAGCTTCTTTTGATGACTGTTTGTTTTGCTGAGGAGTTCGAAAAAAGAACACGCATTTGTTATTGGCTGCTGCAGCTGTCAGTGGTGCACTGTAGAGTCGAAAATTGGGATTCAGAACTAATACAAACTCCTGGCTGTGAGTGAGTTACCTTATGCCATGCAAAGGTTTTTTTGAAGGTTTTATCCCCTCAAAGTCTGGGAAAGTTTGGCGGGAAAGTAGCTGAGAATGCTAATGATCATTGTAGGAGAAAAAAAAATAAATAAAATTGATGATAAGTCAAAAGTATAAAACTTGCTCTGCAGAAGAAAAGCCCTTGAAAATCACCCAGGCAACATGATTTTTGGCTATAACTTCCTAATCACAATTTAAAAACTACCGATAACATTTTAAGTAGTAAAAAAAAAAAAACAATCGTAGTGGGACTTTAAGTGGAAAAATGGAAGTGGATTTATCATTCCAGATCCACAAGAAGTGCCTTTCTGAGTTATGGTATTAAAATCTGTTTTGGAAGAGAAGATGTGTTATCAGTTTCTGAGTCACATTCACACTTGGCTGACTTAATTCTTGGAGTTATCTTTTTCTGTGTCTGGAACTTCTGTTCTCCTCGAGTCAGCATTGTTTCAGTGCCAAAGAAACAAACTCATAGTATATGATCTAAAAAGTGGAAAATTAAAATTGGAAACACTCGCCGCGCTGGGGGAGCTGAGGTTTCGGAGAACAATGAGGTAAAGACTGCACAGACACAACAAGTTAAATCTCTTGCAGGGCTGCAGAGCGTTTTTACTTGTAAACAGTGTCGTCAGATTTATCCAGGCTGGAGCAGACATAGAACACACAGACCTCAGTGACCCCATGCAGAGCAAAGTTTTGAGACACGCACCGTGAACAAAGCCATCAGCAAACTACATGTAATCATGAATCACCTCCTCCTCAACGGCTGCATGGCCACAAAGCCTGAAAACGACAAATGTCTCCCTTAAATACGATGAGAAGTGATGAAAAAAAAAAGAGATGAAAATCAGTCTGTGTGAAATGGAAATGAAAGTGTCTGGGATGCCTGGGATAGAAAAAAAAAGAGCAGAAAAGAGGAGATGGTGAGGGTGGATGGGTGGTGGGGGGGCTGTTGAGTAGAGACAGATTAACAGAGGTAATGAGAGGAGAGGATGAGAGCGGAGAGCATGACTGTAGAATACAGATACAGAGCAGATTAGCACCGTTGGAGTATGTTTCACTTTCAAAGAGTTCTTATCCAATATGCTGCACACCTCTGTGCACACACACACGCACACACTCTCTCTCTCTCTCTCTCTCTCACACACACACACACACACACACACACACACACACACCTTTACATGTGTTCTCGGCTGGGCTCTCATCTCCATACACCTCACATATTCAGCGGTTATCTCCTCTCTCTGCTCTCTTTTGTCTCTCTCACCCTCTGCAATTTTTTGTGTTTCCAAGGACTTTGTAAATGTAGGTCAGCATATATTCTTATTGTCCCTCACCTCCTGATTGAGAGTCTTTGTCTGTGCCGAGTAAAAATGCACAGCACTGATTATTTGTGTTTTTTTTGTGGGCTGTAGCCTCCAGAGTAACACTTATACATCCTGGGTTCAGCATACTCATACTGAGTTTCACTTCTGTACAAGCTTCCCACTGAGCATTTTTTGGTGTGAAAGAGGTCTAATAGACGTCTAAATGTAGCCTAGAAGACTGGTCTAAAATCAGGCTACCACAGGTCTAAAAATCAAAGTTTTTTAGATGTCTAAATTTAGACTAGCTGGCTGTACTATACTATGCTGTATAATGCTCAACGGCTATCATAATAATTTTGGTTAAGTACTTGGAGATCAGTTATGCAACTCACATTTGCTTTTTGAAATAAATAGTTATCGAATTATGGTCTAAAGTGCAATGTTTAAATTCTGTCTAAACTGTACAGAATCTAGACGGTTGAAATTAGGGCTAAAAAAACTAGATGTCTAAGGCCGTCTATTGCTCAGTGGGTTAGTTTTAGTATTTTAAAATTTCACAATAAATGTAATTATTACTGCCTGTTTTAAATTGATAAATAAAACAAGCAAGCACACTCAAAATGTTGTTGTTTTGGTCGCAATTTCAGATGGTTATTTTTCATTACATATTAGGGCTGCACGATATATCCTTTGAGCATCGTCACATTGCAGAGCCTGCGTGTTGGAGGCCAATGAACTTCATGGAGTGAGTCGCTGGTGCTGCTGGTGTTGTGCCGAGAAACGTGCGTCCGCTGAGAATTACTTTCAGATCATTACTCATCACTGTTTAGCCCAACAAATAAGAACTGTATGGATTTTAAATTGTACATTTCCGTGGACCACTCTACTATAAGCAGTGCGGGTTTTGCAAGATGCATGCAATTCTTGGCGGGCATGTGTTTCTCGGCACAACACCGGGAACAACAACAACGATTGCAAAATGAGCCACAAACAAGAGAAAACCACCGAAAATGAAGACTTGTTGCCAAAAAGAAAAGCAATCTGGAAGTATTTCGGTTACAAGAAGGATAATGTCGACCAAAACACGTGTTCTGTGTTCATCTGTTTCCACAATAACATCCCAGCACAGTAAAAGCTAAAAATATCTCTGAGACAGACAGAAGCCATTCTATTTACATTCACAAAAAGAGGTAAGATCAGTGCAGGTTAAACTGTCCACAAGATTTCAGTAGTGCAGTATAGCATAAAGAGCTATTCAGGTCATCTTGTGAAAATTCCTGTGTTTTTTAATATTGTAATATATATCGCAGGGTTGAAAAAAATTGCAATGTGAGTTTTTACCACTATCGTCCAGCCTCACTGCATATGCAATCACAAAATCCTACAAAATCCTGCAGCAACCATCTTAAGAGAGACGGGTAATGTGGGAATGAGAGAGTGGGTTGGACATGCAGCATATGGTCGGGGCTCTGGGTTGAACAAGGGACCGCCAAAACAAGAACTAATGGTGCAGACCTACCTGTAAGTGTCAAATTTGCCTATAGGGACGCCCCACCCACCTGACGGCTGCTTCACCTGCTGTCTTTAGAAAAGTTAACAACACTGGCTTTCCTCAAGGTTTATTTACTTTAACTTATAGTATTTCACCACCGGCTTTAAATGCATGTTTTTGACATTATAGCACTGTATAAGTAAAGTTATAAACACTCATAAATGATCATAACGCTTTATAGCAATAATCGTAACATATTATAAAGCCTTTTATCATGACGTACTAGGTCAGGTATTATAATGTGTTATAACTGTAAACAACTCACTGACAATGCCCACATAGATAATGCAATGCAACTGTTGTTAACAGTTATAACATGTTATAATACCTGAACTTGTAAGTCATGATAAAATGCTTTATAATGTGTTATGATTATTGCTATAAAGCATTAAGATCATTTCTGAGTGTTCATAACTATAGTTATACACTGCTATAAAGTGGTTATAACACATTATACATATATTTATAATAGGTTAGAAAGAAAGGCGTCAAATAAAATGTTACCAAAAGTAGCACTTCCACTGAGATCTGCACTGCCAGGCTGCAGGGGCTTGAGTTTTACGCCTTTCTAATAATTTTTACAAATAGGTGCATCATATCAGTTCTGATCTGTACAAATATCTACATCCATGATTTTTTTTTTGCATCCACAGACATCATGCTTTCACAGATGAAACTCAAGGAAGGTATTTCACAATCATACTGCCATCGGCTCTACTTTACAACAGCTCTTTTACACTTTAACAGGCACTTTAATGTGATTACGGGGACATAGCACGCAGCATCATCACCTCCATGACAATTCGGGCTGTTATTGCAGTAATAGGTTCACCAGTTCTCAAGGACATGTGGCATTACAAGCTCAGTCCCCACCTCTTTGATTATAAAACGCACAATAAAACCCCAAAGGAGTGTGGCTGCTTTAGTACACACATGAAAACAACATGTTTTCATTAAGCACAGGTAATAATATCCGCTCAGACCCAGTTTGTCTGGGTAATGTCCATTACACTGATTAAGCCTTTGACACCCTAAAACCACTATAAGTAGATGAAGCATGACATGGACACTATCAGCAATCAGGCACCACATGTTTAAAAAAAAAGGGAATTTAGAGGCTGATGAATTTCAGCACTTCATCTGTAAAAAAATGTTTGAATTTTTTTTTTTTTCACTATTTGTTGCTTTTGGTCTTTGTCAACTGTTCTGTGTTTCGACAACTTCACACTTTCTTTGTCAGCGAGCCAGCCAGTCAAATACAAATCAAACACATTTTGTTTGACAGTAGCTGCATGATTCACCGGCTCTACCGCGACGACGTGTAAACGATACAAGTGACAATTTTAGAAACAAAAGGCAACACTTAAAAAATAACGGGGTTGTTAGAATGAGAATTTCTGTTTTTACAAACCACCGAAGCGAGTGCTGATACCTTTCATTTCAATCTACAGAATCACAGATAATGACTTTTTCTTTTTTCCCCCAAATGTCTTGAAATACTGAGAAAACATGTGGGAGATCATCACAAAAACACTCAGGAAACTGTTTTTCTTATTCGCCCTTAAACAGTTTTCTGACCGGCTGATCATTTGACATCTGGAAGTCACGTGTGCAGAGATCACTATTACACCAACTGTGCACGCATTAAGTGGGGACACACACCTTTGACATTTAATTTGTAACATTACAAAGAGAGGTCTCAGATTCAAGAAGCTACCCTCCAACTTCCTTCAAGCTAATCTATCAGATTAGAAGATTAATTAGCAAGCATTTTTTTGTTTTCTGTTACCATCACTTTACTTGGAAGTTCATATTTTTGAGTTCCAACAGAAAGACATCATGACTTTTTGTTTGATTTTACATTCATAGGTCTAGCTTTAACAAACTCATACACCACAGGAGTCAGACTGAGAGAGAATAAAAGAAACACTTAATTACTGTATGATTCACAACATAAGCATAAGGTCAAAGATAACTCTGACAACTTCCTGCCTTGTTTTTTGAAGTTATTGTGTATTTTGCAGGTCCTATTTTTTTAAGCAATGGAACTTTTTGTTGGTGTTAAGATTGGTGCCTCCTGCTGATGGTCTTTTCCTCCCTGAATCAAGTTTTTTGACACTGAAAAAGGTAAAAATAAAAGTTTTCTTGAACATGCTTTAAATACAAGTCTCTGACACCCAATCTCTTGTTACGGGTAAATCATTAAAAAGACATTTGCAATGGTTTGGTTCACTTTTGTAGGTCATAGAGAAGCATCACTTTTGGATTGGAGGTAGAAGAAAGAAGACTTGAAGTGGGGAAAGAAAGCCAGGATGACAAAACACAAAAGGAGCTGGGTGAGAGAGACATCTACCGAATCGAAGAAAACAAACACAAAGCAACCGCAAATATGGAGTTTGGTGATGTTACAAGACTAGTTAAGTGAGAAGAAAACGCACCAGAGAAAACCTCACACCAGTGCTGCTGTAAACTGATAAGAAGAGAACTATCACATCCAGCAAAAAGTGGTTGAAAAAAGAAGACATCTTCAACATATGTCTTAACAACGTCTAGATTTGGACCGTTTGAATGAAGTCGAGTCCTCAATTTATTTTATTTATTTATTTATTTATTTTTTGGGGGGGGGGCTAAAACAGGACCAAATAGGACTGTCTAAATGAATTTTAAATGTCTTTTTTTTGCTAAATCAGCACTGAATTGGATCGATTGTCTAAACAAAGCCCAGTTTTCAATGTCTTTTTTTGGGCTAAATTATGGCCATGATGAGCCAACGTGATTTAGCCTGAAAAAATGTGTCTAAATGACATCGAGTGTTTGGTGGGATGACTATGAAGGGTAATGTTAGTTCAATGGGGTTTATAACAGTGAAGATGAATTATGTTTGTTGACCTTACGCTGAATACTGTTAGTAAATGTTAATTTAATACAAACTGATGAGAGTATCAGAGCCGTGGAAGCAAAGCCAGCTGTTGAATCTATTATACATCATAAAATTATTAATGAATTAACACTTTGTATCATCTTGTTTGCATCTTAAGTTGGTAGCCAGGTAATAAATAGGCAATATCCACATTACTGCTGGTTAGTAATACATTATTCATTACCTGTTTCAAAGGCAGTTTATAGCTCCCTACAGCAGCTTTATTTGTCTGTTTTCATTTTCACCAAGCAGACTATGGTCTTTATTTTTTTGTCTATTGCATTCACAGACTAACATAAATACCCAGTTATGTGAGGGCTTGAAACAAGAGGGCATTAGCAGGTCTCTGTGTTATGTTTTTCATCCAAACATGCCAAAAAAACAGGAATACAAGAGATACAACCCAATCATATAAATAGAGCTTTTACGTCTGATTCGATATCGAGTATTTCCCTAAAGATCCAAATCACTACCAGTTCATATGTAAGATCCCTTTGAAGACGTTCATTAAATGTTGTTTCCTTGGAAACCAGTAAATAAGTAACTGAGGAACTCCTGAGTGGGCTCGTTAGGCTGCACGTAAACATTGTCAGTTTCTATTTAAGGTTAAATTGTAATCAGCAACAAAGGAAACTCTTTGTAGGAGGGAGGAGATTTGGTTAAATTTTCTAGTCTAACATCTCCCTAATGTTGAAAATAACAGAACAAATAAGTAACACTGTGTACACCCTCACGATTGTAATATTTTAGTGGCTCAGAGGGGATCCCCATCAACCAGCCCACTCAAACTCTGGTAAGAATCAAATATCTTATTTTTTTGAAGAAACAGCTCAAAGTATCTGCAGATGTCCTGCTGGAAAAAATATTATCTAAATGTCAATAAAGAGAAAAAATCTCAAGGAGAGCAAAAAAATCTCAGCAGTGAGTTTATTGTTTTCCATCTGCCCAAAATACCCACAACTGTTCTTATACAATAAAACTGTCTCTTTGTTTGGATGTTAATCGCAACAAGCTGCTGAATTCCTACATCAGGTGGCGAAAGGACAAACAATTCACTTCAAGAGGACGAAAAATTGGTTGTTTGTCCTTTCCCTTAGAAAATTCACAATGGGATTTCTTCATTATTTGAGGGTTTTTAGACTTCCTCGGCGTAGACGGGGCTGCAAAACGGCATAAATTCTGCTTTGATTTCTGTCTAAACACACGCAAGAAAGACATAAACGAGCATCAGGAGACGTGAAGAGCGCTGTTGTTTTAGAAAAGGACTGATCAAGCACTTCTTTTACCGTCGCTATGTCTCTGTTTAATCTGCATATCAGGACAGTTTCATTGCATCTTTGTTCGGTTACTCTTCTCTGTTACTGTTGTAATTCCACACAGAGAGGGTCAGTGTCTTCGTAACGTCGACCAGTCCTTCAGAGTCTCTGCCTCTGACTCATTTCCTGTTGGCCTCTATCACGTCATCCCCTGTTTCACAGCCCATCAAACGAAACTTTCCACCTCATTCCTGGCTGATAAATACCTTTTTTTTTCTTCTTTTAGGTACAAATGAATGGTTGTATTAAGTTCATAATTGGCATGAAGAAAATCTGGCACCAGAGAAGAAACTCAGTCTAGGACAAATAGAAAGAAAAACAGAAAAGATCTCTTCAAGGTTTGAATGAACAGACTATCTGGATTAAAAAAGCTAAAGAAGAGCTGCCCACATGCTTTTCATTTTCTAGCATGATGTGCACTCTGTCTCTTTTTCAGCCTGCATTTCCTGAAGAATTAAGTGTGGGTGGTAATGTCCACTGCAGAGCCACGCGTACACCCTTCCATCCCCTAACAATCCCCCCTTTTCCCCTCTCTCCTTGCCTTGCTGTGTGTTATGAATTCATTCACAGATAAAGCTGATCTATCATTCTGTCACAGACGCAGGGAAGGGAGGCAGACTGTGGAATGCCCTGGCACCAAACGCGGCGCTACGCTTCCTCGCGCATTCCCCACTGCGCCCTCTCTGTCTCCCTGTCTGTTTTCATGATCCGTGCAAGGCCCCTGCGGCCCCCTCTATCCATTCCTGTCTTACCTGTACCAACTGAGACCCACCCAGACCATCTAGGCTCCAGTCGAGCAGCCCAGCAGTGTAATAGCACAGAAACCCCTCCCAAGTTATAAACAAGGTAAGCTGAGGCCTGGACTTCCTTGAGTGACTTCCAGCTTTGGTCTCTTGTTCCGCCGAATAAAACCTTGCGTGCCAATCAGATATGAGACAAATTACAACACGGTAGACAGAACCCTATGATCCAAGATCACTGTGCTCACCTGAGCCAAGATACACAGATTTACTAGACTGATACCTTTGTCTGATATGTTTCTGTTTTCTGCCCCTGAAACCGAAGAAATAAATCAATCAACTTTTATTTACAAGGCCTCAAATGACAACAAAAGGTTGTTTCACTGAACTGCAAGTCGATCTATTCAGAAAGACCTACAGAGAATCGACGAATGAGGAAGAGTTTAGCGACAAAACCTGACTTTAAAAGGGCAGAAACCACAAGGAAAACCACAATCATCACAATGTGGACCAGTGTGCCGAGATGCCACAGCTAGAGTTTGTGTGACACATGTTCAAGAGGTCATCTGCACCCTGTGTGTGTACATGTTGTCTTCATATATGACTTACTACAGTGTGTTACAGAAAGCCAGTGTTAAGACTTGGCTCCCGGCCCTGACAAATGGTGCCACAGCTGACCCTTTACACACTCTCACTGCTGTGGGTAAATAATAGTATGAGTGTATATTTACTCACAGGGCATGGGAGTCCAAAAGTGTGAGTGATGCACCATATATCCATGAATGAAAGGAGAATATCTGGCTTGTAGCCCCCTCATAATAGATTTATCTTTTCCTCTTTCGGTTTTAATTGAAACGAGTTGACCTCTGACTTCTTCCACCAAGAAATTAATGAGTTTGTTCAACAACTTGTAAATAAATGGTTCTCACTTACCATAAATTATCTGCAAAGCATTCACTTCTATGAATTTCTTTTTTTTTTTTTAATTGGTGCTTTTAATGCCTTTTCTTGTTTTAAAAGTGAGGCTGCACTCTAATACTGCAGTTACAACATTATTATACAGGCTTAGCTAAACTATCGCACTGGCAGCTTGCAGGACTACTGGGACAGCTGCGCAGAAAGTACACGTTGGGCACAATGGGCGTCATCACACAGAAAAACAGTCTAATATCAGCAGTTATATGGGATTATCTGAGTCAAAAAACCATGACACTAAAGAGATGACTGTATTTTGAGCAAGAATAAATAGAAATGGTGTTGAAATAACTTGCAAGCACAGCAAAAAAAGGTTAATTTAGTTTGACTTTGAATTACAGGCTGACTATTAGGTTTGTAGACAAAGTTAAAAAAAGAAAAAAAAAATTGTGCTCTTGTCTAATGCTGTGCTCGAGTTACCTCATAAGTCAGATGTCGGAGCTGATAATGACGTCACACCTGAGTTCCCAGCGTTTCAGTTACTGAGTCGGAAAAAAGCAAAACCGGAGGCAGAAACAAGATGGCTCCATCTACGAAAATTATTTTAGCGCTTGCCTTGTCCATGTTATATTCAGACAAGGCAAACCTACGAGGTAACTCAAATGCAGCATCTCTATTGGAAACATTCAACATAACATGAAGACATGTTTTTATATTAAATCTCTTTCTTCTACTTGTATCCTGGATTTCAGGGTCAATATCGGCTCATACCAACAAAAAAAATGTTTTTCTCTCTTTTTCAGATTTATTATCCAGCTTGTATGCTTTAACAAGAGGACAGTGAATAGAGTCTGTGCAGCATAAGGGTTGCAATGAAACCCGTAATGCCTGCTTTAAAGGCTAGCCTTTATATGGAAGGTGGGTGATTTACCAGAAGGCTAAACTAGCACCCCTGTTATCCTGTCTGTTGATTGGTCAGTTCAGAGGTAACTATTTCATCCACAGCATGGATATAAATGGAAATTTGACATTTTTATCCCTGGTGGATGCTTCAAATGAAGACTGATAAACTTGAAAAAAGGGACCTTAATGTACACTCTTTCTTGAGTGGGTGTTTTTGTTGCCTGAAAATGACCACAAGCGGGACCCTAGGACTCAAACTCAAATCTTCTCTGTCAAAGTCTCTTCTCATTCGGTGCTCGTCATCCAACCACAACCACCTTCCAGCTACATCTGTGTTCGCTCAATGTGTTTTGAAGGAACAAATGACTGCCAAGGATTATGATCTTTGGCAGGGTAGAGTCCAGGAAGTTTTGCCTACATTCTTTCACAATTAAACTGGATTTGCAGGGAGACAGGGTTGGTTGACATATAGCATGACGAGAAGATGCAATGTATGAATCAAACTCACTTTGAATCGTTATTGAAGCTTTCCTCTAAACTGAACTCAAGATTATTGGTCACAGTCTATTTACAGAATAGACAATTTAATCAGCCGTGCTTTTGAGCATCAGGTAAACATTTATCGCCACGATGAATTTGCAGCGTTCTGTAAAGAATATGATGAGGATTTTTCTCTTTCTTTTAGTGAGAAAGAGAGAGAGAGAGAGAGAGAGAGGAGCTGCAAAGTGGGAGTGTGTTGTCCCAGTGCCAGGGCAAAAATAGACAGTAAATTACAGAGCCTTCTGGGAGCGTCCCGCTGTGCAGCATGACCTCAAAATAACACACACAGATACACACTCACAGTCTAACATACTAACATGAAATACACAGTTTGCTGCCCTACTTCTCTAAATTTTCTATTCGAGTGACGATCACTCAGAAACTTTTGCACTGTGCCAACCAGAAGTCCTGCTCTAAAGTTGAGAGCGAGTGAAGGAAACTCTTAGTCTGATTCACAGATGTTAATGTGATCATGGCCTCATCTTGGCTTACCGAGTTTCAAACACCCTAAAAACTATTCAGAACCATATTTGTTGTCCCCTGGCAGTGGCTTGACCTCATGCCTTAAGAAGCAGTTGTTTCCTCGCATCTTGTGCCAAGGTCAGACTACAGGCCAAAAGCGTAATTATAGCCTGATCTGGCAGATGCAGGTTTTCTGGAAGAGTTTTTCGGGTTTTATGCCTTGAAAATCGATTGTTTAATCTCATGTCGTGTGTCATGACGGGCAACCATCGAGGCCACGTCTGGGACGCCTCGAAACCTTAAACAGAAAGTTTCACGTGTCTGATTTTCATTTCTGACTTCTTCAAGTGTGTTCTGTCAGGTCAGTAACGTCGTCCAATGAGATTCAACATTGGTGAAAGTGATGCGGCGGGATAGATCTACGAAGCAGAGGCCAAGCAACAACTTTCCTGTTGAGAAACGTGCATTATGCATTAGAAAAACTAGAATATCAACCACTATAAAACCAACGTCATCGCAATGGTGGTAATGTTTGTTTGAGTACAACCGTGTAGCTGTGGCTCTCCAAACTGGGGTCCCCACGTGGAATTCAAATTGAGTTGTATGATATTTTCATTTATTCATCAGCGGGAAGGAAGCACTGTGCTTTATGATAATAGAAACTCTACATCCAGTCAGTCCATTTACAAGACCAAACAGACAGAGAACGGACATTAAAAGCCTCCTCGAGCCAACTGAACTTTGAAAACCCATCAGGGCGGCATTCATGTGGACCGATGGAGGAGTTCTGGTTTGGTGCAGAAGAGGGATACCGAGAGATCTCACAGTGCTCTTGTGTGCATGAAATCTTTGAACCATTTGCTATAGGATGTTGCGTCAGAGATGAGATGTGCTCTTTGCACCACAATACCTAAGGGACCATACAACTGCATTAAAGACCTGACGAACTCTCACACTGAAACACTTTTCAACTGTTTTCTTCATGAACCTTGCTTTTGTAATCAAGATGTTCTTCATTTATTGATTTGTTTCAGTCTCATAAATAAGACCTGGCACTTCCTTAGAAAATAAGCCCTCCCTTTGTGCACTAATCTCACCCTTCACCTCTGCCTCTGTCTACAGTAATACACTATATAATGTTGCCAATAGCCAAAACATTGAGAACTTGTCTGGTTTGCCTGTCAGTCATGTCACTGTACAAGATTCTGGCACTGTGATCATCTAAACTGACACAGAACCTGACAGAAAGATTGTGTAGAGCTCAGCGTTGGGGTTTACTCCAAAAAGATACCCCAGAACACAAGAGTCTGGCTCTGGCATTCTTTAAAAGTCCAAAAATACGACAAAAAACACTGAAAGGACAAGTCTCTTGAACACCACAGGCTGGAAGACAGAGCGATGATGAATGACTATCACAGATGTTTGTCACACTCACCTTGAGTGAGTCAAAACAGGCAATGACTCGGCCGTTTTCCACTTGACAGCTCTTGGCAGGGTGAGCGAACTTGCACTCGCTGTCCGGCCGCGAACATGTCCCTCTCTGGAATTCCCGACAAACCTCCAGCGTCAGCCACTTTGTGTCCCGGATCGGTGTCACATTCACCGCCATTTCGGACCAGGCAGGAGGGGTCGATAAGGATGAGGAGTAGATATCCAGCGAATGCAATTATGTGTGCGTCTGTGTGTTTCTAATGACACTGGGACAAATGAGGAGGGAGAGTAGAGAAAGGACATGGGCAAAAGTCTGGTTTAAGAGGTTTTTGCTCCCCAGGGTGTGATTGTGAGGTGAAGCCTAGGAGGTCAGGGACTCTCCTACCACCTTAGGCTCATCCCAAGAGTCTGTTTGTGGCTGTGATAGGAATCCTTCACCTCCTGTCACCCTGGGCCGAGGCTGGTGACAGCCAAAGAGCTTTGGCTTTGTAGTTTCTCTTTCTCTCCCCCTTTTTTTTCCCCCTCAAACACACTCACACTGGTTCTCTCTATCGCCTCACGCCTCTGCCGAACTGTCAGACGAGACGAATGGCAAAACGCATTATCGATCAAACTGGCCCATGATGAAAAGACGCAAGTGGAGGGAGGAAAGGGAGGAGAAGGAGAAGGAAAAGAGGGCTGTGGTGGAGCAAAGAGGAAGTGATAAAGGGTTTCTGCCTTCAGCCGGAGGAGGAGGAGGAGGAGGACGGAGGAGTGGTTGGCGTCCACAGAGGGGGGCTGAGTGGCATGGATGGCAGACAGAGAAGGAGATGAAGTGGAGCAGGGAGGTGTCAGTGTTGTGTGGACTGGCTCATTGGGTGGTATTGGCAGTCCTGCGGCTCCTGATGCGGCTGGAGTCTCCGGCAGACATGGAGAGGCAAAGAGGCAGAGGCTGCTTCAGTCGAACCAAACAGATGAAGGGGTCGACGAAAGAAGGCACTTCTCTCTGTGGAGAAGGAGGGAAGAGTGTCAGTGGAGCAGAGACACACACACACACACACACACACACACACACACATATATAAACACACACATACGGCGCATATCTGCATTCACTCAGACACGTTTCCCAGTCATTCTCTCGTACATCCTCTCTCTCAGTCGCCCTCACAGAGACTACCAAGCTCTCAACTGGAAAATCAAATCAAACACCATATCGCTAACAGTAAAGCTCACGCATTCAGGCGCAGACAATTTAATTCAAAGGGAGACAGTGAAGAAGAAAGAGAGATCAAGACACAAAGAAAATAAAGAAAATGAGAATAATTTAGCGTTTCTCTTCTGTGTTTTTATCCTGTTGCAACCGAACAAATGGAGTACAGAGACCGGTGATTGTTTTTTTACCAACAAACACAAAAAAGGAATTAAACTGAATTTGTTCTGCAGATTCTGATTTTGTTTTTTCCTCTACATCTATACTTAAAGCTTCATTTGACATTTATTAAACAGACTGAAAATCAAATTAATGCTTTTCATGATATACAAAAGTAAACAAGATCATCAGCAACAAGATGGGCAGTGATTTACAGATATTTTAAATATCTGAAACTGTGCGAGGGGGCAGGTATCAGCTGTTTTTACATTTCCAAACCAAATTTTCTCCATAAATGACTAAATTTAATCTCAAAAGTCAGCAGGGTGAGAATTTTTGAGAAGACACAACCTTAGCACATAGAAGACAAAGAAAGAAGCAGTAACTGATTTGTCCACAGGGGGTGCCAAAACTGGCACAAACTCAAATTCTCTCACGGAATCTTTAAATTATTTAAAACGTGAAGAAATTTTAATGCAAAATAATAAGGGAAAGAAAACCCCCAAACTTTAAGTGCTTAAAATGAACCAATAATGCAAAGTATAAAACATTATCATTATCATTATCATTATTATTATTATTATTATTATTATTATTATTATTATACTATTATTACTATTTTTATTATTATTATTGTTGTTATTATTATTGTTATTATTATTATTATTATTAAATTTTTCAACCATTAATAATAATAACAATAATTTGTATTTTCAACGCACTTTTACAGGTGCTCAAAGATGCCTTACAAGGAAAAAAAATAAAATAAAATGAAATAAAAAATAAAAAATTAAATTACAGAAAATTTTGTGAAATAAAACCAACAATGTAAAAGGTTAAAAAAGTCACAATATGAGAAAACAATAAAAGAACAGTTCACAGGTTAAAAGCCAATTTAAAAAGGTGTGTTTTTAAGAGTGATTTAAAAGTGTGGGGGTCAGATGGGTTTGGGGAGTGAATTCCAGAAGGTGGGGGCGGCAACGGAGAGGGCTCTGTCCCCCCAAATTCGGTGCTAGGTCCGTAAAATTAGTATTTAAAAAATACAGACAGCCATATTATTTAAAGATACATTTTTAACATACAAGAGCCCATCAAAATACAACAATTTGCATAAGCTGTGTAGTATTTCAAACTTTCCATAGTCATTCGTAATTTTGCGAAATTTTTAAGCTATTAAAAGAGGTCACCAGTAGAGGGCAGTGTATGAGATAACATACTAATATGGATGTCTATGCTTTGTAAATGGCTTTTGAACAGTCGCCCGCTGTAGTCACCACTGTGCATGAAAGGGTTGAGCCATTACGAACTTCAATGCTTAAGTACTTTGATAAATTCCAATAAAAGTGAGGAAAAATAGGCGTCACTACAAAAACCAGTGGCATTGATCTTTTACAAGAAGAAAAACCTCTCTAAAAGAAAAACCCTTACGTTTCCTTTAAAGGTTTGAATTACAAATAACAAAGCAATTTTGTATCAAGGTGTGGATAAGTTAGTGATCGATAAAGCTTTTCTGAGATGGGAAACAACACATCAGCTTGTTGGATGGTTTCAGCGTCACTTCTGGTGAGTTAGACTAAATAACAGGGACAAATTCAGAGATAGCACAAGAGACAAAAAAACCTCCAACAGCTGCATCCCTCATATACTACAGCTGCTTTCCTCAAATCTCTATCCCACAAGAAGTTACATCACACCCCTGTCCCCCACACTAAGCTTTTAATGATTTTATGAATATGCTGGAGTGAAGCAGGATTTCTAAATAAAGACACTATTCAGACAGAAATGTGTGGATATTTTTAGGGGTGACCCCTCTTTTACCTATTGTCAAGTAGCCCTGCTACACTGTGTTCCTGTGCTTTTATATGCAGGTTTAAAAGCACATATCTCCTACTCCAATCCAAACCGACTAATGTACTGTATATTAGACCTGTGTTTATTAGCCTATAACATTAACAGCCTTGATTCTGTTTGGTTCTGCTCTCTATCTGCTGAGCTGATACTGCCTCGCCATAAAGTGAAACTGTAAAAGTGATGATTGAAAGACACGTATGTGGTGGTTTGAAACATTTCTATATGGTAGCAGTTAACCTAAACAACACCCCAAAATTAGCGCACATGTTTAATAGACCTTAACAAACCTAAAAGAAGTGGATTTACCAAATTAGGACAAACAGGGCCGCCATGACAAAGTCTTGAATCTGAAGTGATGCACAAACTTAAACAGAACGAGTTGGATTGAAAGCAAGCAGGCTATAAAAATGATTTACAGCTATGTATCACAAAAAATACTGAACATCCCAGACTGATTATATGTGAAAGAGCATCAAAGGATTCCTCTATGGTTTGCAGAACGGATACAAATGGTAGTTAGACAAAATATGAGCCAAAAAGAGAAGAAAGGAAGAGAGGAAGGAAGAAAAGAAGAGAGTGAAAATACTCCCTTGGTCAAACATTGATTGCTTATGTGTCATGCTCTCTTCTACTATTTGGGTCGGTCACATCCGTGGTGAACTACTTTTTCAGACCAAAGCTGTATTTTGGGATTGTGTGAGTGTGTGTGTGTGAGAGAGAGAGAGAGAGAGAGTGTAGAGAGAAGAGCAAAGGCCAGGACAGCCCACTGTATCTGGCAGGAGGTCTGTGGTAAGGGCAGAGAATACAGAGAGGGTTACCATTTCCAGTGCATTAAATATGGAGTGGTAAAACTGCCTCGCCTATCCCTGCTTGGTTTTCGGCTTGTCCTGGTACTTTCTCTCTTTTGCTAAATCCCAAAATGGTAGGATGGTAGATGCCACAGTCTGACTACAGTATGACTGAGATGACTTTTCATTTAGAAAGATTAAAAAATATCTCAAGAAATTCAGGTAATTTTGACGAATTCTTCACTTCTGTTTATGAGTAATAATGAAGTCTTTCCTGCAGAGGGCATGCTTTTGAGCCATGCATGTCAGTTAGAATCGAATCTGCCAGATGCGTTCCCACGGCAACAGTAATTTCAATAGTCAGCCTTGGTCATGGTGCGACCTCCTGAAGTATTGTATCAGAGTAGCTTCATAAAAAATGGAACAGTTTTTGGACCACTGTAGTTTTAAAACAAATTTGATGTTAGTTTTGGCCTTCATCGAAAAAAGGGTTTCAACATTGGTTTGGCTTCGCAGATGAAAATGAGCATGATGGGACACGTAACTGAATGGCTGACCTCCTGTGTAAACAAAGAACATTGCATCAGTGTTTCTCAGTCCCCAGAGGCCATGAAACTGGGAGAACACTCGCTGATATGACAGAAAAGTTTAGATTTGACAAATTTAATCCAATTTCTGGGAACGTCTTGTTGTATTTCTCTCCTGTGAATGGAGGAAAACCCCAGGAGGTTTTTTCCTCCATTCACAAGTCTGGTTACCGCTCCTGACTTGTTCTAATCAGTATATCCAGACTACGGGATTTCAGCCATATGTGAAGTTCAAGATCATCAGCTTCAGTCAAAGCCACTCTGAAATGATTCAGGTTTATTGGCTCCAAACTGGTCCATGAAAACACATGTAATGCACATTTCAAATGGCAGAAGTCTACTTAAAGCTTCTGTGAGGAACTTTTTATTTGTGTTGATTTTGGCACCCCCGGTGGACCCCCAGAGCCATCTTAGAGTACGATACAGAAGTAATTATTCTTTTTTCTATTGGTCTTGATAGCTTTAGCAGGCTACAAAGTTCATTTAAGTCTGTTTTATAACTGTGAAACACTCCTAACAGGAGACTTCAACAGGTAGAAAATGAAAAGAAAAGTGACTATTGCATTCAAATAACCCCTAAACCTGACATCAGGTTCAGTCATTGTGTCACAGACACTTTATAGAGCCGCTAAAATACTGCAGCCTTGTGTAGTTTTGCTCCTGCTGCCTATATTGAATTTCCCTTCGGGGATCAATAAAGTTCTTCTTCTTCTTCTCAAGTTTTTCTTCTATATTGTAGGAATATAGAAAACACAACTTTCGCTATGTTTCATGATAAAGCATAAGTGCTTCACTGTGGTTAAAAAACTACAATTGTGCTAAAAGCTGATATTTTTTCCTGGTATAGCTCATCATAGATGTCTCTTGCTATTTCGAAGACTAGGGGTCTAAGCTGAGAGGAAATGTGAGTTCAGAGGGAAAAACCCTCTGATAAGCAGCAGCTCTGAACTCTGGTATGCTCTAACATAAAACAGAATATGCCCCATTTACAATAAATGCATGAATAAAGAGGAAGCAAATAGTCAGAGTATGTACACGTATTGGATTAGACAAACATACGCAAGAGTCCTGAGGCAATGTCACGCTCGTTTTCTCAAAGGAGTTATGCTTTCTTTGACTTGCATGTTTCTTTAGTGTAAACAACTATGACAAAAGCAGCATTAACATCAAATGAAGCTGAATCAGGCGAGGATCTACATTAATGCATCCTGCGCTTGAACCGAATTCTCACGATACATCCAAGAAAAAGGAGGGAGTGTGAGGCTCATTAGACAAGTCTCGCATCAAAATAGAGAATGAAGAAGTAGGGGGTTAAAATTATGAGAAATGACTCTGGCGTTGGGGAAATATATAAATAAAGGAGTCATCAATAAGCATCTTAGCATGTGTGAATAATGCATGTGGCCATTTCCCGTAGCCAGAGGCAAGAGATATTATTACACCATCAGATCAACTAGGCGAGGTAATAAATTGAAGGGGAGAGGGAGGTATAAGGCCGGGGATATTACGCACTCCCCAAAACCCATAATACCCCGGCTTCCTCAAAACACACACACACACACTCAAACGCACGTGAAAGAAATCTCGGCTTAACATTTTATCTCGCTCTGGACTAACTTCAGCTGCTGACATGTGTTGCTCTTGAGAGCAGAGTGTAATGGCGAGAGTGTCACCTGGGTTCATGTATCTCCTCATTTAAAGAGAGCTGTCTGAGCCTGTGCTAATCCCTCTGTTAAAACGGAGCAGCTCCATTCTCCTCTGGCCAAACTCTGGTATTTCGTGGCTATAAAAGCACTCAAAGAATGACACACCTATTTAGCCTCCGCTAGTGCAGAACAACCCACTGTTTGGATCTGATTAGAAGAAAGGGACAATGTATAGGAAGAAGAAAAGTTTATGTTGACATTACTGTCTTTTCTCAAAGAGCTTTGTAGTTGACACGACTTTAAACATATGATGTAGATGTCAAAACTTCTCTTGCTGTTGCTAAAATCACTGCTGCTTCTAGTTTAAATTGTCAAAAACAGCATCTCAGAGATGGTTGCGGTCTGGCAGCTTCACAGGTTCCTCTAATGTTCATGTCTAGTAACTTTCATTTTTTAACAGCTTTCAGGACCAGATACACATGTTTATGTGTTTTTATACTTGGCCACATATATGGGATTGTCAACAGAGGAGTTTTTTGACATTCAAAGTCTTATTGATGCTTTTTATGGTACACAAAAGCAAACAAGACCATCAGTGGCAAGACTGGCTGTTTTACTGCACGAGAGGGTGGGTGTTTACCATAAGGTGACCATTCTGAATCCCCAAAAAGAGGACACGACTACGCAGGGGTGGAGTCTCGGAGTCACGCATTGTAAATTTTAAGAGTTTTTTGGGCTGGGTCCAGTATTTTTACGCACTTCTAACTAAGTAAGTACACACAACACAAACTGAAAGCTTCCGTACAAAACCCCGGACATATGAAGGATTTTATAAACTCCCTCAGACAAGGCCAGACAACCCCCCAAAAAGAGGACATGTAGGGGTAGAAGAGGACGTATGGTCACCCTAATCAACCAAGCAGTGAAAGAAACTACCTTATTACATTTCTGATATATAATATTTGCAATTAATGATGCATTTGAGATAGATAAGATAGGACTTTAGCCTGTACAGTGCAATTAAAACAAAAACTGCTTTGTCCACAGGGGGCGCCAGAACTTACACAATCCAAAAGTTCCTCACAGGAGCTTTTAATTAGACTCAAATCAGAAACAGAAGATTTACCTCTATAAATAAAAGTTTCTAAACACTGTGAGGCTTAAAAGATTTTAAGAAGTAATAAAGGTGAATTTCTGTATTTTCAATCTGGGCCAAACTTTTTTCATGATTAGGTGTGCAAATGACCAGCGCATTAAACTTAACTGACTCTAGCACTACTGGATTGTACTTCCAGGTTTGATATGGTAGAGATGCCTTACAAATCAAATTTCCAGACATTGTCAACCTGCTCATGTCAACATAACACTAACTCATTTCTGCCTATAAGTTTCAAGAGGAGTCAAGATGACAATGTAGGAGTCCAGCAGATACAAGTGTAGACCGAGTATGAGAATCACACCGCTGAAGCTGGACAGAGTTTTGCTGCCTCACACTCTTTACTGCTCAGCTCAGCTTCTACAAAAAAGTGTTTCTACTACAGAAACATGTCATATCAACATGAAAACAGTCAGCATTACATAAGACTCCTCTTTCTCCTTCTCCTCCCACTCACCTTACCCAGACCTGGTTTATTAAGTTATGAGAGAATGACCGACAATGACAACAGTATATGTCCTGAAATTTACTTGAAAAGGTTCACATTTGATCTCTTATCAGACACTCAGAAAATCAATCTGGCTATGTAAATTGGTTCTGGCTTACACTACAGCCATTACATCTGTGTTCAATCTATCCCATAATGATTTGAGCATAAGTCATTTGTCTATTAAATCATGTTAAAGTAGAGCAAAGGTAGTTTACAGGACTCTGCACTGAGACAGTGATAAGCTTGACCAACCATCTGTATCTATTATTGAGCTTTTCTCAATATTGTCATGTCACAGTCTCTGTAATTAAATTAACACTGAGCCGTGCATCCTGATGTTTGGTGCTAAGTGGAAACCACATGGAGTTTTTGTGTTATGACACGGCCTCTCACGCAGTTAACACCAGCCACACATACATCTGAGAGAAATACAGAGCCAAAAAAAAAAAGAAAGAAAGAGAGGAATGAGGAAAGATTGAGTGAACAGCGGCCAGAGATTGGAGCCATTTTTTCACCTTGAACGACTCCGGCTGAAGAAAAATAAATGAGGGAAGTGAAGGGAGGAAAGCCAAAAAGCAGGTTTCTCTATGTTTGATTTCCTGTCGCTGACCTTTGGAGCACAATAGGCCGGGAAACCAAAATGGTCAAAACTTACTGGAGAGCAGGAGAAAACAATTTGCTTTAAAATAAGCTTCCCAAGAGAGCTGCAGTGCAAACACTAATCTGTTCGAGGGCGCTTATGAGGGAGGGGGCTGCTGTTTTTATAAGTGGGTAAATCCAGACATTTCGTAATCTTTACAGAGCTCAGAGTCAGATTTTTTTATGCTTTTAGTTCTGAATGATTGGAAATTAGTTTGATTATTGTGTAACTTTGGCACCTTGTAGGAAAAAGGGAAGGAAATATGGAGGGAGGGGAAATTCAGTAATGTGAGAGGTTAAAGGGTGCTGAGTGCAGCAGCAAAAAGCAGATGCTGGACGCCTCGTATTACACTGCATCACCAGCTGACTGGGATATCATCTGTATACGACCTGAGCTGCCCTTTATACTGATAGGAGCATCACGAGGAAGGCAAGGGGGGAGACGGTGAGGGACGAATAAAGCAAAGGAGACCAGAAGTGTTGACAGAGGAAGGGTGGAGGCAAGTGGAGAAGTGATGGGAGGCAGAGTGGAGTAATTAGCCCAAGTTGATGAAAGACAGAGGTTGGTGTCTTGAGGGGAAATAAGGTGAGCACTAGCAGCTAAAAAAAGGGGGAATTAGAGGGGGAAAAGAGGGTTGTTGTTCCATATCAAAGCTCCTCTGTGATTCCAACCTGACATTTCTCATCCCTCTTCATTTATCTTCCTCTGATCACCACCTGTTCACCATTTCTATTCCTCTCTATGCGGATGCTTCAGTGTTTTCAAAATCCCAAATCTTTACTTTTCTCAGAAATCTGCTCGCTGTCTGCTGGGATGTGCCTTCAGTGTCATGTGACACACACACACACACAACTTTGTCAACATGGCTTTTTATAGTAGCTGTCCTCTTTTTTTTTTTTATTCGCCCACTGTCTCAGCTTCCTCTATCTCTCAAGCTTTTCCAACAACACCTCATGCTGCGGCGCCATGGTAACATGCTTCAAGGTCATCTTCGCTACAGAAACAGAGCAACCATGTTTTAAGCAAGGACAAAGTGGCGAATGGTGTCAAAGCAATATGGCATTAAACTATGGAAAAGACCCCATTTTCATATTCAGACTATCAAATATTGAGGGCAGGACGTTTAGTGGGATTGCTCCAGTTTTGAAAAGACAAAACCTTCAGGAGTTATTTTTGGTTGAGCACGCCTACCCTTCCTGAGCTCGGCCTCCTAACGAATATCAACAATTTCTGCAGACTTTGTGACAAGTGGCAAACTACTTTTACGTTAAACAAATTTAAAACTTTTTGTTAAAGACAACTGTTGCATGAAAATCTGAAAATCTTTAGACTCAGATCCGACTTAAGTCCTGATTTTCAAGATTCCTGACTCCACTTAGACCAATGACGCAGACTTGATCTCAGATTCAGTTTTCTAAAAAGTGGAAGAAAGAACTTGAAGTAATGTACTTCTTACTGTTTTTGTCCAGACTTTTGAAAACTCTATGACCTCTATTAATTACTACTTCTTACGTTTTGAGCAGGGTCTGACACATGTTCATCTGCATACACTTTCCAGTTCTGCACTTTCCTTAAAGAGGTGCCAAATTCAGCGCTGTAAAATGTTGAATATGCTAAAAGAACCACTTGAGAAACTCTGTGGACAATAATAATGCAACGATTCAGTTATCTTTGACTTCAATTACGGCTAACAAATAAACAGGATCCAATGATAATTGCAATACCATGACTCACAGCAGAGGGCCTTTTACACACTTTGCACTAGCAGGCTGTTGGGAGCTAGCTGAAGCAAACCTCTTGAGAGCTGATTCGACTCTTTAAAAACTGATGTTCAAGTTAGAGCTTGTCCATCTTTGGGTTACTAGTCAACTTAATTTGTGTATTTTTGATAAGTTTTGTTTGATAATGCAGGATATCGCAACTGACAAGCAAGATGGAAAATTTTTCAAAATAAAAGCATGACTAACAATCGTTTACTATTTGGTCACAGGGATGATGGTGAACAATTAAGTTGAATATTATTAGAAATAGATGAGATAGCTGTGTTCATTAGTAAAGTTTATAAAGTAATGTGTTGCTCCATTATTGTCCGACCTTTTCTCAAGCAGTTTTATGGATTTTGTATCTTCCAGTTGAAGTCTGTGCTTTAGGATGATATCAGCAAAGAGAAGATCTTTAAACAGAGCTATACATTTATGTGTTTCTGGTTACCAGATATTCTCCTTGACCATTTTTTTTCCAAGAAACAACAAATCAGTTGTGACACATCAGCCCAGAGCAAGTTTGATATAACAGCTGTATTTTGGTAAAACTTAGACTACATAAGAATAAACCTTTGAACCAGAAACATAAGGAATGTGATAATTCTGGTGCCCTCTGCCAGTTGAGTCAGTTTTTTGGTGATCCTATCCTTTATTTATTAATATTTCCTGAAAAAACTTTCACCCTTATTTGTTTAAATTGACTAATATAAAATACATATTTTTCCTATTTACAGTCTTGTTCACTTTTGCACGTTATAAAAAAGCATCAGTATTAATTTCACGCTTTTAAAAAAGCAGCTGGAAACTCATCGGAGCAGCAGATTTAAGCAGAACCAGAAGAACCAACATCACATGACCTTGGTTATGACACACATACTGTTCAGGGCAGTCTCTACAAGTAGCTACACCAGCTCTCTGACCTGTTGCACTGCAAGCAGCATTTCCTATTTTTGTCAAGGCTCTGCTAGGAAATTGAGCAAACATAACCCCTTCTTAAACTGTATAAATGTCATGGACTAAATCTGAAATCTCCTTGAAAATTAGACATGAAGGGTGAAAAATCATTTGAATAATACGAAATAGGATCAGGCCAGCATGCTGAAAATTATAAAGTCCTACACAAATGACAGTGTCACATCAATTTCAGTCTATTAGCTTTAGTGTTTTTAGACTGAGGGTGAAAGTCAAAGCAGGATTAATATAGAGAAGACCAAAATAAACTGAAAAAGCCAGAGCCAAGCTCAGAAATGTCACACCAGGCCAGAAATGATCTGGCAGAAATCTGGAGACAGTTGCAGCGGATGACAGTATGTTTTGGCTGTACGAAAACACAGTGTCAGCTTTCTGCGCTGATTGCTTCCCTGGTGCACTTTTTTTTAGTTTGTTTTTGAGAAACAGTGAACAACAGGAAACTGCCGAGTGCTGACCATCAGCTGGCTGATCACTTGACAGGTCAGAAGGTAAGCAGAGGCCCCGAGGGGTTGAGTAGAAGATCAAATTTCATTTTCTCTTTTTGTTGTTTTTATTGTTCTGTGGACAACTACTGTGTGCTTGATAAAACAGTGTGTTAAAGGAGTGTACATTTACTGAGGGCAGTTTCAGCGCCCTTTAAGTGGTCCGGATCTGACATTATCAAGTTTTTTTTTCTACTTTCTGGATCAGTTCACCCTTGTTGGGAAGTGAAAGCTAAAGAGATGGCAAAGAAGTTAGGGTGCAGCAAGAGGGGATTACTAGCAGCAAAGGGTCGGATTTCACCGATTTGATCAGGAAATCGCTTTATGATGAGCCTCTATACTATACTATACTACTTCTACTATACTCCATGACTGGTTTCTGGCTGTGTACGCTGGTGACTTTGAGGTAGCGCAAACAGTAGGTAGTGGCTTTTGGGGTAGTAAATGTTTGCATGCCGCACTTTTCATTAATGTAAGTGCAACTTTAACTTACTAGCAAAATGTCGAAGATCTTTCAGGCAGGTAGAGTCGACTCTTGTATTAGCACCTCTACCAAAGACCAATGGCATAAGCCCACATAGTCCTATAGAGGCCTGATGTTCAGCTTCACTTTTGTGAGGCTGTCATGTAATCCACCTTTAATACTTTCAGTGTTCAATTTTAGTTCATGATCACGCGACACCTTTTACAAAACATTAGAAGTTGATTGACAATGGACCGTGAAATAATTACAAGAGGCTGAAAGGTTTGGACTCTTTAAAGGCTGATGTCAAGGTATTAGCTAGAGGCACAACAACGCAAAACTGGAGGCAAACACGCCTTTTAGTGCAAGACGTTAGCTTCTTTAGACAAACAAAAAAACGCTGTTTACTTATCCCCTTCCTTTCTATGGTTGCCATAGTAATTAGCCTAGGGTGACCATATGTCCTCTTTTACCCGGACATGTCCTCTTTTCTGGGGACTGTCCGAGTTGTCCGGCTTTGTCCAGGGAGGTCTATAAAAACCTTCAAATGTCCGCGGTTGAGTACGTAAGTTTTGATTTTGTGTCACGTGGACTTACTGAGTTAGAAGCGTGTAAAAGACCTTCTATCCGACCCAAAAGACTCTCGAAATTAACTTTGTGCAGCTCCGTGACTCCGCCCCCATGTAGTCTTGTCCTCTTTTTGGGAAGTCAGAATATGGTATGCCCACCGCTTATTTTAACTATTCCCATCAGCTCAACTTATCCAAGTAATATCAGACACAGAAAAAACAGTATTATTTCCAAAACAAGCCAAACACACCGGCTAATTACTTCTAGCATAAAAATGTCTAAAGGATTATTTGGCCTCCAGCTAATCCCCGCCCAAAATAACACACCGAAAGGCTCTACTGTGGGAGAATATCTCATTTTTTTAACGTCTTTTACTAATTCTTGTATTCACACTTACCTTTGGGAGTATATGAGACGCATGGAGGCATGGTTCTAATGTTACCTCGGGGACTTTAGCTGGCTGTCAACACTGTAGGCTAATATCTGTTTTCCCTCTAAAAGTGAGTAAAATTTAAGATCGAAATAAAATCCTCATTACTGGTGGAGACATGGCTCATTAAGAAAACATTAGTTCATGTGACAGTGATGAATGAACGCCGGAGAAGTTTCCACTTTTACTGTAACCAAATGTACAGTGTTTGCTCTGCTCAAAGCTACTGTATTTAGCAGCAACAATAATATTTTCCCCCCTGCTTGTATAGCTTAGGAGACGGCAAGTGATGGTCATCTTACTGACGTTAGTGAGCTGAAATACCTTGCTGAGGGGGGTACCAGTAATCATAATGCTTACTCATGACCCCTGGGCAACACAGTCCCACCCTTGCAAGCTTGAGATTTGATCCGACGGTCTTCAGCTGAGTGCCGGTCATTCTGAAACCATAAACTCCATTATGATGATGTTTCCACAGATTGAACCATCAGGGTAATCTTAGACTTTAACACACACAAACACAAACACACACACACATTAATATTGACCACAAACCATGAGACAGCAGATCTGCACCATCTACGCAGGATACACGAGTACGGAGATGAATGGAAGGTCAGCGAGTGCATTTATATTCAGCACGGAGCAACATGAGTAATATGTATGCATGTGCACAACATCAACTACCTCTCTTATGCACACTTTCTCTCTGAAACACACACACACACACACACACACACGCACACACACAATCTATGGCTCCCTCCTTCAGCTGTAAGACAAACAGAGGAAGGAGAGACGACGTGGGGCAGTCAAGTGGCACGTGTGCAAGCTGTCGTCTGCACTGTGGTATCAGCGCTGGTGTTTAAACAGCCTGACATGCACACAGACACAGCAGCTCATAGAAGACACCCACATGAACAGGAATACACTGAAATGCATGTTATCTGTTCATATACAATTGGCTTTTCTTCTTATCTCCACTGCAGTGTTGCTACCTGGCTGTGGCAGTACCAGCTTGGTGTAATGCAGTGGAAGCAAGGGTGTCATCGGGTTCATGGACATAAACCAGCCCACCGCCAGACCAGTCTGCTCCTCTCAGGAATAGCAATGGAGGAGGAAGTGAGTATATATATGTGTGTGTATGTGTGTGAGAGCGTGGGTGGGAGGGCAGATCGAGAAAGATTAGAAAACGGCGAAAATGAGAGAAGTCACACAGACACGGAAAAGAACAGACAGTGAGTGATAGAAAGGAGATATCCAAGAGATATATGTAATAGTTGAAAAGGAAGCAGGAGGCAGACAGATGCCGGTGAAAAAAAAAAAAAAAGTAGTCTGCCCACTTTGAAAAAGCTCCCTTGTGTAAATTTACCACCTCCGCATGTGGCATTTCAAGCACAGTTTTTTTTCAGACATGAAAAAAAGTCTGACACATACTCAAACAGTGTTTTCTTTTATTTTCCTCCATGTCTCTTTTCCTTGGACATAAAGGGAGACATGCTGGCAGACAGGTGAATAAGAGAATGATAAAAAAAAAAAAACACAAAATGTATGCAGATAGAGGAGAAATCGACAGTTGGGAGGTACAGGTGGCGTGGCTCAGGAAGGACAAGAGCGAAGAGAGAGAGAAAGAGAGCGAGAGAGAAAGGATTCAGACAGACAATAAGTACAACCAGATAAGAATAATTTATGACAGTGGAAAATCCTTGACAGGAGACGGTTCAGTAACAGCGAGATGATCACTGATTAGAGGCTGAAAAAGCTTAATTGGAGAATTGTTGTAAAGATTATGAAGCTCAATAGATGAGGATGATTAATGCTAATGATTTCGCCTTCTGCGGATTCCTAACATTCCCCAGTCTGGTATTTGTGATCGAATCAGGAAATACCAAAGGAGTGGATGCTCTTCCTTAAAATAAACTATCATGGAGAGAGGAATCTCTGACTGCATCATTTTGGCCAAAAAGGGGAAAAACTGAACTCTTTGTCTGCCTTTTATGGCTGATTTAATGATCTTTATTCATGGATTTAACTTTGAATATATGAAAGAAAACCCCAACAAGTTGTACACTCTTAAAGCTCCAGTGAGGAGTTTTTTGATGGTGATGGAATAGACTAATATCGATACTTACACATCCATAAGGACTAAAAAAGTAAGCAAGACCATCACAGAGAAGACTGATTGTTTCTAAGAAGGTATATGGGATGGCTGTCACCGTACAGTGGGGTTAGCATCAATAAATCGTGGTGTGTAAAATTAATAAATAGCAAATTTGACATTTAAAATAAAATAGACATCGCATGTATCAGAACCACCACAGTCTAAAAATCTATTCTAGCCTTCTGGAAAAACTCAAATGTATCAACATGATGTATTTTTGTTTAGCAAGTTTCTACAACAAGTTTGTTTTCAGCACTAAACTGAATCCATAACCCATCCATCAGCTAACCTGCTTCAGGGGCGACAGGCAAACCGACATTTTAGAGATAATCAATCTTTTTATTCATGGTCTTGTTTGTTTTCGTGGCAAATTCAGAGGCATACACTTGTGATTTCAGTCTGAGGGATTTAAAGTCTGTTAAAAGCTCCTCACATGAGCTTTAAGTTCACAGATAGCTAGCAGGCATCGCTTGTCACTCAAAGAGGCCACACCCCTTATTACTGAAAATATTTATTATTCTATAGTTATAAAAAAACCCAAACAGCCTTTTTTAGTTTTTGTACTAAGCAGCCAATGCATTTGTTTTAACAGTGAAGTTGGACATTGTAACATGGGGCTCTATGGGGATTGACTCACTCTGGGAAACAGCCTCATGTGGACACTTGAGGAACTGCAGTTTTTGGGACTCATTTTTAAAGCCCTGGATTTCCCTGAGACTTTTTTTCCATCAGAGAATGCTACTTAAATGAAATAGACTAGACCAGCAGAGATAAATCTTCCTGTTTAGTTGTTAGGTGTCAAATTTGACGCAAACACACGAAGGATGTCAGAAAATAAAAAAGCTTATTCAACCTTATCAACTCAGAGGAAAATGAAAGTGGAAACCATCAACATGAAACCAGAGTTATGCCACAAACACAAAAAAAACAAGTTTAATCCAAAAGGTGCGGAGGGTCTCCCTGAAATAAACTGTCTCCATCAACACAAATGAAGAGGAAACTCTAACTTGTCATCAGAGCAGCTTTCGGCCAAACGGGATAATCTGTACTCTTCAGCTGTCTATGACCAGTGATTCAGCCTGACACCTTAATCTGTGGAAATCACAGAGGGCTCCTCGGTGGAGCCAACTGTATTTACTATAGATTACATCTCCCACTAGTGTGCATTAGTTCAGTGACAGATTTGCAGACTGCAGGGAAAACAGCAATCATACACCATTGACTGACTCACTGTGATTTCGCCACTCGCCAAATGGCCTCGAAGGACTCCCCTGACCATTCGCTCGGAGTGACTCTCTGTCCGCCAGTTTGATGTCAGATTTCTGCTCCTCCGCTCACGTTTTTACTCCTTTCACCTTGATCAGAGCGCTGCCCTGTTGTCTCTCTCTCTTTCATAATTGAATAATGTAAATCAGGGTGTCAGGGCGCTCCATGTCATTATGCACATACACGCTAATTCTGCTTTCATGCTCACACACTCACAAACACACGGCTCATCTGCATTCCACAGACTGCCCTGTGTCTGCTGAAGACAGCAGGGAGATGACATCACTTCTAGAGGACAGATTAGCAGAGGGACGAGAACAGGAGGTGGGGAGGCACGAAAAAAGAGGACAAATTTCCAGAAAAACCTCACCCCTCATTGTTTTTTATCAATATAGTCAAACGCAGGAAACCATTCCCTCTCTCCCTCTGAAGTCGTATTTTTTCACATGGAGTTGTTTAGTCAGAGTGGTGTGTGCTGTGAAAATTCAGTATGCGCTCTGCCTGTTCTTTACTCTAATGACCTTGTAGATCTGCCTGCTCTGATCTGCAGAGAAGCTTTTTCAACTCACAGAGTCAGGCAACGAAAGACAAACACAAAGTGAGAGCCGTGGAAAAAAAGCAGATACACACCGAGCGAGACACGCAGAAGCAGAGAGAAAAAGAGAGAGAGACGAACATGAGGGGTGAGGAAGTGAAACTGAGAAAGTGAGGCAGAGCTATAGGAAGATTATTGGGTGAGATTAGGGCGTACACTCAAAGTAAGAGAAAAAATACACAGACGTCTTTTGTATAACTGCACCACTCTGGCAAATAATCATCTAAAAGTTCAAGCTGAATCGAGGTAGTATCAAAAGAGTAAATAAGATATTAAAAGCAGCTTTTTCATAATCTTTAGAGTAATCACTGCAAAGCTTTTATTGTCAAGTGCGTATCTGCAGAGAAAGACCCCTTTATGAACCGATTAACTTCGAGTGTTTGCCCTTGGCTTTTGCGAGAAATCAGCGAAAGACGCTGCCAAATGATGAATGGGAAAAAGAGGCAGGCACTTCTGACAGTTTGGTTTTCACTCCAACATGTCTTAAGAGAAAGTGACACCGCGCGCTGTTACTTCAAGCACGCAGGGGTGGAAAATTGGCATCATGTCCTTTGACTGCAGTTGTTCGTGGAGCAGGTGACCAAGGTGGATAAAAAAGTGGTAAATGTTATTCAAGTTGGAGAGATGAGTGGAAAAGTGTGACTGAATATCACAAGTGTGTCGAACTGACTGAAACGCAGAGATTTTGCAAAACAGCTGTCAGCCATAAACACCTCAAACATGCATCTGTACTTGTTGAAAACTGTATCTTGCAATCTACGAACATGTCTATTCAGAGTGATATAACTTTAATTTAGTGTTCAAGCTGTTTTAAAACTCGCTGTCTCGTAAAATGACTTTGTAAGCGCTGTCTGCATATGTAAACAGCCTCTGCCGTCTATGCTCTCTTGACGGGTGCTCTAACTTTCAAATAATTCAGTCAATAAATCCATATTATGTCTTTTTTTTCCCTTTCTACCATATGCAAATTTCAGTTAGGACTTTTGTTGATTTCATGCATGCACATGTTTGCATGGTAATGTGTCTGTGCATCGCACTGGTGCAGACAGCCTGAGCAACGCGGGGGTTTAATCATTTCCTGAGGGCAGCTGTAGTGTAAACACCAGTAGCCCAGTCATTATACAGAAGGAGTGTGAGGCTGCTTGTGTGTGTGTGCGTGTTGGTGTGTGTTTGAGTGTATGAGTGTGTGTGTGTGCTTCTGAGTGAGTCGCCTTGTGTGTTTTCATTCATTCATTTATAAACGTGAGTGCATATTTAGCTTTGGTGTTAGTCGTCAGAGTCACACAACAGAGATTTCAGTGTAGTCCGAGGGAGACAGAGTGTAGTCTGCCAGTGGAGGGAATGTGTGTCAGTGTGTGTGTGTGTGAGCGTGAGTGGGTGTGTGTGCTAACTACTCTGCGGAACATTAAACACTAACGCACCCCATTCTTTTGTCAGCTCAGCTCTTTTCCACATTAAAAAGCGTCCCGCCTCGTACTGCCGCACATTAGCAGTGAGGAACAGTGATCATCTGCATATGTGCGCACACGAACTCACTAACAGGCGTTTAACTCACTCAAACACACGTCAACACATCATGTCAAAAAAAAAAAAAAAGAGGAAAATCGTGGAGTGAAATTAAAGATTGACACTGACAGAACTTAGTATAAACAAACTGAAATCAACACACACACATAGAGAGAGAGACACACACACTCACACACACACACACACACACAGAGTAAACAGCAAAGACTTACTGTATCTCTGCAAGGACTCATCTGACTGCTGCTGAGCGGAGAATGGTAAGTGAAAACCTCATGCTTGCTTCGCGGCACTCCTCTCTTTCACTCCCTCTGTCACTGCCCCCTCTCTCCCTCCCTCCCTCCCTTCTTTTTCCTTCGCCCTCTCCCTCCCCTGCCTCTTTTCCTTCCTCCTCCTCCTCCTCCTCCTCTTCCTCCTTCTTCTCTCCCTGTCCTCCACTCCGTCACTCCTTCTCTCTCGCCTCCTTCCCACTTGGCAGAGCCACTACTGTATTCAGATACACCCGTCTCCATATAAGGCAGCACAGCTAAACATGTCACACATAATTTATCCACAGCAGGCTGCGAGTTCACCTTTCACAGCTCGCGCTTGGATCTTATGCAAAGGAGTGAAGGGAGGGTGAGAGAGGAGGGGAGGAGGGAAGTGGTGGGGGGGACTCAACTCAGACAAACTTCCACTGTCAACAGCCACGTTCCCACAATTTCACACTGCGTGAGTCGTGTGTGTGTGTGTGCGTCTGCATGCGAGTGTGTATGTTAACAAATGCTGACAATCAGACCATGAAAATGCAAGCAGAGAGCAAAACGCGCTTCACCTGCACTGTTCCAACACCTCCCTCTCTCTCCTCCTCCTCTCTTTTCCTCCTTCACCATCTGTATCTGCAGGCAGTAAATCTCATACAGATGCTGTTTGTGAGACCTGTCCACCTGCACCCCCCTGTTTCTCGCCTCCTCCTCCTCCTCCTCCTCTTTCTCCTTCCTCTGCTCTCCTTATCTGTGCTGCTACCTTTATAAAACATGACTGACAGGAAAAGAAAGAAAGGGAGAAGACACACTGCAAGACAAAAAAAAGTAATAAAAAGAAGGTTAAAAAGGTGAAGAAAGAGGAGTTAAAGCGTTTTGTTGTCGTGATTGAAAGAGAGAGATGGAAATAGTATGTCAACAAGAGCTCGGGGTTGCTGCTGCGAGAGCGAGCGCGATTCCCTCTGATGATGTGTCAGGTTTTGCACAATCGATGCTTTAAAAATACATGCCTGCTGACCTCTCCCCTTCCTCCCCTACTCCCTCTCTTTGAGCTTCTTTTTTTTTCTCCCCCATCTGACAGCTTTTATACTGCACAGGAGTAAAAAAAGAGAAATGCAGCATGTGGATAGCAGTTGTTGGAAGAGAGAAAGGAAAAGCAAAGGAAGGAAGGAAGGAAGGAAGGAAGGATGGAGGGATTGGGAATAATAATAGCAGCACTTGCGTAGCACTGCTAGCTGCTAGCTTTCTCCTCCTCTCTCCTCCTACTCCACAGCTTCAGTCCACTCACAGGACAGCAAGAGTCACAGCTCTGTTGCCATGGTGTCTAACTCCATCAAACACCACGTCAGGTGTGTGTGTGTGTGTGTCTGTGTGAGCGTTTGTGTGTGTGTGTTTGCAGAGGCGTGTATGTGTCGGGTGGGTGTTACCAAGTGACTCAGAGCCACATCACTGACTTGTGGCTGCAATATATCAGGGTGTTTGGAATTTATCACTGTATTGGCTTGTGTGTAGATTTGTGTTTGTGTGTGTGTGTGTAAGTTTGTAAGGGGAATGTGTTGATTGAACAGCAGCCCGCCCTGAGGAGCATCTATGATGTATCTGTGCTGCTGTAAGTGTTCATGTTTAGCTTCAGCTTCTGCAAATATTTATCCGCTCATTCATAAAGTCAAAGCAACGCAAAACAGACAACAGTGATATAGATTTCCATTTTATATTTGGCAAGTCACCGACTCGTGTCCAAAAAAGGCCCTGCAGCTGTCTCTCAGGATTAGGCTGTGTTGGAAAAAGGATAGAGCGACTCGAAATATGCACATGTTGTGCGGTGACTATGAAGACACAAAATGACATAATTTGATATTTTTGGACAGAATTCGTGAGTTTTGATCCTCTGCTTCATGGAGAATTGTTGAGTGAAATTAAGTGAAGCTGCTGTGTGAAGAGTTGGTAAGATCAATCGTCTATGTGATGTAAAATTGGTTTAATATTTGGTTAAAAAGTAAAGTAACTAATGGGTTTGTATAGAAATCTATTTCCTAGGACACATTGTCTATCCATCCAGTGTCAGAGTCGCAGATGCCTCAAACAAGTTGTGCAAGACTAATATCACTGCTGTGCTATGATACTAGCATAACCAAGCAGCCCCCCAATATCAACCACTTTTTAACCACAATGTAGAGAAATCTGAGGTCATCACAACATCTACAGCCAGCTTTACTACAAGACCGTACTGTGTCATATGGTGTGACAGTACATACATGGTTTGTACACTGACTCTGTGTTGTGTGATACCAAGTAGCCAGCTTGAAACAGAGAGTATGACGGAAATGATTCTCAAATTGAGAACCAAGTAAGACCAAAACTTCCTCAACTACCTGTCTGAATGGTGAACCTCAGCATGCTGCATGAAAGAGACTTCTGTTTATTCCATATTGTCTCGGTTTTATCATTTTGTTTGAACACAGTGGAATCAAACCAGACTGAAGCTTTCAAATTTTAATGATCTTTTCTGAATTAGATTGTTGCGATCAGGGATTACACCCCTACTGATCAGCTGTTCTATTAAAAGGCTATTTAGCATGACAGATGGTCGAATATAAGGTGATGCAGACCTTTAGATGGAGGAAATGGAAGGCAACCAAGTATCAATGTCCACTAAGCAGACATGATTAAAAAGTTTGTCTTTTTTATATTTACACAAATCATTTTGTCAAGTTGTGTCTCCTCATATTCCTTCAGAAAAAACATAATTTCAGATACATTTTCAAGTTCCTTATGTGCTCCCTTAATTAAGCCTCAAACCCTGCACAACAACTCGTTATTTAATTAGAACAAATGTAGGAAGGGGTACGTTTTTCCATCAAGTCAAGTCAAAGAGTTAGTGCAAAAATAAGCGTAATCAGGGCCAATTGGACTGACAGGTAGACAGGTTTGAGCTGTTAGCCCAGAAGCTAGGCTACAGCTTCAACTCCACGTTTCTGTGGGTTTGAATCAACAGTATAGTAACTTTTGATCCCAGAAACTGGTGCTAAGGGGAAGGTGTCAGTCAAGCTGCTGAAGAATAAGCTCAGTTTCTACATTTTTTTCCTCATAAAACATTCACAAAAAATGCAAAATGTTACTCGCAAAAGTCAGAGTGACAAGATTTTTTTTTTTTCAGAGGACAGTTTTTAAGCATGTAGAGGACAAGATGAGCAAAGACTGTTTTGTCCAAACTTAAAACGAACCGGAAATTCCTCACGGGAGCTTTAGGAGACTTTACAACACAACTTTCCATTCAGCCAGTTAGTTTTCAGCTCTTAAAAGTTCTCCCATAAGATGCCATCAGGGGGGAAAGAAATTACTAAGTAGGGCCCTTCTCAACCTGCCGATTGGCTCAGTGAACTGATATCATCAAATAATCCACGTGGTGATAAAGGCAGCAACCCCTGAAGCCAGCTGTCCGTGTGAGCAAACCACATGTAAAAGTCAGATGATTTTGTTTTTAAGAGAAAGTAGGCTGATCGGGGGAATGAAGATGTGAATGTGACGAAAAACAGAAAAAAACTGTGTTTGTGTTCAGTGTGACGCCAATCATTCAAGAATTAAAAAAAATTAAAATGTACAGAGTAAAACAAATCAATTTCTATATTCTTATTAAGGAGTATTGATGTCTAGATCTCTTCAACCTATTTTCCTGCCATAAACCCCATGTTTACCATTGTTTCCATGGCGACGGAGCTTCGTCAGGTTGTGCCAGAGTAAAGAGGCTATTCCTGCGCCAGTGTTGATTATGACAGATGACTAGAACCTCCTGGGGTACTGTGAAGTGCATTTGGACCCATCTAAAGCAATCTAATCACAGTAATGACAACTGATTAAAAGCTATTTAACAGTCTGATACCATCTGAAGGGGGTCATTCATTTTGGAGCCGTTTCTGCTGACCTGGCAAATGTAAGTTTGCTATTTAATTTCATTTGACTTCTATTTCGATCTCTACCAACTCCTCGATGAAATATCTTTCTTTGTAGGTGACGGAAACACTTTGCTGGCGAGGTTGGCGATAGGAAAGCGATGAGACTGAACTTTAATGTCAGAGTTATGAAGAAATCTGAGGTTACAAGCTCAAAAATGCTGTTTACAGCTGAGGGGAAGAGTGGAGTCCAGGGTTTTTCACATTGTGCAACAGATTTCACATTATAAATACATTAACTTTTTAAAAGTGCGCTGCATTCCTGCATTAAAATGTCCAAGAGCAACTGGACCTACATATTAAATTTTTGTTGAGTTGTGTTTTTTAGTAGATCTATTACTTTTAAGGTCCTGGTGCATTTTATTTGGTCGTCAGCTTCAGGGGGAGCAGGGAAACATAAAAAGATATATGAGTCAAGTTTATTCATTACTGAATTCAGCTGGTTTGATACTATAAAATAAAATAAAATAAGGATGCATTAATCTCTCCTGATAGTTGCCGTGTTGACAGACATAAGCTCATTCATGATTAATGTGCCATGCACTGATGTTAGTCGCTGATGTTAATCTGTTGTGTTGCATGAATTTAAAGCACAAAATCTAATTGCTGGGTCAGAGAAAAGGCTTTTTGGATGGGTAGAGTTACCTGTTGGAAAAACCCTGATTTGGAAAATGGCGGCAGAGTGGGAGTGGTACACCATCTCTAAAAAAAACAGAAATATGCATATCATGCAGCTAGCTTGTTGAGCATGATCCAGTGACATTTGAAGCGGAGGGACAGCGAACAACAATTCTGATCCAGCTTATCTCACATGAAGAATGACACAGAATAAATCAAAACGAAAGCGATATCAGGACTGCTTGCTGAATTGTTATTTTAAACATTGTGATAGCCCCGATTTTTACAGGTGATTAAACGTTATACAGGTGATTAAATTTAGTATCAAACAAACAGGCAGTTTCTGCTTTCTCTCGGGATAAACCCCCTTCTGGATTCCAAAAAGGACATTTTATTGAGTCATATACTTTTTTAACTACTACAACAGCTCACATGATTTTTTGCCATCATCAAACAACAACTTTTGCAGTTGTTTGGATTCAGAGACCTCTTAGTATCCTGCAGTTCAGGGCAGGATATCTCCTGTCAAATGGCTTTAACATACATGTAAGATTTCAAAAATGCATCAAGCTCTAAATGAGTTTTTTAATCTCTTGTTAATACTTAAATTGAGGTTTAATCCCTAATCAAACAGTGTACTTTATGGAAGCGTTAGTTGACTGATTTTTAGATATTAATCTGCAAACTCTTGTCCCTCCTGAGAAGCCAGGAATTAGAGTTGCAAAGAAGTATAAAATAAGCAGTACTTTAAATTTAACCTGAGTCTAGTACTTGAGCACACACTTTCCAGCAGCAGGCTTTTAGTCTACGGGGAGAGACGCAGTGATGAAGAGACAAGGCGCAGGGAGAGTGGTTTTGGACTTGCAGATAATTGCTGCAATTGCAGATAATTTAATGCACACTAAGGTTCCTGCTCAGTGCTCTGCTGATGTCTGTGTACAGAGGAGAGAACAGAAATGACTTTTAAAGCACCGCCTTCTACACAAGTGTCCCTCACATTCTCGCTCATTCTGAGCGTCACAACTTGGCCACAGATCCATGAACATGTGTCCCTTGTGTTCCAGATCATTAAAGACAGGAACGAGGAGGAAAAATATTGAGAAAAAAAGAACAAAGGCAGGAGGAGTTAAAGCTGGACAAGAAGATTTTGGATCCATATATCATCTTTGATCCACGCTGCTAAGCAAAGCCAGAGCTGGACCGAGAGCAAAAGAATATCTGCTGGAGGACCTCAAGGATCTTAGCGAATGGAAAATCCAGCGGGGTGACCCAGAGTCAGTCTGGGAGGTTTTAACATTTACAACAGACCTGTGATCTATTGTTCAGTTTCTAAGATCAAATCATAAGACAGATAACCTCAAACAGCAGTAGTTATCTCAGCTTTCAGAAACTCTCTGACCTCACAGAGTTTTTGCATCTTTCTTCTTTTCCAAGACCAACATATTCAGGGGCCCTGAGATGTGACCTCAGTGGAAAATGTGAGAATCTGTCAACACAGAGCTCTGTAACACGCCAGTGTTGGAATATATGAATGAGCATTGTTCAAAAGCCTCCTAAACTCTGAAACTCACCGCTGAAATAGCTGTGGTATGTTATGGTATGACCACGGTTATTCTTAAACTTACAACTACAGACAGAGAAACTTCCCTTCTGCTTTTCTTTTTCCCTCTTACAGCTCACCTTGGCTTCATTTCAGAGCCACTAAAACACACACTCTTAAGAAGACCCAGAGGGCTATACAGTCCGCAGACACACACATGTATACACCTTAATCAGGCAGCTTTGAGTTTCCTGAACACACCAACGCAGAGTTATTACCAAGCGTAGGCAGGGATATAGATGCGACTGTCACATAGGTGCCTGGTGGATAATTCTATCAGGCCTCAACACAGATAGTGAAGGGGGGCTCTTAATGAAATGAAGCGTAATAGAAGAGGAGCCTCTCCATTTTGAGCTGTGACAGGTGGGTTTCTGCAGAGGAGGAGCAGATAGGAGCAGTGTCAAATGGACACACACTCAATATTCAAAACACTTTTTTTTTTTGTCTGTGGCCCCTTTTTTGCATTTTGTGTGTCATTTCCCAGCACTGCAAAAGCTTTTTTGCATAGTCTGGTCTTGTGTTCAGCTTGAAAAAGCTCTCAACATTTAAAAATACAGACCAAGACTCAAGTAAAGCTCTCTATTTTCATATTTCTGTGTGATAAAGTATGATACATGGGATGTAATAGTGGATTAAAGGCTAGATTTTCAATTATGCCACTCATTTTTTTCTGTTTTCTTCAGGGGTCGCTACGCAAGATCGAGATTTAATGACGTCCTTTTGGAATAAGGATTTTATCATAAAGCAATGCAGAAATAATGATGAGAAAATGATTAATTCAAAACATTTCCTCGCTGTCTCTTCAGTCGTGTCTCCAAGTGACTGTGTTGAAACATGGATTCATGGTGCAGTCCTTTGGGTGAAAGGCTGAAATTTCCCATTTGAGTCCTGTGGCAATAAAGTTAAAGAGTTCCTGTCTGACGCTGCTGCCGCTGCTGCTGCAATCGCGCTTTCCAGCCTGTCTGTGTCTCTGGCGCAACAGATACGGTCACAAGCTTCGGCGGCCGTTAAACCACAAAATAACCAGTAATGAGGGCGGCACTTTTCTAACCGCCTATCAGCTTGTTCTGGTGTCACATGGTGTAACATTTACATTCCTCGAAAGCAGGCTTAGTATGTTGAAGTTTTAATAGCGCTATGGAAAAACTACCGTGGGCTCTGGTGACTTGATGTCAGTGAATGCCTCGATTGGAGTGTGACTTAAATTGAATCACAGGGACTTCTTGTTTCACACTACACACATTGAAGTTATATTGTGTCTTGTTTCATAAATAATGCAGCATTAACTGGACATTTTGCAGCAACTATTAAAGACTAAATCCCCTGAAATTGAATCCTTTTCGCTCACTCTTTCTTGAATTGTCTTTAGTTATCCTTTCACAGAACACACAAAAAGATACACTATCTTGTGTTAACCTGTTACAAGAGTTGTCATTTTGTCGAAACTTCCACCGTACAAACCAGCACTCCAGTAACATAAGCACATGCAAAACCTCCCCTGTTTATTCAAATCAGCTACAGTTAGACAGTATCTGCAGGCTGTAGAAAGAAAACTGCAAAAGCAAACCCAGACATAAACTGATACATGCTCCACATGCAGCTATTCAAAATCTCTCCAAGACAAATCCTGTCTAGAAAAAGAAAAAGAAAAACCCAGAGTCAGATATTTCCAAGAACGAAAAAGAAACAAACAAACAAACAAAAAAAAAAATCCCAACAGCAACAGGCAGGGAAGTTGTCGGAATCATAACATGTCAAATATTAATAACAGTCTGTCGTCTCTACAGAACAACTCTCCCCTCTTGTCCTCTCAGGAGGCACAAACAGACAGATAAACAGATCATGTTGTAAAACCCAGAAGCGTCCAAACGGTCAGAGGAAAAGCTGTCTCACCTGCCCGCTTGTCTTGTATGTCTCTCCTGTTCTCCGTCTCGGCGTATGAGTGTGTGTGCGGCTCACACACAATCCCTCCGAACAGGAACTGATGAATCTGCACGACTTCAGCCCTGCAGCGTGCAGTGCATTATGGGGTTTCAGTCTCTCTCTCTCTCTCTCCCTCGTCCTCTCCCTCTCTCTCTCTCTCTTTTTCTGTTGGCACGGTGTTAGAGGGGGGATGTCCTCGCCTCCTGTCTGGAGAGAGAAGGGTGAGCTGACACGCGCTCCATCCACACACACGCATGCACACAATGCAGAAGAAGCCTCATGATGACAACCGCCACGGTTGCCGTGGAAACAGCATCCCCCCCACCAACCCCTCCTCTTTCAGTCTCGTTCTTGTAGCTCTCTCTCAGCATATTCTGTTTACATAGTGAAACAAAAAAAACAGGCTTAAGAAAGTGCGCCTATTCCTCCAACCATCCACTTCCTTTATTTGATTTGCATCTTGACCCTTAGCTAACATGCTAACCTAGCAACAAGGAGGGGACTCTCGTGGTCATGTGATCAGTCACTGTTGCTTCTGCTTTTTGAGATAAAAAGAAGGTGGTGTGGCGTAAGAGGTGAGAGACAGACTCAGACACTTTGTCCTGGGTGTTGTATGTGCTCGTTTATGTGGGGGGTTGATGTGGTCGTTACTGGAAGCAGACTGTAGTTCCTGTTTGTGGTTTTCTTTCCTTTTTACCATTGCTACAGCCAATGCACTGAGGCCTGCAGCCCTTTGATAACACATTACCAACAAGGGAAGTGCTGCTAGACTGACCAATGGCATACACAGCTCCTGCACACACATGCATACAAGCAGACGGACAGACTGACTGTGCCCACTGACGTAATTATTGCAATTTTCACTATGATTCACCTCCCAGGAGGTCGGGCTAAACTGTAATTTAGGAGGATGATTCAGAATGATAACAAGAACTCTATGGGTGATCAAAAAAAAGGGCAGGATGACGGATTGAAAGAGAAAGGTGAGAGAAAGGAAGAAAAAGTAATTTAAAGAAGAGAGGAGCAGGGTGAGGAAGAATAGAAGACGAGACCTCCCCTCTACCGTTTCCCATGGCGACAGAGTGGGTGAAAGGCCGCGACTGTCCTTCAGACCCTGTAAATCAGCGGTTCACAGCTGAGACCTGCAGCGTAAACTATCACACTGCTAACCTCTAACGCTCCATCTTTCAACATCTCCTCTTCTTCTTCTTCTTCTTCTTCTTCTTGTCTCTTGCAGCTGTCATCACTCTTCCCCGCCTTCTGTCAATCAGTCTATCACCTTCTATATTTGGCTTCCAGCTCCTATTAGCAGTGAAATAAACATGTTTTTAACAGGTTCAAAGTTAGATCAAAACACCCATGGAGCTGTAGCTTGTTGCATCAGATCTTCATCTTCCTCAGTTCTGCTATCGTCTTCCTCGTGGCCATAGGAACAGGCAGGAACTGGGTTTCACTGAGCATTGATTGTTGAATTTGTTGCAAGCATGATTTAATCAGCGAGGTTGGCAAAAGGCCATCAAGGGAGCAGAGGAAGGTATAGACGAAGTGTGAGACAACAATAGAAAATGACTGTGTTTGAGCGAGGATACAAACACTTCTCTGGCCTTTAAAGCCACGAATTGATATTTGAAAACAACTTTATTTTCATCTTTAAGTCAAGAGTTGTGCATTGGTGAAAAGTTGGGTTGTAGTTCAAGTGGTTTAACCTTGATGAGCGTTACTAAGAGTCAATAATCCACCATGTCAGGTATAGGCGGACTTTTATTGAGCTTTAAAATACTACACTTCTTTTTCAGATAGATACTGTTTACGATCTCTAAATCTGTATAAACTGGGCTCCAAATGGTGCTTAAGGATTCATCAAGGGGAGCTAAAATCGTTTAATTACAACAGATTCTGACAATTTTTTCTTACTATCTAAAAGTCGACCTCATCTAGCATCTCAAAGTAGTATCTCAGCGAGGAAAATGTTTTTTTAATGAGTTGAAAGCATCGGTTTGTTTGATTTCTTTAAACTTTATCAGATTTGTTTCTGTAATTCTGTCTGAATTCGCACCTCCGTGGATTATTTTAACAAGTATGATTTTGTGATCAAAGATACCACAAACATGCTTCTGAGATAACACTGAGGTTTGTTTACCTGATTGCTGTCCTTATCTGTGTTTTTAACAACCTGTTTCTACCAGATCGTCTCTTTTTATCCAGTCAGATTAATCTCAAAACAGCACAACTGCTGCAACAATATCAAGGTCAGAAATTATGTTATTTTTCAGGGCATGACATTTAATCTCTTTATAAGGACACCTGTTGTTTTTGACCGAGACATTTCACTTGAAAAAAATAAACAAACAAACAAAAAAAAAAAAATCAAAAAAAGAGAGCTCAGTTTAAGAGTCATAAGCAATATTCATTTTGTCGAACAAGAAAAAACAAACCCCCCAAAAAACTTGCAGTAGTTCAAGTTTGTGTTACCACCTACAAGCTGAACCAAAAATGTCAACTGGCTTAATTCACGTTAATCTAGATGAGTGAATGAATAGTATTTACTCGCTTTACTCGCTTCACTCGCGCATCAACAGTACTTTCAATGGTAATCCCTGCCAAATCAACCGGCGGGATCAAGTGATAGACAAAGGTTTTTTACAATCCGACCTCTTCACTCACTTGCCTCCAGGCGAGCTCCTTTTTATTCCGGTTTTGGTATTTGAAAGAAAAGGCACCATATAACTCGGTGCACCCACACACCGACACGATCAGTTTGTCCTCCATTTCAGATACCAGTGAACAACCATCCGTTTTCATATTTCCCCCGGCATTCTCCGTACTGATTACTTATTGCGATGCTAATATCCGCTCAAGTTGAGACATTTGCAGCTCCCGCACAACTCGTGTCATTCGCGCTGCCAGAGGAGTAGGAGCGTCTAACTGCGTCTTTGCATTGACTTGACATGTAATTCATTTGCCCAAATGATTTTACTCGTGCTTGGTGTGTGGAGACAGTTGAACTTCCTGGGCATTAGGGGCCAGCCTCAAGTGGACACTCAAGGAACTGCAGGACATTCAGTATTGATACGGTACTTTGGAAATATCAACAAACACACAGTTGTGATACCCTCTACTTCCATCCATCCTATACAGGTCTTTGGCAGACTTTTTAATGTGAAGTGGCATTCTTTATCTGACTCTTGTGTCCTCTGTGTAATGAAGGGTCCTTGAGCTGAAGAAACGTTGAATAACCTGCTCAGATTTGAAAGCCGGGGTGATTAGTCCACTCTCTGCAGCCACAATGGCAACAGCAGGTGTCCACAGGCTACATGTGCCACATCTATTCATTACAGACATTAACACTAACCAGTTGCGCACACACACACACACACGCACACACCTCAGTGTATATTGGAGCAATTCATTAACAACAATGCAGCTCCCCTTAAGCGCAGTGCCCATTGATTTGGCGTGTGAGTAATGATGGTGGTGGAAGTGCTGGTGTAATTATAGCTGCCCTCAGACTTCTGTTTACCTGGTTCAAGACTTTTCAAAGCACACCTTTACTGTAGAGGCTTTGTGTTTTTTTTTCAGAGTCTGCATATTGATCATAAAGCCGCAACCATTAATCAACTAAATGATACTGAGAAAATTAATAACATTAATAGAATATGCAAAATATAAAAGTCCATGTTTAGGTTTTCTCAAAGTTATCACTTTTTAGATAACTGTGATTTGCATGTTACAACTACATGACATTTTATCGGCCTGACAATAAACAAATCAACTGAGAATCTTTTCAGCAGAATAATGAATAATAAGGCTAGTACAGCCATGTTAATAGGAGTTTTACATACAAGTGTTAACACTGTGTGTGGCTTCATCACAGTTTTGACTATTCAGTGATTTCATTTCAACTTTCAGAACTAGTTGAAAGCAGGGTAAGGCCAGGTAAGGCCAGATCTGAATAAAAAAAAGCCTGGTTTTCAATAAGCTTAGATATGGTGGAGGTATCAGCATGTCTGAATGCACATTCTTGTTTTACAATCTAAAATAAAATGTTTATTCGAGCAGTGAAAGAAGAGTACAAAGGGTGACGTTGACAGCATTTCACCATTTTTTACGGGTGGTTGGAATGTAGTCGGCACAAATATTTCAGCAAAATTTATTTTACAATTTAGAAAAACATTTAGAAATGTTTGTATTTTGTGGTATTTTACCGAAATCAAGACATTTCATTAAGACTGAATGATTTGGGTTGTTGATGAGGGTTAGGGTTAGGTCATTTGGCTTAACGATGATTAATAGCAGAAACAAGACCAGAGTCGGCACGTGCAAAACAAATACACGATTTACAGCATGAAAACATGTTGTCTTTTTGATTTAACCGCTTTGTCAAAATAAGTTCCATAAAGTATGAGCTATGACTGAAAATCCTGGTGTTATTTCTTAGTATTCCTTAGCCATCGTTAACCAGACTGACCATCATTAACAATATTAACATTTTATTTGATTCTACTGAAACTAAATAAAGTTGAATTCAGTGTTCTTCCAGCTCATTAAACTGAGTTTTTGGATGGTGACTGTGATGGCTCACTTACCTATTGAATCATTTTAGCACTAAATAAACTGTTTATCAGATCCATCTTCTAAAACTGAAGATTAATATAAGTGATTCATCTTGGAATACTATGAATTTTTTAACCACAACCGCATTGTTTACATAATTGCTTGCTGGTTATCTGCTCTTCCCATCTATGCATTACTGCAGATCGCAACCACCACCTGCAGGTCAAGTGTAAATATGTACAGCAGAATCACTCTTCTGGTTGCTAGATGTGCATGTTTATGTATAGGTCGCATGTGTATGGGAGTGCATATATAAATAGAAACAGTAGGTATGAGAGTAGATGTATACATATATAGTATACCACTCTTCTACTGCAGTATACTTTCTCCTGTGCTATTTTTTCTGTAATATATTTCCTGTAATTTTCCACCTATAGGGCTGGAGTGAAAAATATTCTTCCATTCCCATGTACGTACTCACATATGGCAGAAATTTACAGTGAAAAAACTTAAATCTTGAATATTGTCATCTTGATGGAAAAATATTCACTGTGAAGGTCATTCTGGATGTGCTGGTTGTATATTTTAGTTGTTGAATAAGTTTTACAAATGTCTCTATATGCTGACGATGTGCTATCCTACAGAAACTTTCACAATCCTTCCCAGCAGTCTGTTCCTCCATCTTTATTCTCAGCACTAGCAGTTGCCTTA